TCTTGTGTAAAGAACTACTTAGCATCAATAAGTGTAACACAATATGGTCCTTAATATTTTAATGAGAGGGACATGTGCTAAGTAGTCTTTTTTTTTTCCCCAGTAATCCCCGTCCTTTTCTCCTCAGAACATCCTACCATAAAACTTTTTGCTCAGCCCTCAACTCAAACCCATAATAAATCATTTCTGAGGTTTAAAAGTTGACTTTCTGCACTGCCTCATACTGTTTGGAATCTGCAGAGTTAAAATATCACAAGAAAAGCAATTCTTAGGATATTTCCTGCCGAGCTAGAGCCAAAAATACCACAAAAAGAGCATTTGTGAGTTTGTTTCAGAAAGGCAAATAAGTACAGTATTGAACATTTGAATATTCAAGGATTCACATATGAGGTTCACATATCACTTCATTTTAGGCTTGGTAAGAAAGTTGTATCTAAATAACCACTGGTTATTTAGACAATTTACTGATTTATAACAACTGTTACATATTGATATGTGTATTTTTACATAGTTGTTTAACTTCAATAAATATTTAAAATCATCAATTACTTTTTGCGATTAAATTAAGTTTAAGTATATAATTGTTTACTAAAATAGTTGTAATAGCATGTAAATAGTTCTTGATTATTTACCTTTTTCTTGATTCCTTCACATTAGGTTACTTTTACACACTTAATATCTGATCTTGCACCACAGAGGTCAGTGGGAGCCTTTTAGTCCTAGGGCAGCATTTACAGTATTGAAATTTAGAGCAACTTTCACCATTACTCTATATTTATACCACAACAAGAGCAGAATATGGCCTCTAAACTCTGCCTTGCATACGGTGTGGGGATTCTGAAAGTATGAATGAATAGTCATCCTTGGTTGGTCATTAGATAGGTCACTTCCCCTAGTTTAGCAATAAGGTCTTGGCTTTGATCTGTAAACTTGATATTTTGATAATCTGGCCATTTTTCATGTACATATTCATCACTAGGGTCATTGACACAAAATGCCAAAACATGAAGGGGAGCTAGATAACATATAATTTCTCATTTATGGTCCTGATTTCACACTAATATTATGTGGACCACCAGCTCTGTCTGCTTGAATTTTTTTACACACTCATGTTTGAAAACATGCCATGTGTTTAAGAATTGATAAACTTTTATATTTAAACTAGGAGAAGTCAATCTGAATAGTCATTCTTCATCATTGTGTGGAACCGACATAACAAAACAGTGTGAAGTTGTATGTGTGGCAAAGAGACAATCCACAAGAGGCTAATGGTTAGAATTCTGGCAGTGCTCACAAAAATGCAGACAAATACTTTCATGATAAGAACATGTAGTTGTATGAGAAATTACTGTTTCATCCCATAAAGAAATATTACAAATAAAAAAGCATGGTCATATTTGCAAACACTCCAGACAGGACAATTGTAGTATTACAAGAAAACCATTTTCTTCAGTCCAGTATTTTGGAATTTAACTTGGCTGAAAGCTCTTCACAATATCCTTCATGCATACATTATGACTTATGTTGAAAATAATGTTGTATTCAAATAGGCAATTCCTGAGTTTACTAAGGGCAATGGAGATCTTTTGTGACTTCATATTTTACATTAGAACTGCAGATAGATGAAACCCATGAAAATGACTGTAAGCTAAGATCCTCTTTGATACTGATTTACATGCAGATGAAGGACTTTACATAATGAAGTTTAATTTTTAGACACAATGTCCCAGAACAGAAGAATGGTATAGTAATGTAAAAAGGGTAATGCTCTCCAGGTATAACTGTGTGTGAACGTGAAAGGGAATGGGAAAGGAATCCACTCCAACATACAGTAAATAAACAATCAATCAATCAATAAACAACACAAACTATAAAGGAAGCAAGGTTTTGAGCTTTGCCCTGAGGAGTACCATAGATGTTCTCTGGTGAATCAGGGGAAAACATTTCTGTTGCAAGCACTCAGCAGAGAAGGCTTTGCATCCATTCTTTCAATCTTATGCCTAGTAGGCAGTAACTCTAACCTTAAAGCTAGCTTGGTTTCTGCTGTCTTCATACTACTTTTCCCTGTCCCTCCAAAGTCCTTTATTATCATTATGTCTCCAAACAATATTCTCCCATCCATTTAATATAATAGGTATCTAGGGATTTTCTCTGAGTGTTTCATTGGTGTACCCTATTGAGAGTTGGTGCACAGGTGTGATATCATTAAAATGCCCAAACTGGCCAATTGGAATGAGGCTTTGGAGAATCAGCATCCCCAGGCGTACCCAAACAATATGTAAAATCTATAATAGTATATCACGTGCGTATGTGAGGATCCATTTCCTCATAGTCTGTTGTGATAACTGAGATCATTTCAGCAACAGTTTGTGTCCCTTTCAGCCACTTGTACCTTAATTTTCTGTGTAAAAGCTTGGGAGTTGTTCTATATTCCAAAAGTAGACTTTATGAAAAGGAAATGAATTAAAATTATCTGCTGGGCCAGAAATGTCTTGTGAAATAGGGGACGAGAGAAGAAATGGGTCCAAACAGCTTAGGGATTTTTTTTAAAATAAGTATTATAAAATAGTTGAAAATAGGTATTTATATCCTTTCCCCTACTACTTTCTTTATCTCCTTCAGAAGAAACTAATTTTCCTAGAGCAAGGATATATATTGGCAACAGTCGATTCACTGGATCATGGTGTATGTATAAAAGGTCTAGTCAGACTTATGGCTGAGAAGCCTAATTAGAGAGCGACACTGCTTGTTACAAGTTTCACAGATGTACGTGTTGTCAGAGTTGGAGTCCAAGATTACAGCATGCTGCTTTCTTCTTTTTTGCTTTGCTTCCATTCTCTGGATCAAAGCCACTTCATCTTGAGCTGCACCAAGTGCCAGATGTTCCCTCCAACTGAACGGGGGCTTCTGTGCACTCCTCCCAGCTGTCTACATTGATGTTGAATAACTTCAGATCATTTTTGTACACATAATGGTACAGCCATAAAGGGTGACCACACTTTCTAGTGCTGTCTTGAATCTCCCTGTAAAAAATATTCTTGGGGATATGGCCTCCACCCATTCTCCTGATATGACTGAGCCATCACAACGTCCTCTTCTTGATAGTAGTTTCTAAGTGTGTCAATCCCACATGCTCCAGCACCTCTGTGTTTGGTATTTTGTCTTCTCACTTTATTTGCAGAATCTTATACAAGCATCTCATGTGGAAGCTGTTCAGCATCCTGATGTGCTTAGCATATGTAGTCCATGTTTCTGAACCAGAGAGCAGGGATGACAGCACACAAGTCTCATCTGCACCTTAGCTGATAGTTTGCTGTTATTACATGCGCGTTTCTGTAATAGCCAGAAATTCTTAGCAGCTTTTCTGATTCTGTTAGTTCAGTCTGAAGATCAAGATTCCTGCTGATCATAGAACCCAAGTAGCAAAAGCTGCCGATGATGCCAAGAGATTTACCCTCCAGAGTAATGTCAGGCTATGAAAAGTAGTTTTATAAAAAATAATGAAGTGTTAAAGGAATATGACAGGGCATCATCCCACTTCTGTCTCTTTTCTAGTCACAAACCACCCAGAGTCCTTCTGCTGGTCAAACACCTTGTGCAATTTATTTGCAATGCTCTTTCCCACCAGCCTTACAGACTTGTGCAGCTCAGTATTTACAATAGCACACACTCCTTAGCTGGCGTGACCATATTTTCCCAAAGGGAAAATGGGACTCTGCAGGGAACCGATCTGAGGTCCTCCTCCCTTCTTCCCTGATGTGCAGGGCTGGCCCAAGCCCCCCCCTGCTGCCTGCCTATATGGGCTCAGCCCGGGCCACTCTCCTGAGCTCTCCCTCCTGCATGGGGATGGCGGATGGCGTTGCCGCTTGTCCCCCTGCACATTCCTCTGTGCTCCACTAGGGGTCACACCCCACTTTTTGGGCAAAACTGAGCATTTGTCCAGCTTGCTCTTGCTAACTGATGATCAGTTGGCAAGAGCAAATGGGACAAATGCCCAGTTTTGCCAAAAAAGTCGTGACAGCTGGGACAGGGCTTAAAAAAGGGACTGTCTCAGCTAAAACTGGACATATGGTCACCCTATCCTTAGCTCACTCAGCCAAGGAGTGGAGAAGGCATCTTCCCTCCAAGAGATCTCTTCTGACTCTGAAAACTCTACCAATCTCTCTTCCCACCTGACCACTTTCTTCTTGCACCTTTCTACTTACTGGGTTAATTAGCTCATCCTCCAGCCCATCCTCAGTCTATCAGTTAGACACAGCTTTGCCCCTCAGGTTTACTCTGGGGCAGTTTAACTGGTAATCCAGTGATCAGATCACAGGTACAGCTGCTGTTGCCATACCCTCTAGCACAAGGAACAAGTCAGACTCTAATTGCAATAAGCCATTCTGACTGAGCATTGATAGGCTATTAGAATAGTCAAGCATAGATATCACAAAGGCATGGATCATCATGATGAACTCTATATGTAGAATTAAAATGTACAACTTCTGGCCTGGTGCTAAAAGCCAGTTCTTCCATATTCTGCTGATGGTCAAAAATTACACCCAAAGTGTGAACCTTATTATTACCTTCCTGGAGCACACTTAATTAACAGATAGGAAGAGATCCTGAGTCATCAAAATCCATCCATCCAGAATCCAACCAGTTCTCCCATACCACAATTTATAATTCTGTTTTATCTAGCTTTCTTGCATCAATCCTGCAATTCAGCTATTGCAGAAACAGAATCCTCCTTATATTTTTGTTTTAAAATTAATGAAGATTTTTTATAAAGGAAAGTTATGAAACTAATATTAACTAAAATTAAAACTTAATGTGGTTGCTTAATATTTATTTCTGCTATTCAAAAATGCCATTTTGAGCAAAATGGCTGACTCCAATAGCAACCTCAGTAAAATCACTTTTAATCAAAATCACAATGGTCACTTTACTCAGTCTTGATTTGTATACATAGTTACATAATGTTGCATGTTACATTGAATTTAATTTTTTTTTAACAGCTCTGCTTCACCTCAGTGCATCTTTCAATGTCGATGTCAAAAATGCAATGACGTTCAATGGCTCTGTGGAGGACATGTTTGGGTACACTGTTCAACAGTATGAAAATGAGGAAGGAAAATGGTGAGTTTTTTCTAAATAGCATAATATCCTAATGGTAAACTATTTAATAACAGGAATAGCACACATTGGAACTGTATTCTGTTCCATAATTTCAGTAAATAAGGGCCAGGTTCTGCCTTCTTTAGTCACGGTAAATATTTCCTTGCTTTGTACGATTGTCTCTAATGGGTTCTGTCAGTGATTGTCTCCACTGATTATGCCAACCTAGAGGAAGACTTTTAGATCAAAATATCAAATAATACAATACCCTTTAATTTGGGCTAAAATGTCTTCTTTGATTATTATATTGGTGTTTGGTGCTTTGGACCCTCTGCTCATTGCTGCTACATTCTGAAATAAAGGTTTTATTCAGCCAAGTTTGTTGCTGTCTTTGCTTCTTCAGAATGATGTCATGCTAGATGTTCCACTGAGATGGCAATGCTATGAGAAAGCTCAAATCAGAGAGGGGACCATCTCCTCTGCACTGAGAGTGGAATTCAGAATAAGACTATCTCCGTCCGATTACCTGTCCAGTTGATAGGGAGTTAATAGTCCTCTCTGCAGCTGCATCTTTGAGAATTATTCCTGTTCCCACACTGGTTGCTGGTTGGGTAGAGGATTGAATTGGAAGTCGAATGACCCCAAAATTGGGAATACTGAAGCATAACTGTGTAGCATTCACCATTCTGTGTAGGTTTCCCTATTTTTGAAATGGGATTCTGCAGCAGTCTAATATTTCTGCTGAACAAGATAGGAAAACAGCCAATGACAATCTACGGGTTTGAGGCCCATGTGGCAATAGATATATTCTGCTAGATCAGGCTATCAGTATGTAATACCTTCACTAATCTTATGCACAAATGCAACAATATAGCCGCAGGTTGTTGATGAGGCCATGTACAATATTACTGTCTCACGCTGGCTATTACAGAATCACTAGAAAGTATTGAAAGTAATGAAACTGCAGGTGCCCCTTTTAAAATACTATTTCATGACCTTCTGGCTTGTGGGTTCTTTAAATATTCATTAAGGCAGTGGTTCTCAAACTATGGCTGCCGCTTGTTCAGGGAAAGCCCTTGGCGGGCCGGGCCGGTTTGTTTACCTGCCGCGTCTGCAGGTTCGGCCGATCGTGGCTCCCACTGGCTGCAGTTCGCCGCTCCAGGCCAATGGGGGCTGCAGGATGTGTATCACATCCCTTGGCCCGCGCCGCTTCCTGCAGCCAGTGGGAGCTGCAATCGGCCGAACCTGTGGACGCGGCAGGTAAACAAACTGGCCCAGCCGGCCAAGGGCTTTCCCTGAACAAGCAGTGGCCTTAGTTTGAGAACCACTGCTGTAGACCATTGTAAATTGTAATTTAAACTAAAATGGAAAAAAAAATAAGAGAGGAGAGAGAAGATGTTTTAAAAAGACAAATGCAGATACTTTTTCAAATCTTTTGTCTCCCAAAATATCCTTGGCGTTTGGCATTGTCTTTTCCTCCACACATCCATGAACACATACACTTACACACCTCTTTCCTTATTTTGTGTTCTTCTCAAGGAGCAGAAGATAACATGGTTACTTTTCTTTGTCTCTGAACTAAAAATATGATGCCATTTTTTCCAGCTGTCTCTCCAGCTTGCACACTTGTGCAGAGCTTGCTGCAGATGGGCCCCCCAATAAGTTTTATAAAGGTGCATTATACTCAGTACTGACTTTCATGTCCACTAATGGAACAAAAGGAAGAATGTATGCTTTGAGGAGAAAATTCATGTGACTTATTTCATTTTCAGGGTACTTATTGGTTCTCCATTAGTTGGCCAACCCAAGAAGAGAACAGGAGATGTCTACAAATGCCCTGTAGGGAAGGGCCAATCACATTGCATAAAACTGAACCTACCAGGTATGAAATAAAATAGGGGTAGCAGAGGACTACCCTTATCCTGTGTGTGGAGCACTCATAGAACTGACATCTTAGCAAGTTTATAGCTAAATTTTTTTTATTAAAATTGTTTACAAAAAAAGATAGCTAAATTTGTGTAGCTAAATGCTTACATTCTGGGGGATAAAATAACTCATGATAATGAAATAGGAAGTCTTTCAGATCAAGGTTGCACATTTGAATATTAATAACAATAGTATTCTCTTCAAGTCTCTTCAGTGCCCTATGTCTGCATGAAATGTGTTGGTGATTTCAATCCATTTGATGGTGAACAATGGCTATGTTATATAAACACCAGTACAACTGGCACTAATTGTCTCTGTGTGGCAGTCCCTAAATTATCATGGATTACCTTTTCAGTATCTCATCCAAACCCCACTGAAGCCAATGAGAGTCTTTCCAATTACTTCAATGGGCTTTAGATGAGATGGTCACTGGCTAGAAGTGGTCTCACCAGAACAGGGATGAAGCAATTAATATGTCAATTAGAGTAGGCCTGGATTGCCACCATAACTGTGGCTGGCATCTGGAGATCCTTGATAGTGACAGGAAAAGAGTTACTGTCAAGCTGAGTTTTACCAGATTTATTATTTAGTTTTAATCTTTACTGAAACCCCTTACATATCAGTGATTTATTTCGATGTAAAATCTATAACATATATAACAGCAGACTTCTATACAAGATGTAATGTTTATTTGTTCTAACTGGCAAAATTGTGTGAACAGTAATCTCCTGCTTTCATCGCACTGCTATTTCTACGTTCTTTTGTGGTTCAGGAAAACTATTTGAGACAGTGACCCAGACAAAATTCTGGGATGAAAGCCAGTCTTGGCATTTTTACTTGTTCATTATACTCCTAATCACTGTTCCGGCGGGAGGAGGAGTGCTAAAATACTTGATAGAACCGAAAACAAGCTGTGTTTTATGTTTGGAAGCTTTATACTAGAGGACATATAACTTAACATCTTTTCACTTTTCAAAATACTTAACATTTTGATCTATTTATAGCTGACACTTCAGTTCCTAACGTCATGGAAGTAAAAGAGAACATGACTCTTGGAACAACTTTAGTGACTAACCCGAAAGGAGGCTTTCTGGTAAGAAAATAAATACATTCCTTACTTTGATAGGGAATTATACATATCCCAAAAGCTTCATTATCTAACTTTTAACTCTTTCTGTTTCTTAAAGGCGTGTGGGCCTCTCTACGCTTACAAATGTGGGCATTTGCATTACACAACTGGCATCTGTTCTAATGTCAGTTCCACATTTGAAGTTGTAAATACCATTGCACCATCTGTACAAGGTATGCATACCACAGTACTGTTCTCATGTGTTTGAAAGCATGAAGCACTGAACAAGACAAATGTATACACACAGGCATACCAAAAAGCATAAACTATTTTTCCAAGCTACCAGCATTACCAAGTTAAGTAAATGTTTTCATTGTCAGTATATAAGCTAACTTCTTGCTACTTTTGGAATAAATGTGCAGTGTAAACAATCTCTAGAATGCTTTGTAATGTCCAAACATAATTGCTAAAAATAGTCCTGATGCTTTTCCTTATGGTCAGAAGAGTTTCTTTAAATAATGAAAGCAAGTTACTGAGACATCTAACAAGCCCAGTCTGGTAAGATGTACATTACAAAATCTTAGGACATGTTTAAGTGGAAGAGCCAGAGTAGGAAAGTAGGAAATTGGAAAATTAAGGGTTTACCTTAGTAAAGATCCCAATCCTGTAAACAAACACATGCCTAACTTTCTATATGCAATGTTCTACTAATGTTAATGGGACTACTCACACATGTAAAATCCTGGGACTAAAATGGCAAAGCAAATATTGCTGAAAACCAGTTTGTTTTAGACATGTATTTTTAAAAGTCAGGCTTCATTGTGATGTCTACAATTATTGGTGCAATGATTATACATTTGACGCTTGTTTGTGACAGTTCTCATCTGGCAATTTATGTTGCAGAATGTAAGACCCAACTGGATATTGTCATAGTTCTTGATGGTTCTAATAGTATTTACCCATGGGAGAGTGTCACAGAATTTTTAAACCGCCTTCTGAAAAAAATGGACATAGGCCCTCAACAAACACAGGTAAAGTGATGCTGTGATATTATTCTTGTTTGCAGAAAAATATGGTTTACGGAAAATAAAACGAGAGGAGAGTCCATGCAGAATAAAGTGAGTTTATTACAATGAGGAGTCAAAATAAAAAAAGGATTTTATCCTCACTTTGTCAGTTTTGCCACAAAGAAAAAGTTCCTTCCTGCTCAGACCCACAGCTTCTTGGAAATACTGTTCAAACAACACCTCCATTACAGGGTGGGGAAGGCGAGCAGCAACCACAGGAGAATGGCTGCTGCCTCATGCCCCCCTGGCCTTCACATACAGGTAGAATAAGGATATGAAAGACAATCAACTCTCTCCTCCCCTCTATTCCCCAAGCTTAGCCAATGGCAGCAGGAAAAGACAGAGAATCTCTATGCCTTTGCTGTCTTTCCCATCAAGGCACCATCTCTATGTGCATTCTGGGTAGAGGGAAAGCCTCAGAGCAGCCAAGTCTGTTCTGCTCTTCCTTCCTCTTCTCAGGACCCCTGCCATGATATCAAACATCCCCTTCCTACTGAGATAGGAGGAAGGCTGTGAGAGCATGGGAAATTTCATTCCAGACTACTAAATTGCCCATCAGAGAGGCCCTGGCCAGTTGAGATCCCACCCCTTCCCTCTCACTGGGGAGATCCTGATAGTCTGAGACTTTCCCCTGCCCCTCCGAGCTCCTCCACTCTCCTTGGAGAGACCAGAACCACCAGGATTTCTCCCCATTTCCTCTCCCGTTCCAGGACCAGCTGGAACATCTCCCCTTACTTTCCACTGGAGAGACCCTGACTGGCCAAGACTTCTCCTTCACCCCTCCTCTCCCCCAAGAGTGGCCAGGATCTCTCCTCCTTTCCCCTTGCTGCCTAGGCGAAGAGGAGTGTGGGTGGTCCCTCTGCCCCTCTGATCTATATTTTTAAACATGTAGGCCTTATTTTACTCTCACTCACACTGCTTTAAATTCTATGTGATTGGATCAGATTGGATTTGTACAACTGTCTCCATCACTATAATTTCTGAACACTTTGAAATCTATGGAGTTACACTGATTTCAAGCCCAGTGTTCCCCAAGTGACAGGAGAATTGGGTCACTGCTGTACACTGTAGTTTCGAAAGAATTTATAATATGGCTTTGGCTATTAATTTTACAAAACCATTTTCTGATTGTCTGCTTGGGGCGTTTTAGTTTATCTCCTCCATGAAAAAATGATCATCGCAGTTATGGCTAGATAGATTTCATCTTCTCACTATAACTAAGAAAGGAATGGAGTAAAAGGGAAAGAGAAAAAGTCCTCTATTCTCTATTTTAGAATGATATTTTAAAGCAATAGCTAAAACATTCAGGTACAAAGAGCCAAAGTTTGCTGTATATGTTTTTCCCACAAGAACTTCCTCCTTCTCCTGTCTCTTTCCCTAACTGAGCAGAGTGCTCAGCACAGTTTCTGAGGCAGATGGCCTGCTTTTAAGTTGTACTAGTACATCAGACATGTAATGTATGTTTCCCTGTTCAGCATCAGATGTAAGAGTTCAGCTCAAAAGCAGTCCAGCTGCCGGAGTTCAAAGCAGCCCAGTTGTCTCAGCCATGGCTGATGAGAACAGAAGCCGAAATGAAGGAGAAATGCATTCTCCTTTGAAGTCTGGCCACTTGAGAAGCAATCATGGTGCCCCAAACTCAAACTGAAAGGTGACATCGCTATTGCTGGTCATGCGATCATCAGAGCTGCTCAAGTGGGTGGGCCAAGTGTGGTTGCTTTTTCTGAATGGTGGGAAGAGAACTGAAGGAATATGTGGGGGGAGGAGGGGTGTGGGAAGGGAAAGGGTCATGGAGAAAATAGGAGAAAGAAACAATTAAAATGAGGAGTGGGGTGAGAAGCTGCAAAGCAAAGAGAAAGTTAAAATGCGGATCATGAATAAAGGAAAAAAGCATTACTGCCTTTTTCATACAAGTTCTTTATTTCCCTCCTGTCTGAGGTATTTCCTGTGGCACAAGCCCTATGCCGAACAGCAAAAAAAGTTTCATTAGAAGTTTGGAACCATATTACAATGATTTTAAAAGACTCTCAGGCCTATTTTATTTTGCATTAATTCACACTTTGGGGGGCTATGGGCAAGTGGCTTGTGCCTCATGATGCCCCCCACCGGGCTGAATCAATGGGCTAATAAAACGTGCCCCGTGGTATCCTAATGATCACTTTTATTTCCAAAAGACAGAAAGGGCATTACATGTATAAAAAATATTGTGGCATTAAGGAGGTTTTGTATGAAGGGAGGATTTAGTGGTGGCTTAAAGATCATTATGTTTGACTCATTAGGGGCAAGATAGACCAAACAAAATGCCATGGAATAAATAAGACTGTGTCATTACTGAGGAAAGTTCAGCTGGTTCTATATCCATAAAAATGAACCATCTGTTATTGCTTTCCAAGCTTTTTCAGTTTTTAATCTCATCTCAAATAAGTTGGCTAAAACTAATAATTTTCTTTCTCTCCCTCCTCCACATCCCAGTGAGGAATGTCCTGGCATTTCATTGCTTTAAATTTTACTGTTTTGTTTTGGTTTGGTTTTTTAGGAATACAATTGTTTCCATGTATATTTATTAGGACAGCTAATTTATATACTTCAAACAAGGGACTGTATTTATTAATAGAAGGAACAACAATATATATTGCCACAAAAAGTTTTGTCTTAAAATAGAACGGTCACGCAGAACATAGAACTTTTCCTTGAATAGTGTTACAGCGCTTTTGCACAGGAACTTGGGACAATTACAGAACCATTCCCTCATGGAAAATAAAAATGTGTGGAATGTAAGGGAAGAGAACAAAGACATGTTCAATAAGTCATGAGTCAAAAAACATGTTCAATAAGCTGTGGTCAGTAAAGCTGGGAGGAAAAATGTTAGTTTTTTTCAGGCAACATAGAAATACCGCTTCCTAACTAATAGGATCCTAGTTCACATATGTAAACCAAGTAAATCAAGACTCATATTACATGTAAGATTGGGATTAGTAGTCTGATGAGGTATGGGGGTTTGGACAGGATCATAGTCCCACTAAGGTAAGGTTACATCAGTCAGATGTGTGCCCATTATAAAAGCCCCCAAAAGCCTAACCTTCCATTCCTATTACAATAGAGATTTATGTCTAATTTTAAAAGGTGGAACTTATTCTGTCACTTTGCCAAAGACTGTAACAATTTTCTCGAAAACCAGTAAATTATCCCTGCCAGAGATGATGTATCCTTGACACCTTGGACTAGATTGTACCAGATGACAGGTTTTTTCAAAAATTCTCCCAGGGCAGGATTCCTCAGAACTCCCAAAAGGTCATCACATCTTCCTCCTTCATATTTTACAAGCTGAATGCTGTGCTATACTATCAACACATGCAGTGTGATTTTCAGAAACAAAGTGTAAACATTTTCAGCAAATGCTCTTAGTATACATTTGTCAAGAGGTGCTGTTTCATTCCATGGTTATGGGCACGATTTTCTTTGAAGAGGGAAAACAAATTAATCAATTCTTTACCCTATTGCGCCTCTTCTCTGCAAAAACAAGCACCCCTACATACATAGGACATTCCTGGGGTGGGGTGGTATATGTGGCAACCAGCATCCTTTCCGCTTCCCTGATCCTGAGAGCATCCAGGGGCCGATATGGACCCTACCACAAATTAGAGCAGCCTCAATGCTGTGATCTTATTTGTGCAGGCAGTAATAGTCTCCTGGGAATCATTCCATCAGCCTAGGTTTGCTGGAGTGCAGCTTGCTCTGCCTATACTCATTCATGGCCCCAGCATGCTCTTGGCCTGTCCCCTGCACTAGGAGGACCAAGAGCAGGTGGCATGGAGCTGGCTAGACCAACTTTATGCCACCCAGGGATTCCTTAAAACACAAGGGAATCCACAGCTGATTGCTGAAACAAGCCTCTGTCCCCTTTGTGTGGCTAGAGCAATGAAAATACAACCAAGTAGGGAATAGGGATGTGGCCTTTTGAGTTTATCACAGGTGAACGGAAAAAGTTTTGAGAGCCCCTTGTTAAAATATTCACAGTACCTCACTGGAATTATTTTATATGCAAGAGCCAGATCATGATTGAATAGAGCTAATTTCCATGTACCAATTTATTGGCTGCTACCACATGAAATGGAAGATAAGGGGGGATGAAGCTCCATCATGGGTTAAATGGTCTTATCTAAGAAAAAGAAATAACTGAAAGCCAGCTTCCTTTGACTGGGCACATTCCTCCTTCAACTGCAGTTAAAACACATGCCACAAAATTAGGTGCAATGGAGGCAAGGGGTTCAGAATTTAATCTTTGACAAGGGATAAAGTTTTAGCCACACGTCTTCTATGAGCAGTAAATGTCATGTGTGTCTTTTGTGTAACCTAAACAAGAGATACACATTGTGCAGAATCCACAGGGGCACACAGCCCCTGGATATTCCTCATTATGGGAGCAGAAGTGAATTTTTAGAGGCAATTTTAAAAGGGTGCAACTTATCTTAATGGGCTGAACTTATGTATATCCTTCCTTTAGAAAAAGCAAGCAAATCTGAGTTGCAGACGTTAAAGGTGATGTTAGGATTCTCTGTTATTGTCATATCCCTTTATAATCATACTGCTAGCAGGACCATGGGGTTAATAAGACTATTACAGTGTCAATGTTTACTTTATCACAGTATAGGATATTTATCCCATTATAGCATCATCAGTCTGAATGCTAGTAAACAAAATCTTTTCACAGCCGATGGAAATGTTATAAAATTGTCTCAGAAACACATCTATAAAGCAAGTCTAAAACACACACCAAGCCACCTATAAAATAATATGACTGTATAAACATTATAGAGGTCTTATTGATCCCCAATACCTAAATGTTACAGAGCTTTTAATAATAGATGGGCGAAATATAAATATGCCACATAATAGTGCATTACCCTAAATAACACCAATAAATCGTAAAGCTTAACATAAAATTGAAATATGCTAATGGAATATTGTGTGGATTTTTCCCAGTAAAAGCAGTCAAGAACCTGCCAAAACATTAAAAGAGACTGAGATGAATGAGGGGAAATTAAGTAATATTTAGGAATATTGCTTATCTTTTTTTATTTTACATTCTGTTTTTGCAGTAGGTTCCCTCAGGCATTTGCACACTGGCTGTAATTCAGTGTGTCAATCTCTCACACAAAGATTTGTCCAGCAGAGGTCTTCTTGGGTTTCCTTTCTTTCCAGGAGCTGCCATTTTATTCAAGTTCTCCCCTCTGGTGCATGTCAGGCATAAAGAATCTATTGGTTTGGCTTACCTCCTGCTGGGAGAATGGCCTGAGCCTGAACTACCCTCCCTGCTGTCCCTTAAATCAGAGAGCACTGTGCTCTTGGTCAAGCTAAAGATCACCGTAATCTTCATCTCATACTGGGACCTGAAAACATCAGCTGAGTGATACTTCTGCTCTAGGTTTAGTATAAATGATATATTGGATATAACTGAAATGTATTTTAAAAGCATTAGCGTTATTGGATGTGAAATATGTCCTCTTACTCCATAGGCAGTTGTGTAAGCTCACCTGTAGAGCTAGACAATTTTTTTTTAACACAAAACTGGTGAGAGGGAGACTCTCTATAACATGGTAGTTAAGACACTGGCCTGGTTCTGCATTCAAATCAGAGTTTTTCTATCCCAGTTTTTTTATCCTAAATCAGACTTGAATCTGAGTCTCCTAACCCGTTGGTCAATGGCCTAACCACCTGGCTATTAGCTATACTGGGGTGAGTCTTGCTCCTCCTAACCCCCACCCTTTTTGTGAAAGATTCAAAAACCAAATTTTAAAACCTCAGTATGTTTTGTGAAACTCAATAGTTGTTTTCGAACCATATCTACTCACATGCAAACTATGTATTTATCTTAGGAGAAATTTACCCCAGGACTAGAAGTGAGTGAAATTTTTTGGATGCAATTCTTTTTGCCAAAAAAAAAAGTATCTTTAGGTCAACCTAAACAGCTCATGAATATGTGTTAAATTTACTGAATTGTTTTGGCTGAAACAAAAAAGAAAAAAATTCTGAAAAAATCTAAATGTTTTGTTTTGACATCTTCTAAATGAAATGTTTTAATTTTTTTATTCAAAATTATTCTTTAAAAAAGCTTCAATTTTATTTTTAAAAAGGTTTTAAAAACTCAAAAAATAAATAAAATGTTTAATTTGGGGTTGGACAAAACATTTCATTAGGCCTGAATAATTATTTTCTCTTTTTTGTTTTATTGAAAATTTTGAAGTGTTTTCATTTTGAGTTCACCCGATGATTTTTTTGCCTGCCAATCAGTTACTCACACAATTCTACCCAGGACTTGTGTTGTCCATACCCCTTGCCCTGGCCTTCAGCAAAGGAATGTATTTAACCCATTGAGAGAGACTGATGATCGCAAAAACATTCATTATTGAGGGCTTTTTTTAACAGAAATTGCTTGTTTCAGGTTGGAATTGTTCAATATGGGCAAAAGGTAGTCCATGAATTTAACCTCAGTACTTACATGACAACAGATGATGTACTGATTGCAGCCAAGGCGATAAAGCAAAGAGGTGGAGCACAAACTATGACAGCCCTTGGAATAGATACAGCAAGGTAAGTACATACTATTTTATGAAGTATGGATAAGTTACAGTGGAGAGGAATAAAATCAGATGTGTTTGTAGATTTGGTTTTTATAGATTTTGATTTTGCAAATCAAAATCCAGGGCAGTTTGCATCTGGGTTCCATTGTATCTGAACTAAAGCTAGGTGAATAATGGAGTTTTTTAGTAGTAGATTTAATTTAAATAAGGAGTAAATTTAGAGTAGAGCCAAAACCAATTTTTGCTCAGTAAATAGAAAATTTTAAAAGAATCATTTTGCCAAAATGAAAATATTTGTTTTGATGCTGACCATTTTTAAAGGTTTTTGAATTTTTAAAATAAAATTAAAGGCAACTTAGAAACAAAAATTGATTTGAAACTGAAAAATTGAAACGTTTCATTTAAAAAATGTCAAAATGAAAATTTGATTTTTCCAGAATTTTGTTTTTTCTAAATAAACAAGTCAGCAAAATTTACATGAATTCACAAAATATTGTGATGTCACCAGACTATTTTATTGAAAAATAATTTGGGCTAAAAAATGTCACCCAGCTCTATTTAACACATCCTTATGCCCTATGTAATTATCTGTATAACACATGCAAGTTTGTGTATATGAAAGGTTTATATTTTTAATTTTGTCCATGCTGTGGTAAATGTTCGTTTTATTTTTTCTTATATAAATTTTGTTTTTTATATCCTATTTTTGTTAAGTGTAGAGGGAATTTGGGTGAAAAAAATGGGAGTTGGACACTGATACTTAGTATTCTTTGTTGGTCTATCTCTTTATCTCCGTCTCTACCTACAGACAGGGCACAGATCTACCGATCTAACGAGTCTGTCTATATTGCTTCTAGAGTGACACCATCTGCTTTAATTGTTCTATTATTGTATTTAATAACATCACAATCTACCAAAAAGCCCCTTGACAATGCAATTTATTACATTATTTTGTTCTCTTCTGTAGTTTATTCAGACCTCATCTCCTCCTCATACCTTAATATCCTATTTCAGTCAGGATCAAAGCATTCAAATGGGAGAGGGGGAAGGAATCATAGAATCATGGAATCATAGAATATAAGGGTTGGAAGGGACCCCAGAAGGTCATCTAGTCCAACCCCCCTGCTCGAAGCAGGACCAATTCCCAGTTAAATCATCCCAGCCAGGGCTTTGTCAAGCCTGACCTTAAAAACCTCTAAGGAAGGAGATTCTACCAGCTCCCTAGGTAACGCATTCCAGTGTTTCACCACCCTCTTAGTGAAAAAGTTTTTCCTAATATCCAATCTAAACCTCCCCCACTGCAGCTTGAGACCATTACTCCTCGTTCTGTCATCTGATACCATTGAGAACAGTCTAGAGCCATCCTCTTTGGAACCCCCTTTCAGGTAGTTGAAAGCAGCTATCAAATCCCCCCTCATTCTTCTCTTCTGCAGGCTAAACAATCCCAGCTCCCTCAGCCTCTCCTCATAACTCATGTGTTCCAGACCCTTAATCATTTTAGTTGCCCTTCGCTGGACTCTCTCCAATTTATCCACATCCTTCTTGAAGTGTGGGGCCCAAAACTGGACACAGTACTCCAGATGAGGCCTCACTAATGTCGAATAGAGGGGAACTATCACGTCACTCGATCTGCTCGCTATGCCCCTACTTATACATCCCAAAATGCCATTGGCCTTCTTGGCAACAAGGGCACACTGCTGACTCATATCCAGCTTCTCGTCCACTGTCACCCCTAGGTCCTTTTCCGCAGAACTGCTGCCTAGCCATTCGGTCCCTAGTCTGTAGCTGTGCATTGGGTTCTTCCGTCCTAAGTGCAGGACCCTGCACTTATCCTTATTGAACCTCATCAGATTTCTTTTGGCCCAATCCTCCAATTTGTCTAGGTCCTTCTGTATCCTATCCCTCCCCTCCAGCGTATCTACCACTCCTCCCAGTTTAGTATCATCCGCAAATTTGCTGAGAGTGCAATCCACACCATCCTCCAGATCATTTATGAAGATATTGAACAAAACCGGCCCCAGGAACGACCCTTGGGGCACTCCACTTGATACCGGCTGCCAACTAGACATGGAGCCATTGATAACTACCCGTTGAGCCCGACAATCTAGCCAGGTTTCTACCCACCTTGTAGAGCATTCATCCAGCCCATACTTCCTTAACTTGCTGACAAGAATACTGTGGGAGACAGTGTCAAAAGCTTTGCTAAAGTCAAGAAACAATACATCCACTGCTTTCCCTTCATCCACAGAACCAGTAATCTCATCATAAAAGGCGATTAGATTAGTCAGACATGACCTTCCCTTGGTGAATCCATGCTGGCTGTTCCTGATCACTTTCCTCTCATGCAAGTGCTTCAGGATTGATTCTTTGAGGACCTGCTCCATGATTTTTCCAGGGACTGAAGTGAGGCTGACTGGCCTGTAGTTCCCAGGATCCTCCTTCTTCCCTTTTTTAAAGATTGGCACTACATTAGCCTTTTTCCAGTCATCCGAGACTTCCCCGGTTCGCCACGAGTTTTCAAAGATAATGGCCAATGGCTCTGCAATCACAGCCGCCAGTTCCTTCAGCACTCTCGGATGCAACTCGTCCGGCCCCATGGACTTGTGCACGTCCAGCTTTTCTAAATAGTCCCTAACCACCTCTATCTCCACAGAGGGCTGTCCATCTCTTCCCCATTTTGTGATGCCCAGCGTAGCAGTCTGGGAGCTGACCTTGTTAGTGAAAACAGAGGCAAAAAAAGCATTGAGTACATTAGCTTTTTCCACATCCTCTGTCACTAGTTTGCCTCCCTCATTCAGTAAGGGGCCCACACATTCCTTGGCTTTCTTCTTGTTGCCAACATACCTGAAGAAACCCTTCTTGTTACTCTTGACATCTCTGGCTAGCTGCAGCTCCAGGTGCGATTTGGCCCTCCTGATAACATTCCTACATGCCCGAGCAATATTTTTATACTCTTCCCTGGTCATATGTCCAACCTTCCACTTCTTGTAAGCTTCTTTTTTATGTTTAAGATCCGCTAAGATTTCACCATTAAGCCAAGCTGGTCGCCTGCCATATTTACTATTCTTTCGACTCATCGGGATGGTTTGTCCCTGTAACCTCAACAGGGATTCCTTGAAATACAGCCAGCTCTCCTGGACTCCTTTCCCCTTCAAGTTAGTCCCCCAGGGGATCCTGGCCATCCGTTCCCTGAGGGAGTCGAAGTCTGCTTTCCTGAAGTCCAGGGTCCGTATCGTGCTGCTTACCTTTCTTCCCTGTGTCAGGATCCTGAACTCAACCAACTCATGGTCAGGAGGAAGCAACCTCACTGAAGGGAAGGTTAATGAGCACAGCAACAGTCATGGGTACTTCTAAAGCTGAGTGGTACAGGGATTTGTACTGATGTTTCTGCTTCTGTTGCTCTACTTAGTACTGTGGTACTCTTCAGTAAAACAAATCCTGTAGTAAAAAGCTGTAAGAGACATTCTCTCAGAACCAAACTTAGAAGAATCTGCGATTCTATTGGCTGCTGAGCATCAGAAGCTTCTGAAAGTACTGGCTCTCAAACACTGAGCATGCAGGGAGAATTAAAGTTCTTTTTTCTGAATACTATTACTTTAGGAATCCTCCCTTACCCGCAAGACATGAATTCTGGCTTCTGCTGGATAGACAGTAAATGCAAAATCGGACACTCATACAACTGATGTGGACAGCTGTTTGATCAGCACTGTAAATCCATCAGATTAGGCTGTGAGGTAACTGAAAGAGACAGAGATTACAGTACACATAAAAGAAAGAGAAAAGAATGTAGGGGTGAGATTTTAACATTTGATCAGATTAAGCATTTATGTTTCCCTTCTGTTTATTGGTTGATAGCAAGTAGTTTAGTCTCTGATCCATTTTTTAAAAATTCTGTGAAATCAGAGTGGTGTTTTGCTTTTCTGTGTTCTCTGTGTGTTTCCCTAAAGGAAAGAGGCGTTCACTGAGGCTCGGGGTGCACGAAGAGGAGTAAAGAAAGTAATGGTTATTGTGACTGACGGGGAATCACACGACAGCTACAAATTAGCAGACGTGATTAAGGACTGTAAACATGAAAACATTCAGAGATTTTCTATTGCTGTAAGTGAAATGATACAGGGAAATTTAGATCTTAAAAGCATGTTTCATCTTTTAAATTGTAATGCCTGTTAAAAAGTTTATTTCACAGCCTCTTTATGGAGCTATAATTGCTCAAGAGAGAGGGGGAAATAAGAGAAACTTAAAGAACATAAAATGCATCTTTCAAATTTTATAATACATCAGAAAAAGCCGATCAATTCATCCTCTGTGTGTGTGTGTGTGTGTGTCTGTGTCTCTGTGTGTGTAATCTATTTGTTAAGAGCAAAAGTGAATTGAGTGGATCAGTCTGAATCATCCAGCAACTTCTTAAGAGACTCTATCAGGTTTTTTAATCATTTTATTCCTCATTGATATTTGCAATTAGGATATTGAAGCTGCCTCTCTCATGAAGGGGGGCAAACCCTATAAACCGGGAGAGAATGAAGATGAAATTTGAGATTTTATTCCCTGTGTGAAAATAACCTACGCAGAGAAACATAAGGTCCTTAAATACTTTTGTGTGTGAACTATCTACTGTAACTATACATTAGAATTAGTCCCATATTTAACTAGTTGATTTTTTTAGAAAGTTTATTTTTAATCCCTCTTCAGGATCACATTTCTCTTTACTGCTCCTAACAGGAACACCACAGTTGTATTGCTTCCAAGGTTTTGTAAGCAGAGCAGATAACTGCCAGATCCAAGAATCTATTTCCCTGCTACCCCCAGTCATGAACAATACTATCAGGAAGTACTGTTCCTACAAGGCCAAGCAGCTCACTACTAATTGTTTAAATATTAAACATCAGTGTAACTAAATGGCACAAATCACAGGTTTTAAAGGAGGAAACAATATTTGGTTTTAGGCTGCCAGTATTTTAATAGTGGCAGGTGGTAACACATGAGGCTTTGGTGATGGTTTCCTTCATTAAGCAAGAGTTCACCAAATTAAAAATCCCATGTGGAGCTGAAATGTCATAGTTATTAATGGGCTGTAGCAAAATTCAGGTCTCTATCTGGATCTGTACTTCCACAAAGGCCAGAGGAATTAGGATCTGGAGGTAAGTTTCTGGCCCATCGCTAGTAGTAAATAATACTGTAATCCACAGGGCAAATTGTATCCAAGAATCTAAGAGTGCTTTAGAAAGCTCAGTTAATTAACCTTCACAACATCCCCGTGAATTAAGGAAGTTCCCATTTTGCAGTTCAGTAAACTGAGGTATGCAGAGGTTACATAATTGACAAAGACCTCACAAAGTTGGCAACAGAGCAGGGAACAGAACATAGCTGTCCTGATTTCCAGTACCATTCTCTAGAGTCTAGTCATTAGCACTGCAAAGAAGTGCCCATTATTGTTGTTTATTTTTATAATGAAATAAATTTTCATGGCACTTAAATAAAAGAGAGTATTCCTGCCCCCAAAGGGCATACAATCTATGGCCCTGATACCGCAATGTGATATGAGCTCGTGGACCCTTGCACCTGTACAGGACCTCACTAAAATTGTGCATCCCATGTAGGGTTGTGGCCTGAATTACGATGTAACTCAATGGGTGATTTAGAAATGTTGTAGGATATAGGGAAGGATGAGGGTAACAGCAGTTATAACACGTGATTGTTGTGGTGGATATGGTTGGTATTTTCAGAAAAGCTAGGCCTTGGCGTAACTGTAGGGTGACCTTATTTCCCTACGCTGAATGTGGGACACCTGGTAAAATTACTCATATTCAAGTGAGTTCAATAGAAATCAGTCGGAACTAAGCAGCATAAACGTTCAAATTAACATCAAGTTGACTGAGGCCCTGTTAAAAAGCAATACTGCGTAGTTGGATTCTTTTTATATACCTTCTTATCTTTAAGGCTTTAGGGTTCACACGGGGAAAGGTGACACACGCACACTCCCATACAACTCTCTGACACGGGGCGGGTGACCGACCGACCTGACCCTCCCTGCCTGGCGCTCTCTGCCCTTCATGACTGGCTGGGGCCCCAGGACAGGCCTGCCTCTCCTGGCACCTGGTGCCATGTCTTCCCAAGGCAACACGTGGAGGAGGGGGAGAAGCTCAAGGTCGCATGCCCCCCATCCCCAGATTTCTTCCATGGTTCACACCACAATGTGGCCAGCAGCAGCTTTTCAGCACTGTGCAGGAGGGAAGGGATGGGAGCTGCTTCCAGCCACAGGGGAGGAGGAGTGGGGGAAGGGATGACCTGGTCCCTGTCTTTGCAGAGCTTATCTGTCCCCTCCACACACACTCCCCTGTGGCTGGAAGCAACTTTTCCCGTCCTGCCCGCACAGTGTCGAAAGGCAGCTAACACCTCCAGGCTGCTGCTGGCCACTGATATAACCCAGCTGCCTCTGGTCCCCTGGCTACAGCACGGGCAGGAAGGGATTAAGCCCTAAGGATGCATTGTGCGCCAAGGCCCTGAGACTGCAGGGGCTTCAGTAAACCCAGCTCAGCATGGGAGGGTGCCTAGGGTTCGGAGAAACCCCATGCTCCCTGTGGACAGGACAGGACCCAGGGTGGGGGGAGGGTGGATGAAGAGGGTGCTAAGCCCCCTGCCTGGGGGTGCTGCTGTGAAGCCTGCAGGGTCGGGGCACAAACAGGCTGGAAATCACTTCCCTCACCACCACTCCAGAACTTAGCTGAGGGGCAGAGAAGCTTCCCTATGCCAGCACTAGGTGGGGCTTTGGCACATGCAGGGCTTGGCTCCTCCTAGCCAGCACCACAGGCCAGAGGGTCTTGGGCTTTTCCAAGGTGCTGGCCCAGCCAGAGGCAGTGGGGGAAGGAAGGAGCCTGCTGGCCAGGCTGTTGGTGAGCTGAACAGTCCGACCAGGGGCTGGTTCTCTGCACAGCTGGGAGCGGGATGTGTCCCTCCGGGGAGGATATGGAGGAGCAGCAAGGCTGGGGGAGATGATGGGGCGAAGCAGGGAGAGGACAGTGAGAGGTGGGGCACGTAAAGGGCCGATGGGTGGGCAGCAGAGGCATCATGTAACCCGCTGCCATGTGGCATCTGCCTACACTCACCAGCCACCGCAGCTCTCAATGCACAGCCACTGCTGTCTGGAACCAGGACGGGGGGTGGGGCCTTGCTGGCTGAGAGCTGGCATGCAGCAGGTGCTGTGCTGATGGACCAGCAGAGGGAGCGGCCAGCCCTGCACACTGCATCTGCGTCCCTCCACCAGCCTTGCACACGCCCGCCCCCATCGTCAGCTACTGGACCACCCCCTCAATCACCACTGGTGGGCGGGCGGCTCGCGAGAAGGGATCTGGCCAGCAGCAGGACCCGCCAGTGCTGATATGGGGGGGAGGGGGAGAGACATAAAATATGGGACAATTTGCCAGTTTTCAAGAAAAAGTCAGGACACCTGCAGTAGGTCTTAAATACGGGATTGTCCCTTTAAAAACGGGATGTTTCGTCACCCTACATAACTGTGTACTCCTTGAAGATATCAGTGGGAACAGAGTTAGTGCCATGTTGAGCTTTTTTGAACGCCCCACTCTAAATTCACACTTCAATGGAGGTTTATGGATATATATATATATTTCCCTTAAATTTGATGTTTGTGAGAATCTGGTTTTTTGAAGGGAACACGAGAGTTTGCGTCAACTTCTAGACAAACTTTAAAGTTAATATTCATGATCTCATATTACCAAAAGTGTTTTTCTGACACTATAGGGCTAATGTTAAGTGGATTGAATTAAGCTAAGGTAATATTTCCCAGTATGCACTGACAATCTGCCTAAAATGTGTCTTTAAAATATAATTTGTAAAATATATTCTAGACATTTTTTTATTGCCTTAGATTCTTGGTAGCTACAACAGAGGAAATTTAAGTACAGAGAAATTTGTGGAGGAAATAAAATCAATTGCAAGTGAACCTACTGAAAAGCATTTCTTCAATGTCTCAGATGAATTAGCTCTTCTTACTATTGTTGAAGCACTTGGAGAGAGAATATTTGCCCTAGAAGGTATGAAATTTCTTTAAATTTTAATGTATCCTTGCATTATGACTGAAGTAAATAATGGATCACCTACTCTTGGGGATGTACTGTACTGTGTAAAGAACAATACATTATATGTTCATTTTTTAACATGCTGGTCATACAGCTGTCTTGCAATACATATCAGAGAGGGTAGATGATGTGAAATGTTATGCTCCGAGGCTGAGTAGATGGAGACAGTAGGCTGGAAAAAGTAAAGAAGGTCACTCTATTAGGCACCATCGTGGTAACACACCAACAGTACCAAATCTCTTCCTCCTATATTTATTTATTTATTTGAAACTTTACCTGGAGTTTGAAGTGTTAAAGATAATACAAGACACAATGGATCTCTAAATTTCTCCTGGTCTCATTTTACATTTCATTGGTGTTTGCTGAGACAAGGTGATTTTTGGAAACTATTGGGAAAGGAGTGCATTTTGATTTAAAGGGTGAAAAATTTCACCATGTCTGTCTATCCTACATTTTTCTGCAGTGCCCCTCCCCACAGTAGTATGTGACTACTTCCTAAATGTTGGTTAGTTATTGATTATAACTAAGGCTGTGAGTTTGTCATGGAGGTCATGGAAGTCACAGATTTCATGACTTTCCGGGAGCTCTGGTACTTCTGCAGCAGCCGGTGTTGCTCAGGCTGCTCCAGGGCCAGCCGCACCAGCCACTGCTGGGGCAGTCTTGGGCCATGCCCCACCCCCCACAGCAGCAGCAGGAGTTTGGGTGTGGGAGGGGGCTCAGGGCTGGGGGTTGGGCCGTGGGAGGGGGTGAGGGCTCTGGGTGGCGCTTACCTTGGGGAGGCTCCCCGGAAGCAGCGACATTCCTCAGCTCCTAGGCGGAGGCATGGCCAGGCAGCTCTCCACACTGCCTTCACCTGTAGGCACTGCACCCACAGCTCCCATTGGCCACGGTTCCCGGCCAATGGGAGCTGCGGAGCCAGTGCTCGGGGCAGAGGCAGTGCGCAGAGCTGCTTGGCCACACCTCCACCTAGGAGCTGAGGGAGGGTGGTGTCGCCACTTCCGGGGAGGTGCAGAGCCAGGCAGGGAGCCTGTCAGCCCCAACAACTGCTCCCCACAGCACCAGTGGGGGTTCCAGACCATGCCGTCCCTCCCCCTGCCCCCCCGCCAGTACCAGCAGGGGTCACGGGCCACCCTCCCCCATCACCCACAGTGCCCCTGAGATGCCCCCCAGGCCACCTCCCCCCCCCCCCCCAAGGTTTAGTCAAGGGTATATAGTACAAGTCAAGGACAGCTCACAGGTTGAGAATTTTTGTTTACTGCCCGTGACCTGTCCATGACTTTTACTAAAAATACGTGACTAAAAGGTAGCCTTAATTATAACATTACTTTGCCACACAAGATAGTTGGCCAAGGAGGTAGAGCTGCACCAAACTATTCTTTCCTTTTGGAAATGTTCATGGAGTCCAAATTTTTAATAGAGAAGATCCTTTGTGTATTAATGGCTGCCACATCCGCCATCCAAATCAGCCCACATCCTCTATTCCAATGAGTCAATATTGTGTTTCAAGTGTGTGGCTAGTAACAGAACACCAAGTTGTTTCTTCATCTTAAATTATAGCCACTTTTCAAAAGGATTACATTGCCATGCAGGGAAGACATCTGCATATACTTCACATTTCAATATCTCAACTTTCCAAATAATTGGAATGGGATTGTTTATGGCTAGACCAAAAGATACTGTTAACTTGAATGTCAAGAAATAATATAAATATAAGAAATAATTTATAAAAACATTTAAATTAGAATTCCACTATTTAGACACATTTAGACAGCTTGTTATTATTAAAGCATTTATCTGGATAAAGTACCAATATTTTTAACTGGATTGTTTAAAAATATTAGACAGCTTCTTTCGATTAAGTGTTATATTTTCTTGTTTTCCTTTCTTGGCTTTTGAAGACTTCTAATTTTCTCACTTTTGAACTTCGTTTATTTGAGGAAGGTGAAATAGTGGCCTTCAAAAGACAAAGGTTTAGCTAAACAAAGAAAAATACCATATGTTGTTACATACCTCAAAAAAAATGTAGCCTTTTCTCCAGCAATTTTCTAATTTCAAGTACATTTGAAGGACTTTTTTTAAATAAGCTCCTGTTTGACACAGGAAAAATAAACTTTCTCTTGTATGCAAAAATGATGTTCAGGCAAAATTAAGGTTAATAATGTAAACATAGAGAAGTCAGGAATTGAAAAATTGAATCAATCCTCAGCTGAGCTGGGCTTATGTTTTGTGCAGCTAGAGAGATGGGAAGGAAGGTGGCTCTGAAAATCCTTTCCAACCCACTGATTCTGGGCTGGTCAGGGGCTGAAACCCAAGGCCTGTTCTGAGTTACATCAGCTGCCAAAGTCCCATTAGGACTTCACCACACCCCCTAAGGGTAAGACAGAGCACTGGTTGTGCTGCATTTTCCTCCCTGAGAGATGGGTGGAGTGGAGCTGGCTATGCTCTGCCATCTGCACCAGGGAAGTCTTTGTCTGCCCCTTTAGGGAAGCTGGACTCGGTGCTGAAGGTATGGACCAAGGTTCTACAGTAACATTGACTGAGCCACTTGTGGGGTTGGAGGAAGTATAAAATCCTGCCCCCTCTTCCTTGGTGTGGGAGTTCCCCAGACTCAGCAGAAGCAGTGCTGTCCAGCTGCTCAGAGGCAGCAGAATGTGCACTAAGGAGCCCAGCTCTGTGGGAACCGCTGTGTACCAATGTGCAATGTAATCTGTGTTGGGGCTAGGCAAGGTGGATTGTGGATTCTGTAGTCATTGCCTCACACAGAGCCGAAGACACAGCTGGAGTTATTCCAGTCTCAGAGCTGCAGTATCAACCATGGACACAATATTTCTAGGGGAGGGGAAGGATTCACTTTGTCCTTGCCCTTGGGAAGCTTCCCTGTGTCAAACACAGCTTCATGGTTTTGGTGCTGGCTAGAAAGTGTTTGCTAACTGTGCTCAAGATGGTTGAGTTATCTTCTGCAGCACAGCATGAAACTTCATGTTGAAGTGCCTGATTTTAATGTGTTTCAATTCTAAGTCTAACCAGCATCATATTAACATAAATCTTACATTTTATTTCCTGGGGGGCGGGGTGTTGTTTGTTTAAAAAAACCTACAAAGGAAAAAAACAGAGAGAGAGTGCAAAAACCAAAGCCAAGTAACACTGCACAATTCAATTCTGTGCCAGAAAATGAATTTTTGTACATAATCTTTTTCATATGACTCTAAATCTCATGGCATGGGCTGTGGTTTTCTGTTTTACCCAAACTTTAGGTTGGCAGAAGTGTTTTTTGCACAAGACATCTTTAGAATGTTTCGCAGTTTAAAAAAAAATGGAAAATTAGAGTGGGCACCATTCTCTAATCTGTATTCACAGCGGTAACTGTAATATTGTCATCTACAGTATAACAGGAGGATCCCACTTTACACAACTGGCTTCAGAGAGGCTGGCATGGGGAGTTTAAGGCTGCCCATGGTAATTATTAAATATCAGCCAATATGTAACGTTAGAATTTTCTGCTTTTAAACATTACCTATTTTTCTCAGACTAAGTACAATAATTAGGTCTTGTGCATCTATGGAGCTGTGTCTGCACGTATAATACATTGCCTGAGTGGCCATGATCATGTCTCCCTCTAGTGGCTGACCACAACAATTAATAGTTTATTGTTGACAAAAAAAATTACTCCTTTTGCTCAAGTGATGGACACCTGGGTTTTATGTACTGAACTTCACAGGCTGAACTTCCTCTGATGCCTTTGGTGACTAAATATGCATGAGGCAATGGTTTCTTACAAAGGGGTTTGTTTCACATTCTTTGAGGTTTGCCTGGAGTTAAGGTTCTCAGACTACAGGCAAACAGAAGGTTCTTGCCAAGCAAACCTCAAAGTATGTTTTACAACCCCTTTTCCTCTGTTACCATGGGTTGTTCTCTGGGATTTATCAACCCATGGAATGAAGTAAAGATATGAGCTGAATGTAGCATTGGGCCAGGGAGCCTTTCTAATCCTGCCATTGATGAAAGTGGGACCAGACAGACTATTTATTCCACTGAAGATATTTGCTGTGCTTCTCAGAGTGAGGAAGACTACTTTGCCAGTCCCCTAACACTCCAGGTAACAGGAGCTAGATTGACAGCAGTCCCCCGAAAATTAAGGTGAGGCCAGTTGGCTGCCTCCTGAATCTTTTGAAAAGATGCTGTACCATACCAGGCCACCAGATTAGCTCCTTATCCAAAGCCATCTAAAAGAAAGAGTGGGGTGTTCTTGTAGCTTGTTGGAAAAGAATAAGGTTCCCAGCCCTTGTCTGAAGCCAGGTCAGCCAAGTCTTGCCTGAAGCTCAGTGAATCTTTTAGTGGGGGTTTTGGTGTGCAAGGTTCACATGGCTCTAACATTAATTATTCCTTTCTGACAGGGCATATAAACACTGTCCCTGGTTGGAAGGGGTTAATTGGCAATCTGAGGCTTAACTAGCCATACCCTATCACATCTTATTTGGCCGTTAAGCTTAAAAGGAGAGTTTAAAAGGGGGAAGCCCAACAATTAGAGGCTGATGGGGAAAGTGGTACTGACAGACTGTCCTGTGGAAGGCAAGGAGCCTGCCTGGAGACAGGAACCCTGATGAGCTGCAGCCTATCTGAACTGCTAGCAAGGGGAGGAGCGTACTAACCCCTAGACAGTGGTGGTGTTTGAGACACAGGAACCTGCAGAAAGGTGTGGTGAAAATGGTAGAAACTGAGGAATAGGTGGGTTACTGAGCCTGGCTGGGCTGAAGGACTGGTTGCTTTTCATTAGGGCTGTCGATTAATCGCAGTTAATGCATGCGATTAACTCAAAAAATTAATTGAGATTAATCGCAGTTTTAATCACACTGTTAAATAGAATGCCAATTGAAAAGTATTAAATAGTTTTGGATGTTTTTCTATATTTTCAAATATATTGATTTCTATTGCAACACGGAATGCAAGTGTACAGTGCTCACTTTATATTATTATTTTTATTACAAATATTTGCACTGTAAAAATGATAAACAAAAGAAATAGTATTTTTCAATTCACCTCATGAAAGTACTATAATGCAATATCTGTATCGTGAAAGTGCAACTTACAAATGTAGATTATTTTGTGACATAACTGCACTCAAAAACAAAAAGAAAAGGAGTACTTGTAGCACCTTAGAGACTAACCAATTTATTTGAGCATGAGCTTTCGTGAGCTACAGCTCACTTCATCAGATGTATACCGTGGAAACTGCAGCAGACTTTATATACACACAGAGATCATGAAACAATACCTCCTCCCACCCCACTGTCCTGCTGGTAATAGCTTATCTAAAGTGATCATCAGGTGGGCCATTTCCAGCACAAATCCAGGTTTTCTCACCCTCCACCCCCCCACACAAATTCACTCTCCTGCTGGTGCTAGCCCATCCAAAGTGACAACTCTTTACATAATCAAGTCGGGCTATTTCCTGCATAAATCCAGGTTTTCTCACATCCTCCCCACCCCCATACACACACAAACTCACTCTCCTGCTGGTAATAGCTCATCTAAACTGACCACTCTCCAAGTTTACATCCAAGTTAAACCAGAACATCTGGGGGGGGGGGGGGGGTAGGAAAAAACAAGAGGAAACAGGCTACCTTGCATAATGACTTAGCCACTCCCAGTCTCTATTTAAGCCTAAATTAATAGTATCCAATTTGCAAATGAATTCCAATTCAGCAGTTTCTCGCTGGAGTCTGGATTTGAAGTTTTTTTGTTTTAAGATAGCGACCTTCATGTCTGTGATTGCGTGACCAGAGAGATTGAAGTGTTCTCCGACTGGTTTATGAATGTTATAATTCTTGACATCTGATTTGTGTCCATTTATTCTTTTATGTAGAGACTGTCCAGTTTGACCAATGTACATGGCAGAGGGGCATTGCTGGCACAAGATGGCATATATCACATTGGTGGATGTGCAGGTGAACGAGCCTCTGATAGTGTGGCTGATGTTATTAGGCCCTGTGATGGTGTCCCCTGAATAGATATGTGGGCACAATTGGCAACGGGCTTTGTTGCAAGGATAAGTTCCTGGGTTAGTGGTTCTGTTGTGTGGTATGTGGTTGTTGGTGAGTATTTGCTTCAGGTTGCAGGGCTGTCTGTAGGCAAGGACTGGCCTGTCTCCCAAGACTTGTGAGAGTGTTGGGTCATCCTTTAGGATAGGTTGTAGATCCTTAATAATGCGTTGGAGGGGTTTTAGTTGGGGGCTGAAGGTGACCGCTAGTGGCGTTCTGTTATTTTCTTTGTTAGGCCTGTCCTGTAGTAGGTAACTTCTGGGAACTCTTCTGGCTCTATCGATCTGTTTCTTTACTTCTGCAGGTGGGTATTGTAGTTGTAAGAAAGCTTGACAGAGATCTTGTAGGTGTTTGTCTCTGTCTGAGGGGTTGGAGCAAATGCGGTTGTATCGCAGAGCTTGGCTGTAGACGATGGATCGTGTGGTGTGGTCAGGGTGAAAGCTGGAGGCATGCAGGTAGGAATAGCGGTCAGTAGGTTTCCGGTATAGGGTGGTGTTTATGTGGCCATTGTTTATTAGCACTGTAGTGTCCAGGAAGTGGATCTCTTGTGTGGACTGGACCAGGCTGAGGTTGGTGGTGGGATGGAAATTGTTGAAATCATGGTGGAATTCCTCAAGGGCTTCTTTTCCATGGGTCCAGATGATGAAGATGTCATCAATAATTGTAAAACTTTAGAGCCTCCAAGTCCACAAAGTCCTACTTCTTGTTCAGCTAATCGCTACGAGAAATAAGTTTGTTTACATTTATGAGAGATAATGCTGCCTGCTTCTTATTTACAGTATCACCTGAAAGTGAGAACAGGCATTTGCATGGCACTTTCATAGCAGGCATTGCAAGGTAGTTACATGCCAGGTATGCTCAACATTCATACATCTCTTCATGTTTCGGCCACCATTCCAGAGGACATGCTTACATGCTGACGATGCTCGTTAAAAAAAAATGCATTAATTACATTTATGACTGAATTCCTTTGGGTAGAATTGTATGTTTCCTGCTGTTTTATCCACATTCTGCCATATATTTCATGTTATAGCAGTCTCAGATGATGACCCAGCATGTTATTCATTTTAAGAACACTTTCACAGCAGATTTGACAAAATGCAAAAAAGGTACCAATGTGAGATTTCTAAAAAGATAGCTACGACACTCAACCCAAGGTTTAAGAATCTGAAGTGCCTTCCAAAATCTGAGAGGGATGAAGCGCGAAGCATGTTTTCAGAAGTTTTAAAAGCGCAATGCTCTGATGGGGAAACCACAGAACCCGAACCACCAAAAAGGAAAATCAACCTTCTGCTGGTGTTATCTGACACAGATGTTGAAAATGAACATGCGTCGGTCCGCTCTGCTTTGGATTGTTATCTAGCAGCACCCGTCATCAGCATGGACGCATGTCCTCTGGAATGGTGGTTGAAGCATGAAGGGACATATGAATCTTTAACATATCTGGCATGTAAATATATTGTGCCGCTGGCTATAACAGTGCTATACAAACACCTGTTCTCACTTTCAGATGACATTGTAAACAAGAAGCAGGCAGCATTATCCCCTGCAAATGTAAACAAACTTGTTTGTCTGAGTAACTGGCTGTACAAGAAATAGGACTGAGTGGCTCTAAAGCCACTAGGCTCTAAAGTTTTATATTATTTTATTTTTGAATGCAGTTATTTTTTGTACATAATTCTCCATTTGTAAGTTCAACTTTCATGATAAAGAGATTGCACTACAGTACTTGTATGAGGTGAATTATTAGTCGTTTAATCGCAGGATCAATCATGCTTAATGTTTTTAATTGTGCCATTAATCACGATTAATTTTTTTAATCTCTTGACAGCCCTACTTTTCATATTTTTTAGGATTTTGGTAACAGGCTCAGAGGCCCTGGAAGGTGTTAGCTAAAATGGTCTGGCCAGAGTAGACACTGGGGAAAATGAGGCAGTGTTTCTGCATTACTATATCTGGCCACAAGGGGTGCACTGAGGTGGCAACTTTGCTACATTTTCATTAAAGCTGCCTACCATTTTTGAGTATTTGAGAGCAAAACAAAGGTTGCACAAATAGGGGTTTTACTGGTTACTTAGCTCAAGTGAAAAATGGCTGGATCAGTTTTGATCAGACATACCAGACATATTTACCATTGGGCTGAGGTCAGTCCAAACATTATTTTAAAACAAATGATAATACAATAAGTTAGAATGGATATAATGCAGTAGAGTGGAAACAGCTTCTTGTTCTTAACAGTAACACTAATTACCCAGGCCATTAAGTCTGTAATGTTCATTAAATAATGATGCACAGTAAACTGTGTTTAGTGAACAGTCTAGTTAATTACATCATCTCACCATCAACTCAGGTCAGAGTTTTCATTATTTTATACTGAAACCCATAACATGTTTAAAATTTCAAATGTCCTGTTTGATAGCTACAACAGACCAGCTGGCAGCCTCGTTTGAAATGGAAATGTCTCAAGCTGGCTTCAGTGCTCATTATTCCCAGGTAAATTGACTGTTTAGATGTAGAAATTGTTTTTAGAAGGGAAGCAGCTGTTTATTGGTTAATGCATGGATCTGGAATTAGGATTCCTGAATTCTGTCCACAATTTTGTTACTGGTTTGCTGTATCACATTTTGAAGCTCTCAATAACTCAGTCATTTGTAAAATGAATAGAAAAATATTTATAAGAATAAGTTTTGTGAATCTAAATTAATTAATGCTCACATAGCACTGTGGCATCAGCAAATGATTTTCTATAAATGCAAATTGTTGTTATGGTATTTTAAAAGTAAGAGGTTTTTATGCCATCTCTTGGAAAGATTTCATATTATTAAATGACAGTTTTAACTATAAAATACTGAAATGTATAAGTTCTGTATTACTAGAGGTATAGCATTTTTTAATACATTGACTATTTCAAATACATAAATTCTAAGTGGTAAATATTAATGGAACATCAGTGCAGGGTACTGAATCACAGAATATCAGGGTTGGAAGGGACCTCAGGAGGTCATCTTGTCCAATCGCCTGCTCAAAGCAGGACCTATCCCCAATTTCTGCCCCAGAACCCTAAATGGCCCCCTCAGGATTGAGCTCACAACCCTGGGTTTAGCAGGCCAATGCTCAAACCACTGAACTATCTCTCCCCCCGCAAGCTGAAAACTGTAGTAACCAGAAATCATTAACTCTTTATTTATTTTAGAAAATAATAATGTGCCCATTGTGATGATCTAGACAATGTACAAAATTAATATGTTAATTAAATACTAGGCCCAAAGGATGGAAAGACCTCCACCCTAAGAAAAAAAATAGAGGCAAAGGAAAACAACACAAAGAGAGAGGGAATGAACTGGGCAGTTCATCGGAGATGAACTGGCCCATGTGAAAAGGCCTGCCCCACAGGTTTGAATGCAGTTAGAGTTTAGCATTGATGAAAACCTGAGCAACAGACTTTGTTTCATTTGACCTTGCACAAATACTGTTTCAGAAATACAATCTCTCCACTTTTACATGGAGGGATATAAAATATAACATGGTAATTATGATTCAGAGAGATTATTAGCCCTTACACACAGATATTATCCAGACTACCAGCCAGAGGAAGGCTTAAGATCCATTTGGTATTGTATATGGTTGCAGTAGCCAAAGGGACAAACTGCCAAGATCAGAACCTCGTTGAATGGATTTGTTGATATTTCAGCAGACTGGAAATGGGACACCTTTACTTTTTCTGGAAGGCCAGACTGACTCCTACAGGCACAAAAGATCAGCAGACCCATCCCAAGGGGTTTAAAATCCATCTGGAGATCAGTAGAAGCACTGTACTAAGAGGCTACCCAAGAATGGCATTAAATGAGTGCATTTCCTAGTTGGCCTTGCCCTGGCTACTTTTGCTGTCTTGCTTATGCTATCTGGCTCTGCATACTCCAGTGGAATAAGACATATTCCACTTTGCCTTTACTCCTTTGGCCCAAAGTTGTTAATAAAAATGGGATGAAAAGTGACTTCACTTTATGATTGTGAGGAACATACTAATGTATGAAATGCAAGGCTAAATATTGCAAGTATATGTGAAACAAAAATCAAAGAATATCAAAGAAAATCTAGAGATGATGATTATGGTTCTTGTAAAGAACAATGGTTTTTTTTTTTTTTTTCTGAATGTAAGGACTGGATCATGCTTGGAGCAGTTGGAGCATATGACTGGAATGGGACAGTAGTCATGCAAAAAAACAGTATGGTTTTAATGCCAAGAAATGATACATTTCGTGACAAGTCTTCAGAAAGAAATGAACCTCTTGCAGCTTATCTAGGTAAGAGAAATGATCCTGCGGAAATCTTTGCGGAAACCCCTGTGAATTTTGTGTGTTCTCTCTAAAACTCTTCCAAAAAGATATTCCTAACAAAATACAGTCCTGGCTTCCAGGTGGTGAGGAAGATTTGGACTCCAGAGGCATGTCTAAACTATAATATTTCATCATATTAGAACCTGAGTATGACCAATCGAGTTAGATGACACAATATGACCATAACTCTGCAGTCAATGTAGATCACGAAACACCCAAACCTTTTGGGTCATTCTAGACTGCAGCTGAAAGCAAGCTTCCCAGCCTGAGCAGATTGACTCGTGCTAGTTTGGCTCAAGCTAACATGCTAGCAGAGTGGCTAACCACTTGAATTCAGACCCAGGGGAGTTGAATCCAAGGTAGCACAAGTCCTTCTACCTGGGCTATGAGGCTCGCTCTCAGCTGCAGTGTAGATGTAACACTGACAGACCCTGGTTGTCGGGATTGAACTAGGGACCTCTGGAGCTTAGTGCATGAGCCTCTACTGCATGAGCTAAACGCTAACTGGCTGTTAGCTAAGGCTGTAGAGCAAACTCATTTAACTCTAAGTGGTCTTGGTGGGACAGAACACCACACGCAGAAGGTCTGTGGGTTACATAGACACACCCTTATACACATCTGCTAGCATGGCCTCATGGAAACAAAGTTACACTTGTATGTGGTTTTGCAGTATTGGGCCTTAAGGTTTTGAATCACAACAATTATTGCTGATGCAGTCTGTAAATGTTACATCTTGAATTATTTTACTTCTCCTAGGATACACTGTAAATTCAGCATTGACACCCGGAGATGTGCTATACATTGCTGGTCAACCTCGCTATAATCACACAGGCCAAGTTATCATTTACAAAATAGTAGGAGGAGATGTAAAAATACTACAGCGGTTAAATGGAGAACAAGTAAGCATGTGTTTTACAGTTAAAATGTAGGTGGAATATAGTAAACAAATCTGTTCACAATGTAATTTGAATGAAAACTATGGATCAGAAAAGCATCTTAGGGAAATTCATAGAATCATACAATATCAGGGTTGGAAGGGACCTCAGGAGGTCATCTAGTTCAACTCCCTGCTCAAAGCAGGACCAATCCCCAACTAAATCATCCCAGCCAGGGCTTTGTCAAGCCTGACCTTAAAAACCTCTAAGGAAGGAGATTCCACCAGCTCCCTAGGTAATGCATTCCAGTGTTTCACCACCCTCCGAGTGAAAAAGTTTTTCCTAATATCCAACCTAAACCTTCTCCACTGCAACTTGAGACCATTACTCCTTGTTCTGTCATCTGGTACCACTGAGAACAGCCTAGATCCATCCTCTTTGGAACCCCCTTTCAGGTAGTTGAAAGCAGCTATCAAATCCCCCATCATTCTTCTCTTCTGCAGACTAAATAATCCCAGTTCCCTCAGCCTCTCCTCATGAGTCATGTGCTCCAGCCCCCTAATCATTTTTGTTGCCCCTTGCTGGACTCTCTCCAATTTTTCCACACCCTTCTTGTAGTGTGGGGCCCAAAACTGGACACAGTACTCCAGATAAGGCCACATCAATGCCGAATAGAGGGGAATGATCATGTCCCTTGATCTGCTGGCAATGCTCCTACTTATACAGCCCAAAATGCCGTTAGCCTTCTTGGCAACAAGGACACACTGTTGACTCATATCCAACTTCTCGTCCACTGTAACCCCTAGGCAGTGATGAGCTGCCAAAATCTTAACAACCGGTTCCCTATAAAATGTTCTGATTTAAGGGAAGTGCCACAGTATGTATTTTTTGTACCTTTCTCCATAAGAAGTGGCAATGCATTGAGTCACTGGGAGTCGTACTTAATAAAAAAAAAAAAAAAACATTTTTACATGTTTATTACAATAGAAACAAATTATTGCTTTATTAAACGCATATCAACATAATGAATGAGGCAAGTGCGACCCCTGTTAATAAAATAATAAACTAGACAAGGGGTGGGCAAACTTTTTGGTCCGAGGGCCACATTGGGGTTGCAAAATTGTATCGGATGCTGGGTAGGGAAGGCTGTGCCCCCCCCAAACAGCCTGTCCCTGCCCCCTATCCGACCCCCACCCACTTCCTGCCCCCGACTGCCCCCCTCAGAACCCACAACCCGTTAACCCCCCCATCTCCTTGTCCCCTGGCCACCCCCTCCCAAGACCCCCCCACCCTAACTGCCTGCCAGGACCCCACCCCTTATCCAACTTGCCCCGTTCCCTGTCCTCTGATTGCCCAGACCCCATCTACCACCACCCTGACAGACCCCCGGAACTCCTACGCCTCCCCAACCCTCCCTCCCCCATTCCCTGTCCCCTGACCACTCCCTAGAACCTCTGTCACCTCCAACCACTCCCTGCCCCTTATCCAACCCCTCCTCTCAGCCCCGGGCCAGCCCCCTTACCATGCTGCTCAGGGCAGCGTGTATGGATGCCGCTTGGCCCGCTGGAGCTCGCAGCCCCACCCTCTTACCATGCCACTCAAAGCGGAAGGAGCTGCAGAGCTGCCCAGGAGCGGTCCAGAGTGCTGGTGCCGGCAGCGTGGCATGCTGAGGCTCTGTGCGGGGGGGGGAGGGAAGGCAGGGGAGGGTTTGGGGGAGCCTTCCCGGCCAGGAGCTCAGGGAGCCATAATAATTTTTAACAACTGGTTCTAAAACTGCTTCAAAATTTAACAACCAGTTCGCGCGAACCGGTGCGAACTGGCTCCAGCTCACCACTGCCCCAGGTCCTTTTCTGCAGAACTGCTGTCTAGCCACTCGGTCCCTAGTCTATAGCAGTTGTAACAAAGTTCCTCCTCTACCTTGGTGGGTCTTGTGCTTATTGGCAGATTTGCTCGCCTTGGAGCTTCATAGTAGCCCTCAGTTTGGACGTTTTTATTAACCCACAGTCCTGGTCGACTCCTCCTGTGTCTGACCAGGAGTTGGGAGGATTTGGGGGGAACCCGGGCCTGCCCTCTACTCCAGGTTCCAGCCCAGGGCCCTGAGGAATGCAGCTGTCTAGAGTGCCTCCTGGAACAGCTGTGCGACAGCTACAACTCCCTGGGCTACTTCCCCCTGGCCTCCTCCCAACACCTGCTTTATCCTCACCATAGGACCTTCCTCCTGGTGTCTGATAATGCTTGTACTCCTCAGGCCTCCAACAGTCCACGTTCTCACTCTCAGCTCCTAGTGCCTCTTGCTCCCAGCTCCTTACATGCGCACCACAAACTGAAGTGAGCTCCTTTTTAAACCCAGGTGCCCTGATTAGCCTGCCTTAATTGATTCTAGCCGCTTCTCGATTGGCTGCAGGTGTTCTAATCAGCCTGTCTGTCTTAATTGTCTCCAGAAGGTTCCTGATTGTTCTGGAACCTTCCCTGGTACCTTACTCAGGGAAAAGGGACCTATTTAATCTCGGGCTAATATATCTGCCTTCTATTACTCTCCTGTAGCCATCCGGCCCAACCCTGTCACACAGTGCATGGGATTCTTCCGTCCTAAGTGCAAGCGTTGCACTTGTCCTTGTTGAACCTCATCAGATTTCTTTTGGCCCAATCCTCTAATTTGTCTAGGTCACTCTGTATCCTATCCCTGCCCTCCAACGTATCCACCACACCTCCCGGTTTAGTGTCATCTGGAAACTTGCTGAGAGTGCAATCCGCACCATCCTCCAGATCATTAATAAAGATATTGAACAAAACCGGCCCCAGGACTGACCCTTGGGGCACTCTGCTTGATAATGGTTGCCAACTAGACATGGAGCCATTGATCACTACCCGTTGAGCCCAATGATCTAGCCAGCTTTCTATCCACCTTATAGTCCGTTCATCCTGACCTTGTTCGTGAAGACAGAAGCAAAAAAAGCATTGAGTACATTAGCTTTTTCCACATCCTCTGTCACTAGGTTGCCTCCCCCATTCAGTAAGGGGCCTACACTTTCCTCAACCTCCTTCTTGTTGCTAACATACCTGTTGAAACCCTTCTTGTTACTCTTAACATCCCTTGCTAGTTGCAACTCCAGTTTTGATTTGGCCTTCCTGATTTCACTCCTGCATGCCTGAATAATATTTTTATACTTCTTCCTGGTCATTTGTCCAAGCTTCCATTTCTTGTAAGCTTCTTTTTCGTGTTTAAGATCAGCAAGGATTTCACTGTTAAGCCAAGCTGGTCGCCTGCCATATTTACTATTCTTCCTACACATAGGGATGGGTTGATCCTAATACTTCATAAAGTATAAGCTGTTAACATGCTCACAGGATTCTCCTATCTGCTAAGGAACGCAAAATGAACTTAAATCAACCAGATATTTCTCCAGGAGAATTTCCCGTGTACAGGGAATCTTAGCCAGTGTATACCTAGTGAAGGTGGCATAGCCACCTCCTACACCAGCTGCTACGCCTATCCCTGGGGAGGAGTGGGTATGGCAGGGCAGAGCAGGGATGTGATTGAGCTAAATTCCACTACACTTGATCTCCCCACTAGTACAAATTCTGCAGCACCTTGTAGTAGTGGTGAAAGTTACAGAGCCCCCCTGCTGCTTTAACTTCCACCAGGACTGGGCAGCCAGGGACCAGGGAATCACAACCAGCTTCACTGCTGCCATTGTCAAGTATGCCTGAGAACAGCGGATATGGTTGAGAATTTGATGTTTGTATATTGAAGGCAAGAGAGACCTTTTTAACACTCATCCAGATTTCATACTGTGTCATCACAATGACCTTTTATTATGATTACGGTAAATTTATAAAGCTTATACATTAATATAAAGCTGGAGTCTAAGTGTATCTTTGATTCACAATTTCGGGTATCAGCAAAAAGAATGAGCAGTACTTGTGGCACCTTATAGACTAACAAATTTATTTGGGCATAAGCTTTCATGGGCTAAAACCCACATCATCAGATGCATGCAGTGGAAAATACAGTAGGAAGAGATTTTATATATATATACAGAGAACATGAAAAAATGGGGGTTGCCATACCAACTCTAACAAGACTAATCAATTAAGTGGGCTATTATCAGCAGGAGAAAACAAACTTTTGCAGTGATAATCAGGATGGCCCATTTCAAACAGTTGACAAGAAGGTGTGAGTAACAGTACGGGGAAAAATTAGCACAGGGAAATAGTTTTTAGTTTGTGTAATGACTCATCCACTCCCAGTCTTTATTCAAGCCTAAGTTAATGGTGTTCAGTTTGCAAATTAATTCCAGTTCTGCAGTTTTTCATTGGAGTCTGTTTTTGAAGGTTTTTTGTTGAAGAATTGCAACTTTTAGGTCTGTAATTGAGTGTCCAGGGAGGTTGAAGTGTTCTCCGACTGGTTTTTGAATGTTATAATTCTTGATGTCTGATTTGTTTCCATTTATTCTTTTGTGTAGAGACTGTCCGGTTTGGTCAATGTACATGGCAGAGGGGCATTGCTGGCACATGATGGCATATATCACATTGGTAGATGTGCAGGTGAACGAGCCCTTGATGGTGTGGCTGATGTGATTAGGTCCTGTGATGGTGTCCCTTGAATAGATATGTGGACAGAGTTGGCAATGGGGTTTGTTGCAAGGATAGGTTCCTGGGTTAATGTTTGTGTTGTGTGGTGTGTGGCTGCTGGTGAGTGTTTGCTTCAGGTTGGTGGGCTGTCTGTAAATGAGGACTGGCCTGTCTCCCAAGATCTGTGAGAGAGAGGGATCATCCTTCAGGATAGCTTGTAGATCCTTGATAATGTGCTGGAGAGGTTTTAGTTGGGGGCTGAAGGTGACGGCTAGCGGCATTCTGTTACTTTCTTTGTTGGGCCTGTCCTGTAGTAGGTGCATCTGATGAAGTGGATTTTAGCCCACGAAAGCTTATGCCCAAATAAATTTGTTAGTCTCTAAGGTGCCTCAAGTACTCCTCGTTCTTTATTCAATATTTTGTTTTCTTCTCATTCAGTGTATGGCCCCATATCTTATTTATTGTACATCACTCAAACCCCAATTCTCCAGGACCTCATTCAACTGCCTTAACCATGAGTAAGGCTGAAAGTCTGTCACCGAGGTCATGGAAATCACAGATTCTGTGACTTCCTGCGACCTTCGTGACTTCTGCAGCAGCCGGTGTGGCTGACCCCAGTGCCGCCCGAGCAGCTGGGGCAGTCTGGGGGCCAGCCACACCAGACACTACTTGGGCGGCCCTGGGGCCAGCCACACCGACCACTGCTTGGGTAGCCCCAGGCAGCTGGCCCTAGGGGCTGCCGGAGTAGCAGCGGTCCTGAAGCAGCAGTGGCGCCCTGGACCACCCCCACCCCCAAACACTAGCTGTGCCCCAGGTCGCCCGCCCCTGCCCCAGAGCACCAGTGGTGCCCCGAGCACACACCCCAGCCACTCCAGAGCAGCAGCGGCGCCCCAGAGCCCCTCCTTCCCCCAGAGCAGCAGCAGCACCCTGGAGCCCCACAGAGAACCTAAGATTTTGTCAGGGGTATTTATAGTGCAAGTCATGGACAGGTCATGGGCTGTGAATTTTTGTTTATTGCCTGTGACCTGTCTATGACTTTTATTAAAAATACCTGTGATTAAATCTTAGACTTAACCCTGAGACACTCCTTTCTCATCCCTGTAATCCCTGGCCTCATTCACTACACATCTTCCAACTTCTGCAGCAAATAAAAGAGGGGTCACTACACAACCCTGATCCTTCCTCAGAGCAGATCCATCCAGTGCACTGAATGAGGCAGGAGTCCTCTGGAAAAACTAGTATGTGGTCATGTAATTAAAGACTATATCAAAATACAAATGCACAAGAGGGCCAAATTAAGGGTGCACAGGCAACCCTAATTCTGGCATTTCCTAACTTCTGAGTGCTCGGCATTGCAATCTTATTAATAGCCTTTAATCAGGTTGGGTTTTTTTTCGTAATTTCCTAGGTATTTAAAAAAGCAAACTGAAACATCAGAAATTCCATCATATGGCATCATATCGACATCCACATGGTTCATCTGCTGAGTTGGGACCTTTAGATCCACTGCACAGATCTCAGCTTCTTGAACTAATGGAGTAAAGGATAGCAATAGTAGGTTGTCATCCTCTATGTGGAGCAGCCCCAGGCAGGGAGGAGAACACACACTGCCAGTGGGAGTCATCGATACTTGCTGACAGCAGAGGAATGGTGAGACTCGAGAGTCTTGCATTCCATTCCAGGCTTTGAAGGGGAGTGTACTCTAGTAGTCACAGAACCTTCTGCCTGTTTTCTTACCCAAGCTTAACCCTTTCTGTCATGTTCCCTCCCACCTGTACCTGTCCCAGTCTTTACTCTTCCCCCACCCCTAGCTCCTCATCCCATCCCATTCTCCTTGCCTTTCCAGTCTCCACTCCTCAGACTTCTCATGCTATTCCCATTCTCTTTGTCAAACCAGTACCACACTTGCCTTCTCTTCCCAGCTCCACATCTGATCTTGGTAACCTGTCCCAACTGGCTCCCAGTCCCACTCCCCATCCCCCCACACACATACAGAGTTTTCCTCACTGGCTCCCTGTCTCCTTGTCCAAGCAGTGCCAGCCTCCCCTCAGTGATGAGCTGCCAAAAACTTAACAACGGGTTCCCTCCTCACCCCACAAAGGGGTCGTTACCCAACCCCACCCCCCAGGACTCCTGCCCCATCCACCCCCCTCCCCTGTCCCCTGACTGCCCCCAGAACCGGGCAGAAGGGTCTCGTGGGCCACCGTAGTGGGGGTGAGGTGGGGAATCCCAGAGGTGCTTACTTGGGGAAGCTCCCAGGAAGCATCCGTCAGGTCCCTCTGACTCCTAGGGGCGGGGGAGCATAGCTGGGGGGGGAGCAGGAGGAGCGGCTGCTGCCCCACTGATCACATCAAAAGTGGCTCTTTAGGCGCTGACTCCCTGGGTGCTCCAGGGCTGGAGCACCCACGGGGAAAATTTGGTGGGTGCACCCACCGGCAGCTCCCCGCCCCATGCCCGGCCCCAGCTCACTTCACCTCTACTCCACCTCCTCCCCTGAACGCACCGCCCTGCTCTGCTTCTCCGCCCGCCCCCGGCTTCCCACGAATCAGCTGTTCAGCGGGAAGCCAGGGAGGGCTGAGAAGCAGGCGGCGGCTTCCCGCTCAGGCCCAGGGAGGCGGAGGTGAGCCAGGGCGGGGAGTGGTTTCTTTGCGTGCCCCCCCCCAGGTTACCTGCTGCGGCACGGGCGGCCCTCCTCATGCCCCCCTGCTCCAGCTCACCTCCTCGTCCCTGGGCCTGAGCAGGAAGCCGCAGCCTGCTTCTCAGCCTGCCCCAGCTTCCCGCGTCAATAGCTGATTCACAGGAAGCCTGGGGGGGCGGAGAAGCAGAGCGGGGTGGCACGTTCAGGGGAGGAGGTGGAGTGGAGGTGAGCTGGTGCCGGGGGTGGGTGGGGAGCTGCCGGTGGCTGCTCTGCATCCACCAAATTTTCCCCTTGGGTGCTTCAGGGCTGGAGTACCCATGGAGTCAGCACTTAAGGCGCCACTTTTGGCTGGTTAAATTTAGAAGCCGTTTTAGAACCGGTTGTCCCTCACGGAACAACCGGTTCTAAAAGGGCTTCTAAATTTAACAACCAGTTCTAGCGAACCGTGCGAACCGGCTCCAGCTCACCACTGCCTCCCCTCCATCTCCCCCCACACCAGCTCCCAGGCACAGCCTCCTTACCCAACAAATCCTAGACTCTCCCCTCAACTCCCAGTCATAGTTTTTTCTCTTCTGCCTCACGAGGCTCCTTGTTCTAATCTGCTCCTTTCCTTTCCCCTGAGTCTGGCTTTTGTGCCGTCTGGATTTGTGTAAGACAGCTTCCTCTTCCATACTGTCTGACCAGCAGAGATGGTCACTGAGAGCACCAGAGAGACAGACTCCTTGCTGTCACTTCCAGAGCACCCCAGTCCACATCAGCAGAAGCAGTAATTATAGGGAAAGTCAGGCTTTGCTCCCCATAATCCTGGGCTTCAGTATGCTCATTTTCCTTGTGGGGATGGTGTATGCATAGTCTGGTCACATGTAGGAGTTATGGAGGGTAGAGCACTAAACTCTAACTCTCTACTAAAACTAAAAACGGATATTTTTCAAAGGCTTATAACTTGTCCAAATTTGAGCAGATTTTCACAGGAAGAACAAAAGACAGATCCCTGACAGAAAGACCACGCCCTGCCAAATGTCAATTCCCTGCCCCCAAAGCAAGGGGGGGAGGAGTGCTAAAGCAGTTCAAGGAAAAGGTCCCCACATTTTTCTAAAGGGAAAAAAACATTTTTTTCTAGTCTGATTCTCAGAAATTGGTGAACCATTTTGGCTGAAATTTTCCAGAAAATGCAACTTAAGGCAGAAACCTCAGTTGTAAAATTTCAGCCCAAATGGTTAATGTCTCACAAAGATATATGCAACTGAAAACATGGTCTTATAATGGGAAATGTTGAGCCTCCGTAATATTAGGCAGTACTATCAGTCTCGCCTATAATAAATATGTCATATGTTTTTATTGCAGATTGGGTCATACTTTGGGAGTGTTATTACTACAGTTGACATCAATAAAGACTCATTTACAGACATTCTGCTAGTTGGAGCTCCTATGTACATGGGAACTGAAAAAGAGGAACAAGGAAAAGTGTATGTGTATTCTTTGAACAAGGTAACAGCGATACAGTTATTGGCTGGGGAAAAGGGATATGCTTATTAGTTTCTGTGGATCCCTTATTTGAACAAATAATTTGATTAAAACCTTGACTTGGAGATACTCAAATGACAGAAGGTGAGGGAGGTGGCCTACAAAAAGAGCAGAATGGAAAATATTTTTTAATGACAAATCTAGTTAAATTACCAGCACATAATACAGAGTAGTTCCAGGGAATCTAACGTAATATTTTATATGGCTAAGAAATGTATCCTTAATAGACCTGGGTGAAAACTGAGTTCAGCCCCCATTCATACTACAACTTTCATCTGTGTTGTCAACAAATTAGGGGAAAACCTTGCTGTACCTGGGTTTCCTGAGTTAGTTACAACTGCAGTGCGGATGGAACTTGTTGGGTCTTCCTGCTTAAAGAGGAAGGATGGTTAGAGTGCTAGTCTGGGTCGGGGGAGAATGGGTTCAGTTCCTTGCTCTGCCACATACTTCCTGTTTGACTCTGGGCTTGTCCACATGGGAACACTCAGGGAAATTAATCTAAATTAATGGTTGAAGTGGATTATTAGTTAAACCACATTAAGCCTCTTTGTGGACACTCTGAATCAGAAGTTAAATGGCCTTTACCTTAAGCTAAATCAAATTAAGGCAGTTTTAATTATGAATCAAAGTGTCCACACAGGAGTTTAATCTAGTTTAACTAATCCACTTTAAATTAATATCTTTAGTTAATTTAAATTAATTTTCCCAAGTGTCCCCATGTAAACAAGCCCCAAGTGCATGCATAAAATAGATGTAATAGTGCTCCCATACTTTACAGGGGTGCTGTTAGGATGAACACATTAAAGATTGTGAGTTGTGGAGATATTACAGGGATGGGGCTCAGATAGATAGATTCTGATTCACTTCGTTCTCTAACTTGGCAATGATATTCCTGAATGTTCTTCAAATTGATTGTCCATGTGGATTCCATTCTTGAGGCGCATGTGCCCCATTCACGTAAGATCGGATTCTTTTGACCAGCAGTGTCTGTTGGGGCTATGCCTGTGCCCTAGATGTCTTCATACCCCACCATCCCCACTCCCAGTCATAAAGGGTACTGTGAGCCCAACCGTCCCTTAGTTCTTTCTTACTGCCCATGGTGGTGAGATAGAACCCTTGCAGTGTCTGACTGCATCTCTGTGACTGTTGCAGTTAGCGTTAGTGATTTATTAGTTGAGGTAGTTAGTTAACTTTTATTTTGCCCAGTGGCTTAAAAATATAACATTTTTATTAATTTTTCTTACACAGTTAATAGGCTCAGAGCCCCAGCCATCCAGTACTGGGACTCAATTTCTGATAATAGAAGCTGCATCTTAGGAGTTTAAGACATGCTCCTTGTGATGCTTCTGTGCCTCTCAACAATAGGCACTCTAAATGGCTGATTCGTTTAGGTGAAGGGCATATCCCTGACCATTGCTCCAGCTGCCTCTCTTTTTCCAAGCGCACTGAGAAGGGATGCCAGCCAAAGGTTATATTGTCTGGAGCAGGGGTAGGAAAGAGCCTCACTCCAGAGATAAGGAGACTCTCGTAACTGGGTCACAGTTGTCAACTTGTGTTCGGGCTGGTCTTGAACTTTGCAGTGGAATGGCCTAAGATGGGTTCCTCTGGACTCTGATGCCAGCAGTACCAGCTAAATCTAAATCCACTGACCACCTTTCCTCCAGTACTGACTCTTTGATACCCACAGGACCCAGTGCATTGATATCATCCCTTTTGACACCTGTGGCCTATTTGAGACCAAGTGAGCCTGGTACCAGAGTCCCCCTTGCTGACTCATACAACATCAGCTATGCTAACGAGGCCTTCAGTCACTGAAATTACAGGAACACATACAGCTATGCAGTACCATCTGCTTCTCCTACCCAGATAAAGGGATGCAGGAGCACCCTAACACAGCAGAATGGGAGCCCCACCACTGGAGGAGGGGTATGTCTTCTCTATCATAGAGACTCATTTCCTGTTCATCCCCCTCCATGGGAAGCACTCTGAGAGTCAGGGAGGGATTACACAGTGAAATTAATGGCCAAGACCCTTGACATCTCACTGGAAACTGTGTGGCTTCTCTTGCATGATCAGCTAGACATTCTGCACCGTTCCATACCTGGTAGAGTCACCATATGCGTTAACGAGGGACCGTTGCAAGGATGAGGAGCAGACTCCAGCATCAATATCTGTCACTTTTAAGAGGGTGGATAGATGGTACCAAGTTCATCACAAGGGCTTTGAGGAAGCCCCTCACAAGGGCTTCTATTCACTTCTGGTGCCAAGCTCACTTGTCATAGCAGCTATTCAGGAAAGATCCAAGCAGCAAGGGCCTTATAAACAACACAAAGGGAAAAGGATCGTTAAAGAGTGGATCTGTTCAGCAAAAAAGTCTACTCTGACAGTTTCCAGATAGGCATTGCCAACTGCCAGGTGCTTCTGGCAAAATGTGACTATCTGCACTCGAACAAATTGTCTCAATTTATAGAAAGACCTCTTGCAGGAGCACACGGAAGTATTAAAATTCATCATGCTAGAGGCACAGCTGATAGCTGGGAACTTCCCTGCAGGCTGCTTTGGATGTGTCTGAGACATCTGCATACACCATGACCACACTGGGGGCAATAAGAAGATCCTCCTGGTGCTAGTCACTGGGGATACCAAGGGATGTCCAAATCATTTGAGGATTTTCCATTTGAGGACTGCAATCTCTTCAACTCAAAGACCAACAAGTCCTTCCACTCATTAAAGGACTCCAGAGCCATTTTGTGTTCTCTAGTCTAGTACATGCCAAAGAGAAAGCAAGCCAGACTTCAAGCCTCCTTCAGCCAGCATTCCTGTGCCTCATACTATTATAACCCAGAGGGGGCACTGGAGCTACCAAGGAAGAAGTAGAGGTTCCAATGCAGATGACCCACTGCCTCTGACAGATACGACACATTTGATGTCTTTCTCTTGACAGCAGCTTTCACACCACAGTCAGAACCTTTGGAGATTTCTACTCTTCTCCTCCCCCACTTTGCCTCTTTTGGTAACTGCCTTCCTTTTTTTCAGTAGCCTGGATTAGGATCATCATGGACCAGTGGGTCCAAGAGATTGTCAGTAATGGATATTTGCATACAATTTCAGTCCCTTCCTACCCTCCACCCCCTTTTCCCATCCCCTTCAGGGACCCCTCACAAAATACCATTGAAGCAAGTAGACTCTCTGCTACGTCTCAGAGCAACAAAATAGGTACCCTTAGAGTTCAGAGGTAGGTGGGTTTATTTCTACAATAGTATCATTCCAAAGAAGAAAGAAGGTTCAGTGTCTTAACTGCATATTTCCTATGAGTCAGATGTATCTCACATTTCTAGCAGGAATATCTCTGTATACATACAAAGACCTGCCCTTTGGCCTTTCCACAGCTCGAAGGGTACCATCAAGTACTTGGCAGCTCATTTGAGGAGATGTATCCCATTTACAGGTTGATCTGAGGAAGATCATCCCCAGCAGGTAACAAACTCAATTCAAGTAACATTACACTGGGCTCAAAGACAGTGAAAAATCCACACTTACTCTTAATCAAAGCATAGAGTTCATAGGAGTCATGTTAGATTCTAGATTACCAAGAGCTTGCCTCCCAAAAGAAAGATTCCAAACTATAGCCGACCTCATCAGCCAACTTCAAGCTCATCCAAAAACCTCAATAACAGCATGCCTCATACTTCTGGGACACATGTCCTTATGGTCCTATGTGACAGCTTGACAGACTTTGCCTATACTTCATGCAAGGGTGATTGAAATCAGTGTATCTACACAGCAGACACTACATGGATGTGTTAGTCACAGTTCCACCCTCAAGAAGTCCCCTCTCATTAGATTGGCAAAAAGACATCTCAGGTGTGCAAGGGAGTAACCTTTTTTGCACATCAGCATACCAATACTCTGGTGACAGATGTCTCATCTCAGGGATAGGGAAATCATCTGAATCACCCAACATAGTCACACAACACAACAGTTAGATCCTACATCCAGATCCAGTATTGTTATACATGACAGCCTGGAAACTGGCTACCCAACATCCACTGAAAGAAAGTGTTCAGCAGAAGTTCAGAACATTCTGCTCCAAAGCAAGAAAGCCTCAACTAGACTGACTTCCATAAAGCTAAGTGGAAGAAGTCTTCTATTTGGGCGTCTCATCACCAGCTTCCCAACAATACCCATGTTATCAATATTGGACTATTTCCTGGCCCTGAAATGATTGACTTTCTATTCGTTTCAGAGGGATCCATCTAACAACAATATCTATGCATCACCCTCCTAACCAGGGCCACGCTGTGTTTTCTGACCCTGCAGTGACCAGATTCCTTACAGGCCTCTTTAATGTTTTTTCTACAGTTCAGAAGCTCCATCCCACTTGGGACCTCAGCATAGTATTAATAAGGTTGATGGATTCCCCACTTTGAACCATTAGCAATCTGTTCTCTGTACCACCTATCTAAGAAGACTGGCTTTTTAGTAGTGTCAAGGTTCCTCCCCCACTCTGAACTCTAGGGTACAGATGTGGGGACCTGCATGAAAAACCTCCTAAGCTTATCTTTACCAGCTTAGGTCAAAACTCCCCCAAGGTACAAAATGTTCCACCCTTTGTCCTTGGATTGGCCGCTACCACCACCAAACTAATACTGGTTACTGGGGAAGAGCTGTTTGGACATGTCTTTCCCCCCAAAATACTTCCCAAAACCTTGCACCCCACTTCCTGGACAAGGTTTGGTAAAAAGCCTCACCAATTTGCCTAGGTGACTACAGACCCAGACCCTTGGATCTTAAGAACAATGAACAATCCTCCCAACACTTGCACCCCCATTCTGGGAAATGTTGGATAAAAAGCCTCACCAATTTGCATAGGTGACCACAGACCCAAACCCTTCGATCTGAGAACAATGAAAAAGCATTCAGTTTCTTACAAGAAGACTTTTAATAAAAATAGAAGTAAATAGAAATAAAGAAATCCCCCCTGTAAAATCAGGATGGTAGATACCTTACAGGGTAATTAGATTCAAAACATAGAGAACCCCTCTAGGCAAAACCTTAAGTTACAAAAAAGATACACAGACAGAAATAGTTATTCTATTCAGCACAGTTCTTTTCTCAGCCATTTAAAGAAATCATAATCTAACACGTACCTAGCTAGATTACTTACTAAAAGTTCTAAAACTCCATTCCTGGTCTATCCCCGGCAAAGACAGAATATAGACAGACAGACAGACCCTTTGTTTCTCTCCCTCCTCCCAGCTTTTGAAAGTATCTTGTCTCCTCATTGGTCATTTTGGTCAGGTGCCAGCGAGGTTACCTTTAGCTTCTTAACCCTTTACAGGTGAGAGGAGCTTTCCCCTGGCCAGGAGGGATTTCAAAGGGGTTTACCCTTCCCTTTATATTTATGACAAGTAGTCATTACATCAGCTTGAATGATAGGGGTGACTCAGGTCCGTAAGTCAGTTCTTCTATAGTGTTTCATAAGGACAGCTTTATTCTCAGAGCTAGCTTCCTGCTCAGAGTTGTTTCAGAATTCCATATGAACCAATTTATTAATCTCCGAGTTTTCTTCCATAAGGTTAACTCAACCCTAGGGGAAGTTATACTTGATGTAATAAGGGCATTGTCAAGACAAAATCATTCAGGAACACACGTAGGCTCTTTGTGACCTTTGCTTATAGGGTTAAGGATCTCACAATATCATCGCAGAAAGTATCAATATGGGTCTCTAAGTGTATAAGAGTGTGTTACAGTTATCCAGGTTAGATCCACCCAGCCACATTACAGCTTATTCCACTAGAGGTCATGCAGCCTCTGCTATCTGACTGAAGAATGTCCCTATTTGTGACATGTATAAGGCCAGCAACATGGAGTTCAGTCCACACATTAACAGGAGACTATTCTTTGATACAGGCATCCAGATCAGATGTCTACTTTGGTAGGGCTGTCCTGCAGGATTCCTAGTATCCACCTCTACACAAACAGAAAATTGCTTGATGGCCATCATAAGTGGAATCCATATGAATAATCCTTTGAAGAAGAAAGCATGGTTACTTCCCTTACAGTAACTGTGACTCTTTGAGATGTGTTGTCCACATGGATTCCACAACCTGCCCTCCTTCCCTGCTTCTACAGAGACCTACTCCTCTGGCATTCTGTATTGACAAATGAACTGAGGATGGTTGGGCACACTCTGCCCTTTATACCTCAGGTGGGGGGCTTGAGGACAACTAGAACCTGGCACAGCCTGAATGGACCCTGATGACCAAAAGAATCCAATCTTGCACACATGGGGTGACTATTTCAGGGCTAGTAAACAACCCATACCTTACCAAGACTGGAATTACAATGTTCAGGACAACTGCCATTTGTGATCCAGAATAAACCTTGTTGTATCTTTCCAGTTCAGGGAACTTCTTTTGGAAAGAATCCTTGCAGCACCTTAAGGGGTTAAGTGGTTTAGTTAAAGTACCATACAGACACTATTAGGATGCTGTGCCTTCCTACAGCCCATTACTTCAGACAGCTGTCACAGACAGACAAACACACTGCATGTCTCTCCTTTCCTGCTTAGAGTCAGTATGGCAGCCATAGTTTAGGAACCACAGCTTTTCACCATATATAGAATAATATTTTAACACCACATGGTTTCTGTTAAGCGATTTAACTTTGTGTAATTTATCTGTTTGTCTTGAGTGCACGTGCTTTTAAAAGCCTGCTTTGCTGTAAAGTTGATGGCAGTCCCTAAACATTACATTTATCCTTTTCACAGACAACATTTGAATATCAGATGAGCCTTGAACCTATGAAGCAAACTTGCTGTTCGTTGTTAAAGCACAGTTCCTGCAAAAATCACAAGAACGAACCTTGCGGTGCACGCTTTGGGACTGCAATTGCTTCAGTAAAGGACCTCAACCTTGATGGGTTTCACGATATTGTAATAGGAGCTCCTTTAGAGGATGATCATCGAGGAGCTGTGTACATATATCATGGCAATGGCAATAGTATAAGGAAAGAATATGCACAGGTAGGAGTCTGTGATAGGGTGTACAAACCCCACACTGGGCTACAAGGGGTTAAAGGATTATTTTGGGCTCAGCCAGCCCCACTCAGCCACACCTGCAGCAAATGCTCCATCTAGTGTAGGAATTAAAAGGCAGGGATTTAGCTCATTTAGGTGGCAGAGCTGGAGGTGAGCTGGGTGGCAGATCTGCAGCCCACAGCTCCAGCAGAGCACCGGGAAGCTTAAGACTCTGACACAACTGCCCAAAGGGGCTTTCTGTGTGGGAAGGAAGGACCCACCCCAGAAACAACCAGTGAAGGAAGTATCCTGTGGAGGTTGGATATTGATAACCCCCTCTTACTTATTGTGATTTGGGTTTCCCCACCAGGGGAAAGCCTTGGACTAAGCTGATCCCAGGGGGTGTCCAAGAGGAAGAGGCCCAGGGAGGACAGCCTTATACAGCCTGGGTTGTCAGATTACTGGTAGCCCAAAGGGCCCTGGGTCAGAGCCTGGTGGAGTGGGAGAGCCCAGGCTCCCCTCCCCACAATCCCCTTGGCAGTCAAGAGTTGCAGCCATGACCACTAGGCCACACTCCCCAAGTGAGGACCGTTATAGAGTCAAACATATAGTTGAGCAGCAGTTTTAAGAACAGTGACAGGTTTCAGAGTAGCAGCCGTGTTAGTCTGTATCCGTAAAAAGAAAAGGAGGACTTGTGGCACCTTAGAGACTAACACATTTATTAGAGCATAAGCTTTTGTGAGCTACAGCTCACTTCATCAGAGCTGTACTTCACAAAAGCTCATGCTCTAATAAATTTGTTAGTCTCTAAGGTGCCACAAGTACTCCTTTTCTTTTTATAAACAGTGTATCTTAACAGACATATCCTTTGCTTAGAGTGGACTTATTACTCCTTGAGGGCTTGATCCAGCTCCTATTGAAATGAGTGGAAGCCTTTCCATTTACTTTGGATTAAATCCTTAGTTTCTTTAGTACAGCATTTGTGGCTCAATGGCAAGATTCCTATTGACTTCAGTCAGAGTTTGATAGACCCCACTGAAGTCAATGGGAGTTTTTCCACCGACTTCAGTAGGGTCAAATTGTGACCTCCGCAACCTTGACAGCTTCCTTTTGAGAATGCTAAGTACAGTTAAACTCATTCTGACTTTATTAAATTTGACTATTATGATCTATTGTTAGAAAACACTGTTTCTTATGTTTTATCATGTTTTCTACTGTGTTTTCATTAGAAACCTTCTAAATATGCTCTGTATGAATAGATAAAGGAGACACTTAACAATTCCTAAAAGATCCATTTATATTGGGCATTTATATTGTGCTTATCACCATGGTAACTCTTTTAGAAGGTCTATAACAGGGGCGGCCAAACTTACTCACCCTCCGAATCATAAGACAACCTTCAGAAGTTCGAGAGCCAGGGCGCACCTGACGGTGCTCGGGACTTCAGCCCCACAGGAGGTGCCTGCCGGGGCTTCAGCCTAGCTCCTGTTGAAGCCTTGAGCCCTGGCAGGTGTACCCCACGGAGCTGACCCTCGAGACCCCCCCCTCCCCACTGGGCAGAAGCCCTGAGCCCTGACAGGTGTGCCCCATGGGGCTGAAGCCTCGAGGCCCTGCTCCCCGCTGGGCAGAAGCCCCTACCCTACCACCCTGCTGTAAGACAGAGGTCCTGAGCTCTCCCTCCCCCCAGTCTGGTAGGTGGAGAATGGGGAGGTGCATGGGGGGGGGGCTCCGTGAGCCGCACTTTAATGGTAAAAGAGCCACATGTGACTCGCAAGCCACAGTTTGGCCACCCCTGGTCTATAATGAAAATGCAGTGTTAAAATTCTAAAAAGCCTATTCACACCCAACTTGTGCATCCTTAATTTTTTGATATATGAGTTGTTGTATACGACATAAAGCTATTAATTCTTTTTCATAGCATATTCCATCAGGTGGAGATGGGGAAAAAGTGAAATTTTTTGGTCAGTCTATACATGGAGAAATGGATTTAAATGGTGATGGTCTAACGGATGTCACTATTGGAGGCCTTGGTGGTGCTGCCCTCTTCTGGTATGTATATTAAAAGCATTTGTTTAAAGGGCAAACCCTAATCACCTGTAGATGGTTGGATGTTCTCTGTTGGTAGATAAAAGGTTTCATGTTGACTGTTTTCCTTATTCCTGTACTGTTGTTGTATGTATTTAGATGGAATAAAAGAACCTAAAGAGCCATAGGCATTAATATGACCTGAAACTTTCCAACATTAAACAGAGTTAAACAAGGTTCAGGGTTTGGTACACAGAGACCTCAGCTTACTTACTTTGTGCCATGGCAAACAAACTATTAAGTATCCTTTTAACCTTTTATTAAAGGTACAGAAAAATAAGGAAAAGCAGTTAAAGCATTTGAAATGCAAAGCCTTAAATAAGGTTTTCATTTTAACAACATTCCTTGTTCCCTGGAGAGAGTCTTCAGAAGGAATTCCCACCTCCAGCCCATCCCCCTCCACACCTTGTTCAACAGTTTTATAGGTGGTAATAACTGTTTTCTTTGGGAAAAGAGATGGGCTGGAACTTGAGCTGTTGCTCCTGCTGTTATTGTCCATCCTTTCCCATTTCCTAGAAGACCCAACAAGTTGGACACACACACAAAAGTGGGAGAGAAAAAAATAACAAAGAGAAAATACAGCTTCTCTCACTTGCAGCCTCACTTCTGGAGAAACACAAGCATGGCTCATGGTCTTGTCAGTCACTCCAAGACCTGGCAAACTTGTACCAACATTGGGCAGTTTAGGGCATTGCATTTATCTTCCTGTTTCGTGACAGAGGCTTAGAGCAGTGTTGCAAAATATATAGTCTTGGCCAACTAAGCCAGACTCTTGTTAGACAGAGGGAAAAAAGGAGAGGGATAGGAAAGAGAAGAAATAAAGTGGAGAAGGAAAAGAACATACAAGTCTCACATCCCAGGTAGTATTTGGGATTTAGCCAAAGCCAGTGGAGGTGGTGATGTAATCTGGTTCCCTCTCTCAAGTCTGGTCTAGTCAGGACATCTTTCAAGATTAGAAGACAGTACGAGTAGCAGCCATGATAGTGAAGCTTGCTCCTTTCACAGTCAACCAGCATCACAGTAGCTAGCTTTTCCTCTCACAGTCTCTTTTTGAGGACCCCAAAAGGGGAATGATGAACAGACTAGTCCTCTCAGTATTGTCCATCTATTAGGCCTAGTTTCTAGCACACCAATTTTGGTTTCCTGATTTTCAGTTCTAGAATTTTCTTGTTTACAAAGCAGGATCTTAACACATACCTTGAGTTATATTAATAGGCCTTTTTGTTCAGACTAACTTATTTTTTGTCGCCTTTTTGCATCTTTTCCCATCAACATTTGCTATAGGTTATTGTGACATCTTTTAAACTTACACTTACTTTTTACATTTGACCTTGCAATTAGGGTAAATTTGCAGGCCCAATTATTATAGGAGTGTGTGTGTCCATTAAAATAATAGCACAAGTTAAACACCTAATTAATTAACGTACACACTCCAGATTGAAGGGTGGACTATTGCAGGAAAACGATGTATCTCACCTGTGTGTACTTGTTTCATCTCATATTTTAGAATTATCTATGGATCTTAATATTTTTAATGTCTCCCTGAGAGGAGGAATAATGAAAAAATGAAACTTGCTATATTATAAAAGGAAACATAATTTTAAAATTTTTATCTAAACAAAAAGACCCTATTCTTTTAGAATGTAGACAAAATAGAACCTGCAACATTTTCACTGAACTAACTGTGGCTTAAGATGTTATGGCAAAATTAAGCATACATTACATCTAAGGTCAAAAGAATAAATAACAAATCCAGCACTTCCTGTAATAATAATAATTAAACATATAAAATCCTGTTCTAATTTAAATGAACACCTGAGACTAAATTCAGTATTGGTGCTGAGTTTGTGATTACTGTCTGAATGACAGCTAGTCTATTCTAAGCAGATCCTGTCTTTTGTTTCCCCATTTTTCTTCTTTCCCCTTCCAACCTACTTTTGTCTCATCGAATTGTCTTGTCTTTTAGGCCCCAGTTTCGCAATGGAACCACTCACAGTGGGTAAAGTTAAGCATGTGTCTTTGCAGGATCAAGGGTCTTAGCCTGTCTTTCTTTGGGGCAGAGACTCAATGTTAACAACCCCAAAAGGTCAAAATCATGAGTCAGACTCCAAAAATCATCAGATTTTCTTAACAATCATAAGAAATTTTAAAAATAATAAGTTTGGGGTCTTCTTATTTACATTCTGGCCTTTGAACCATTAAGGTGCCCTTGGGTTACATTTTCAAGCTTTTCTTTGACTACAAAGACTAGAAACTTCCTTTTTGTTTTTAAATGACAGCTAAGATTCTTACCTAATCAGTGATCTCCAGGAGCTGGGGCTTTAAGCAAAATACCAAATATCACAAGACTCTTGACAAAATCATAAGACGTGGCAGCATGGGGACTGTCATTTACTATTTATGCCTGGTACAACAGAGGCCTGACCTGGTTGAGGCATCTAGGTACTTCAACATTAGATAGGTTAAGTCATAATAGTGAAAGCAGATACAACTTCTGAAGCCAATGAATGTTGTGCCTATTTATACTGGGCTGGATTTAACCTTGAAGTCAGTGAAAGTTTTCATAGACAAATCAGCGTTGTCTTATAAAAACAGAACAGAAATCGTCATAACATAGCATAGCATAATAATGCTTCTCCCAAGACTTTGCCAACCAGAATTTTGGACTTAGAACTACTTTTATTTTTTGCTCTTAATACATTTTATGTTGCCTCAGTGTGGTTTTAATTTGCTGGCTTTTACATACTTTGCAAACATCAGAAAAGTAAGAAGTAACAACCATTTTTGATAAAAATTTCAAAAGCTCCAAAATGACTTAGCAGACTAAGTCCCATTTTCAAAGTCCCTTTGACTTGCAATGAGATTTAGGCTCCTAAGTACCTAACAATCTCTTTAGAAAATGGGACTTAGGCTTCTGTCACTTAGATGCTTCTGAAAATCTTATCCTTTGTGCATTTCTATGGAAGGTCTGAAGAGTATTCCAGTAACTGCTCCTTTCCCATTATACAGTATACCTTATAGTATGTATAGTGTATGTCATTATCTGCCTATATCACTGTATGTATGTTCAGTAATGTACAGTATTGCACAGTTTGACAAGTTTGTTTTTAAAATGCTAAAAGATTTACATTATTTAAGTGTCTTCTTTCCTCTTGGTGTTTTCTTAAGGTCTCGTGATGTAGCTGTAGTAAATGTTTCCATGAATTTCACACCCAATAAAATCAATATCCAAAAGAAAAACTGTAATATGGATAAAAAAGAAACAGTATGCATAAATGCCACAATTTGTTTTGAAGTCAGACTAAAGTCTAAAGAAGATACATTAAATGAAACCAGTAAGTAGACAGCAAGTCATCGAATCTTTGCATGAAAACCTGCTCTATTTGCATTTGAGTTTGTTTTGGTTTGTCTTTTGGTTTTGGTAGGTTGGTTTGGGTTCCCTCCTCCCCCCAAAAAACAGCATGCAACTCTGAAATGATTATTTTTAAGTATGATATTCACAATCTATAAAAATATTAAAATTGTTAAAATTTTATTACAGTTTATTTTTAAAAAAACAGCAAAAATAAATGGGGAGAAAAAAGAGTAGGGAGATGTCTATCTGCTTATAATCCTATCCACATAGGTTTTATTATTTCAATTATCTTTGTAGGTATACAGTATTGGGCTACGCTTGACTCACAAAGACAGATATCTCGAAGCTTGTTCATGGAAAGTCAAGAAAGGAAGATACAAAAAAATATCACTGTCAAAGGGTCAGAATGTATTAAACATAACTTCTACATGTTGGCAAGTAAATCATATAAAGTGGCTTTATTTTCTCATTGTTACACTACAGTTATCTCTAAGTGCATTTTTATTGCATTAATGCTAAAATAGATTAAAAAGGCTCCTTACATTCACGATCATTGTCAATAGCCGGTATACACATTATTAATCAGTTTCATAGTATTAATATTTTTGACTATATATTAAATTCTCCTAGCTCAATTTATTTTTATTTCTTTGTTATTTATATTTAAAATCCAAATAACACATTTGGGCTGAATTCATCAGCCATGTAAAGGATGGTGGTGATGACTTAGGTGTGAGCAAAAGAGTCAGCTGGAAGATGTGAGATGAAAGTGTAATTTGCACATTGGTGCAATTCTTTGCTAGTGTAACTCTAATTAGGGTTGGGACAGAGTATGTGTGAGATGACCAGAGCTAGACCTCTTTACTATGAAAAAATAAATGTAAAGCAGTTAGCAGTTCATATGAAAGGTCCATTATGATCATTGGTTTTATAGAATCATTAGGGATTTACACTATTCAATACCTATTCTTAAAACATCTAGCGCTGAATGCTCAAAAGGATTTCGGCATTGTCACACTGAGCCCAATGACTGGCCCAACTGACTCTTTAAAGGGGAAAAAATGAGAGCACAAGCATGAGAATGACTGACTCTGTAGCCTGATGCTTGGACTACTTACCCAGGATGTGGGAGACACAGCATCCAGTCCCCCTGCTCCAGTGATTCTTTCATTATTTATCCACAGTGCAAATTCATCAACAGGAGAGACAGAGTGACTCCCTATATCAGAATATCCCATAGTATAATGGTTAGAGCACTCATTTGAGAGGTGGCAGCTCCTCCTCCTCTCCACCCCTCAAGCTGCTTTGTGTAAGCTCGCCTATGGGAGCCCAATCCGTTAGGCAGCCTGTGAGCACATCTACTGCATCAGGCCTCTTGGGGGAGTTACGGGACCAAACACCTTTCTTCCCGTGGTCTGTGAATCACGCAAGGGCTTAGGTGGGAGATAGGCATCTGGACGCTCACAGGGAGGCAGCAGTGCACTTGCTCAGAAACACAAGTGCCTAAGGAGCTTTTACAGCAAAAACTTAGGTGGCGGGCGAGTTGAGATGCCTACAAGGTCATTGGGAGTTTTGTGCATCGCAGTGGTCCGAGAACTGGGACCTACGTTCCTAACTCCTGTTGTGCACCCATATCCTAGCAACTCCACAGTTGCTTGCTGAAAAAATTACCCTACTGGTATATGATGCATAAGATTTGCTTGAACGTGCAATATGTGTAAGAATAATGGGCACAGATTCATCCCTGGCACAAAAGGGCACTCCATTCATGTCCGTGGGCCTCGTATTTGCCTATTCCAGGGCTGCCTTTGAAAAATAAGAAGTATAAAAGTAACTGTAAATGTTGACGCATTTAAGATCTTGAATGATTGTGCATTGGTAGAGGGATGGACTAGATGACCTTTTGTGATCCTATGGGACATGTATTTTGGAGGTTTTGGTTGGAAACCAGCTGGTCGTCATTAGCTAACTAGACCAAGTTGTTCCTTTTCCAGATATTTTTCCTACACTGTGGTTCTGATGAGAATGAGACTGAAAAATATTGCACTTGGGGGGGGTTCTCCGTATTTATTCTCCTTTAGAGGCTTCCATACCAATAGTGGTTTTAAGGGAAAATGTCAAACAGTTTCATTTATTTCATTTCTAGGACAAGCCTGATTTTCAGAACTCTGTAAAGGTTTTGTTGGAGTTCAATTTTTCCAACCCAGAGAATGGGCCAGTTCTCGATAGTGACCAGCCGAACTCAGCGTATGAATATGTAAGTCATTAAGATTCATTGCTAATATCTAGAGTATTTAAGCTGAGATTCACCCCTCTCCAGACAGCTCCTGCAAGGCCTAGAGCTGGATGGCTTAGTCCATAAATTGGCTAGGGCTGGACAGTGAGGATGGAGGGGCCAGGCTGGGAGATGCATTCTCCCATGAAACCTCCATTGGTGGGGACTTTGACTTCAGTGGCATTTGAATCAGGTTGTGAAGCTCTAACTGAATTTTAAAGCTGAATGACCTGCCCATAGGACACTCCAGCGAAAGGAGGCAGCTGTATCTAGTCTACAAATTAGAGCAGGGGAATGTGTCAGGACTCATTGGTACTATTCACAATTTTGCCACTGACTCACTCTGTGATTTTGGTTAAATCACTTAACCTTTCTGTTCATCCATGCGTAGGTATCCCTCTTCTGCAGCTGGGTAATAACACCCAATAATTTCACAGGGTAGCAGGAGGCTTCATTAACTAATAACAACAAAGGTCTCCATGACAGTCAAACAAAAGGTGTTTTATAATGTAAAATACATAATGACTTGAAATGCTGATACTTAGATTTTGATTATACTTATAACAAAATGTGAATACAACTATCAATATTATTGTTGCAGATTCCTTTCACAAAAGACTGTGGAATCAAAAATAAATGTATTACAGATCTCGTTCTGATTATAACAACAAGTATAGCTGGAGACAGGTAACTACACTGAAACTTAATATAGCTGCCATACTAATAAAATAGAGATTCTGTGTTCTGATAGAATACTGGTGATCAATGTTGTCTCAATCAAAGACAAAACAGTATGGCCATGGGAAAAAGTTCCATTGCTTAATTTTTTTTATCAGTTTGTAATGTAAAGATAATTAACACAATTATTTTATTTTATTTTACAGTTCCTCTCCATTCATCATAAAGTCAAGCAATGATAAGTTCAACGTGCTACTGTCTGTCAGGAATAAAAAAGACAGTGCCTATAATACCAGAGTCTTAGTACAGTACTCTCCAAACATTATTTTTGCTGGAATTGAGGTATAGATTTTTCAATTATCACAATCTGATGGAGAGATTTGAGGGGGTTGGTCTATTAAGCTGCTAAACTAGGGACATCAGTTTGAGAATTATCATGGGACTAAAATTCATTAGGCCAGTGCAAACCAAGCACCATTATGGTCTTTAAGGAAATGGGTGAGAAACAGTACTGTTCAACTGAGGATGATGTCAGAGCAGTGAAGATACATAGGGCCTAAATCTGCCTTCACTCCCACCAGAGAGACAAGCTGGGTGAGGTAATATCTTTTATTGGACCAATTTCTGTTGGTGGAAGAGACAAGCTTTTGAGCTTCACAGAGCTTTTCCTCATGTTCTTCAGCTTTAGCCTGGATGCTCTGGTTATCTTCTCCAGACCTGAGGAAGAGCTCTGTGAAGTTTGAAAGCTCATCCCTTCCATCAACCGAAGTAGGTCCAATAAAAGATATTACCTTACCCACCTTGTCTCTCTTATATCCTGGGACTGACACAGCAACAGCATCAAAGCAAATTCACTTACATCAGGAAGACGATGTAACTCTTTTGACTTAAAGGAACCATATTCATTGGTGTAAGTGAAAGGAGGAATCAGTTCCATGAATGCAGTCTTGGAGGAAGCTCTGCATCATATCATCATAGTCAAAGGGCAAGAAGGAGCACCTACAGCAGCAACAGTTGGGAAGAGGGGATTATGAAATGCACGGGAAGGAGAGAATAACAATATGTGCTTTGCTGACATTCTGATATCAGGGGTACGGGGAAGCACCTTATCAGTTAAAACAAATATTAATAATAAACATGTGATGACCTCAGGGCTATAGAAAGTTAATGATAAACAATTCTGAAGTTACCAAGATGATTGGTTTGATTAGATGTCAAGAATTTAAAATGCTGTTGATCTATTTATCATGGGCCTGCTTTTTAAAAGTGTGCATGTAATTATGTGCCTAAGTTGTGTACACAGTTTCCACCATTATATGTACAAATCAAGTATTTGTGCATACAAATGGCCAGTTAGATCCAGTGCTTGATTGCATGATTCCTGGTGTGTATGAAGTAAATGCTAGATTTATATGGAGTCATGGTAATTGTGCTTGCAAGTAGGCGTGATTGTGCATGCATTTTTGTGCATTCTGAGTATGAAACAAGAACATTATAGGAGAAGTGTAAACAAGCCAAGACAGCTGGGAAAGCAGAAGAATTAAAAGCATTGCACAAAGCAGTGAGGAAATAACAAATGTTGGACAAGAAAAGTTTTGGAATGAAGACACTCAACAACTGGCAGGAGCAGCAACAAAACAAGATATGAAAATGATATACAAAAGGGTTAAGGTGTACAGAAACACAATCAGGGCAATAATGCAAGTTGTCAGACAGCCTCCAGTGAATTAACAACCAATGTCAAAGAGGTGATTAAAGTCTGGAAAGGAACATTTTGACAAAATGCTGAACCCTGTAGTGGGAATGTGGATTAAAGATGTCTGCTGCTTTCATCAACTTCACAAAGGCATTTAATTTGGTTTGGAGTGAAGTATTGTGGAAAGTAGTAACATCTATATGGAGTTCCAGCTAGGATAACCGCAGTGAAAAAAGTTATGTATGAAGTCTCCTGTTCTTCTGGTGGAAGATTAAGCATCTGATTCAAGTAAGAGGGGTGTAAAACAAGAGGGCATGGAATAACCAACACTATTTATCATGTTCCTAAATTAGATGTTAAGAATAGTAGATGAGATGGAGGGTGTGACATTGTGTGATCTAGAATTAAGTTCTGTAGCTTATGCAGATGACATTGTACAACTGCCAGACACCTTTGATTTAAATATGATACTCTTCACTACCAGGGAAAATTGGTGTAGTCAACTTGGACTTACAATACATGCCAAGAAGATGAAGTGGTTGCATCTTGTGAAATGGACAATAGATGAAGTGTTGAAATGCAGCAGTGGTGAAGCCATTGAACAAGTGAAATTTTATGTGTACCTAGGAAGCTTGATCATTGTCGATGGTTCCATCAAAGTTGAGGTTAAAACATGTACTTTGGCTACCAAAGTGAAAATTTATCAAGCGAGTTTATTAACGTAGTACTCTGGAAGTAGCTGCATTAAATTAAATGGATATCAGAAGGCTTTAGGCAGTAGAGATGAGAGTTCTTTGGAAGATGGCAGGTATAAAAAGTGGGATGATGTTAAAAGAAATGAAGTTAGGAGGAGAGTAGAATGTGAAATCGGAGATCGTTATGAGATTGGCTGCAATCAAAAATATTATAATGGTGGGGACATTGGACAAGATAAACGGTAGAAAGGAAGCCAAATAAATTAATGCAAAAGACAACCAGGGTCAGTCAGACCTAGAGGCTGATCAGACTTGGTGATGGAACATCATACATAGGGACATGACCAAGCTGGGCTTAGTGGAGGTATGAATCATAGGACTGGAAGGGACCTTGAGAGGTCATCTAGTCCAGTCCCCTGCACTCTTGGCAGGACTAAGTATTAGCTAGACCTTTCCTGACAGGTGTTTGTCCAACCTGCTCTTAAAAATCCCCAGTGATGGAGATTCCACAACCTCCCTAGGCAATTTATTCCAGTGCTTAACCACCTTTTGACAGTTAAGAAGTTTTTCCTAATGTCCAAACTGAACCTCCCTTGCTGCAATTTAAGCCCATTGCTTCTTGTCCTATCCTCAGAGGTTAAGAACAACAATTTTTCTCCCTCCTCCTTGTAACAACCTTTTACATACTTGAAAACTGTTATCATGTCCCCTCTCAGTCTTCTCTTTTCCAGACTAAACAAACACAGGGTTTTTTTTCAATCTTCCCTCATAGGTCTTGTTTTCTAGACCTTTAATCATTTTTGTCACTCTTCTCTGGATTCTCTCCAATTTGTCTACATCCTTCCTGCAATGTGGCGCCCATAACTGGACACAATGCTCCAGTTGAGGCCTAATCAGCGCGGAGTAGAGTGGAAGAATTACTTCTTGTGTCTTGCTTACAACACTCCTGCTAATACATCCCAGAATGATGTTCGCTTTTTTTTTTTTTTTTTTTTGCAACAGTGTTACACTGTTGATTCATGTTTAGCTTGTGGTCCACTATGACCCCCAGATCCCTTTCCCCAGTACTCCTTCCTAGGCAGTCATTTCCCATTTTGTATGTGTGCAACTGATTGTTCCTTCCTAAGTGGAATACTTTGCATTTGTCCTTATTGAATTTCATCCTATTTACTTCAGACCATTTCTCCAGTTTCTCCAGATCATTTTGAATTTTAATCCTATCCTCCAAAGCACTTGCAACCCCTCCCAGCTTGGTATCATATGCAAACTTTCTAAATGTATTCTCTATGCCATTATCCAAATCATTGATGAAGATATTGAACAGAACTGGATCTAGAACTGATCCCTGCGGGACCCCACTCATTATGTCCTTCCAGCATAACTGTGAACCACTGATAACCACTCTCTGGGAATGGTTTTTCAACCAGTTTTGCACTCACCTTATAGTAGCTCCATCTAGGCTGCATTTCCCTAGTTTGTTTGAGAAGGTCATGCGAGACAGTGTCAAAAGCTTTACCAAAGTCAAGATATACCATGTCTACCACTTCCCCATCCACAAGGCTTGTTACCCTGCCAAAGAAAGCTATCAGGTTGGTTTGACACAATTTGTTTTTGACAAATCCATGCTGACTGTCACTCATCACCTTATTATCTTCTAGATGTTTGCAAATTGATTGCTTAACTATTTGTTCCATTATCTTTCCGGGTACAGAAGTTAAGCTGACTGGTCTGTAATTCTCCGGGTTGTCTTTATTTCCATTTTTATAGATTGGTACTATATTTGCCCTTTTCCGGTCTTCTGGAATCTCTCCAGTCTTCCATGACTTTTCAAAGATAATCGCTAATGACTCAGATATCTCCTCAGTCAGCTCCTTGAGTATTCTAGAATGCATTTCATCAGGCCCTGGTGACTTGAAGACATCTAATTTGTCTAAGTTATTTTTAACTTGTTCTTTCCCTATTTTTGCCTCTTCTGATCCTACCTCATTTTCACTGGTAGTCACTATGTTAGACGTCCAATCACCACCAGCCTTCTTGGTGAAAACCGAAACAAAGAAGTCATTAAGCACCTCTGCCATTTCCACATTTTCTGTTATTATTCCCCCCCCCCCCCGGCCCCTCATTGAGTAACGGGCCTACCCTGTCCTTAGTCTTCCTCTTGCTTCTAGTGTATTTGTAGAATGTTTTCTTGTTACCCTTTATATCTCCAGCTAGATAGATCTTGCTTTGTGCCTTGACCTTTCTAATTTTGTCCCTATGTACTTGTGTTAGTTGTATATACTCATCCTTTGTAATTTGACCTAGTTTCCACTTTTTGTAGGACTTTTTTTTTAGATCATTGAAGATCTTCTGGTTAAGCTTGGGTGGTCTCTTCCCATACTTCCTGTCTTTCCTTCACAGTGGGATAGTTTGTGCCCTTAATAATGTCTCTTTGAAAAACTGCCAAATGTCTTCAATTGTTTTTCCCCTTAGAGTTGCTTCCCACAGGATCTTATCTACCAACTCCCTGAGTTTGCTAACGTCTGTCTTCTTGAAATCCATTGTCTTTATTTTGCTGTTCTCCCTCCTACTATACCTTAGAATCATGAACTCATCATTTCATGATCACTTTCACCCAAGCTGCCTTCCACTTTCAAATTCTTAGCAGTTCCTCCCTATTTTTCAAAATCAAATCTAGAACAGCCTCTCCCCTAGTAACTTTCTCCACCTTCTGAAATAAAAAATTGTCTCCAATACATTCCAAGAACTCATTGGATACTCTGTACCCTGCTGTGTTATTTTCCCAATAGATGTCTGAGTAGTTGAAGTCCCCCACTTCACCACTGAATGGTGACACTGTACTGCTCCCCATATTTGTAAAGATGCTTTGGGATGAGAAGAGAATTCTTTTGCATGTAGGCATATTTTAAACTCAAGCCCTATGCATTTTGTGAAGTGCTCTGTACACTTTCACTGATAATAATAGTAATTCTGATATAACTTTATATAACAATATTATGATAAAAATATTTTACATATGTTATGAAACAAATGTAGAAAGTCATATCCATTAACAATTTGAATTTTAGATTATGATGATGATGGAATGTAACTATTACAAAGAATGTGATATACTTCTGGACTGTTTAATTTTTAATTAACACATTTTTAAAATGTTTCACATAAAAGTGAAATCACTCTTGTAATGATGTGACTCTTTCTGTCTAGGGTATACAGAAAGATAGCTGTGAATCCAATCACAATATTACCTGTAAAGTGGGATACCCTTTCCTAAAGTCTGGAGAAGAGGTAGGAAACTGTTAATGGAATATTTTTGGAGAGGGCAGCAGCCCTGTATGGCAGCTGTCCATCCTGAGCTTTGCTACATGATCAGTTATGTATTTATGCACCAATTAAGCTTCTAGATGTAAATAAATCTCAAATAACTCCATGTCAATGAAAAAAGAACTCCCCACACACACACACACACACACACACACACACACCTCACTGTGCCTCCGTAAAATAAAACTCAAAAGGTCCCCTTTCTAATATAGGTCTAGATTTTGTCTCTATGGAAATAGCCATGTAAGATCCAGGAAATGCCATGATGTTCTCCCCCCCCCCCCCCCCCCCACCGCACATTTAACTTTCAATTCTTCACGGAAGAAACCTAGCCTCTATAATGAATGGGGAGAGATAGGTACCTTAGAATGTGATTCACAAAAGCCGTGTGTGAGAGAGGTGTGTCCTAAACCCTGCCCCTCTCACAGAGATAGTTGTCTCATTCCAGGATGCAGGGACGCACCTGGCTCTGCTAGTCAACCACAAACAGAAACCTTTCTCTTGGAATCAGGCAGTTTAGCCACCTAAGTTGGGTTTTGTGAGAATGAGTTAGGCATGTGCGTCACTCACACAAAACAGGAGGTTAAGATGACACCCACCTTATAACTTTTAGCTCAGTGGTTATGGCACTCAATTAAAGAGCAGGAGCACTGTGCCTTGGGTATCCCACCTTCCAGGTGGATGCTTTAGCTAGCAGGTTACAGAGTCATTCTCTCTCTCTCTCTCGCTCTGTTTCTGGCCCTATGGCTCTTTAAGAATTTATCCACAATGAAACCACTTCAACGGGTGAGACTAAAGGAGCCCCACATTGAAATATCCCCATCAGACAAAAGGGGGAGTTGAATCAGGGTCCTCCACATCCCACGTGAGTGCTCTAACCACTGAGCTAAAAGTTATAACATTGCTGCTGCCACCGCCTTTTCCATTCTAAATGGGACCCAACATGATGATCAGCCTACGAGCACACCTACTGAATGGGGCCTCACATGCGAGATAGGCAGGCAAACATCAAACTTTCCCCAGTTCCAGATCGCTCTGGGGCTTACTCAGGAGATAGGTGTCTGGATTCTTCCACTGAGGCAGCAGTGCACATGCTCAGAGAGAGCTTTTACCCTGGAAATGTAGGCACTGATTTTACATGCCTGAGGGTTCAGCAGGAGTTTTGTGGCTGGCTCTACCACAGGCCCTGCCCCCACTCCACCCCATCCCACCCCCTCCCTTGAGCCTGCCGTGCCCTTGCTCCTTCCCCTTCCCCCACAGAGCCTCCTGCACACCATGAAACAGCTGATTGGGAGGTACGGGGAGGGAGGGGAGGTGCTGATTGACGGGGCTGCTGCTGGATGGGAGACGCTAGGAGCCGGGGTGGGAGCTGATGTGGGGACTACTGATGTATTACTGCGGCTCTTTGGCAATGTACATTGGTAAATTCTGGCTCCTTCTGAGGCTCAGGTTGGCCATCCCTGAGCTAGATGAAAGAAAATTTCCTGTAACCTCAACATTTTGCATAAGAAACATACCTAGAGACCTGGAAGTAAAAATGTTTAAACAATTGTAAACTATTTCTTTATATTTTAGGAATAAATTTCTGGTAGCCCAGATGTATTCTTTGGTGATTAAATCAAATGTCCAGATGCAGCACTTTAAATTTGGACTTCAGTGTTTGTAAAATAGCTTAAAATAAGGACAATCAATTGCACTTAAATTGCTCTCGGATAAAATATCTTATTCCTTTTATTCTGGGGTACACCAAATCTTGTGCAGATATAATAAATTACCTTAGATTCTCTCTCACACACCAATATACACACTTTTCCAATTCCAGTCTCTGAACAGTAGCAACTAGATAAACTGTTCTTTCCATGTAGACAAATCAGGACAAACCCCACTTATTATTCCCATTCGCAGCTTCTTAAGAGTCTTCTCATTTTACTTTCCAACTGTAATTGTCAGTTTGTCGGTGGCTAGAGTCCTTCAATTCCCACTCAGTCTGAAAACCTAGATGTTTCATACCCTCATTTGCATTCAGATATTAATTCGTCTAATTGGCTGATAAACAGTCCCAGTAAATTCCTGTTCTAGGTCTCTTCCTGACTTCCTTATATGCTCAAATTGCCCATACAATGTTCTCTGGATCACTTATACTAAAGTTGTGCACACATTTAAACCAATGGAGAAATAAAGAGCTTGAATTCAAATTCCTTTAGATTAACAAACTGTAAGATTGCTATATCACATAATTACCAAATGCTACATTTTCATTAAACCAAAGCAAAACTGCTACGGTGTAATCTGTCTAGTGATGCTGAGAGGTGCATGTTTAGAACAGAGCTTCCAAAGCCTTCCAAGTGACCATGTAATGCTATATTGGCCTTAATTATAGTCATTAGTAAATTGTTGTAAAATCCAGGATTATTTATTTGTTTAGATTTCTTAAATACATTTTAAAAATACCTATTCAACACTCTAGGCACCTTTGCCATGTATTAAAAATGCCATCACATTAGTACGAACAGATGCAAACCCAGCAGCCTCTTCTAAATGAGGAAGGGAAACAGCCCATACCAGCTATACGACCAAGGCTTTGTATACAGATCCCTCCCTAAAGGCCTGATAGCTGTTGTACCAGGCTCTCGGGATCAACAGATGTGGAATTCTTAAATCAAGGAAATTAAATTTACAAATTTGGAATTTAAATATGTAATTTTATTTTAATTATCTTTTATACACACATTATATATTCAATTTTATTCTGAGCCACCAGTTTTGAAAAATTGGCCCTGCAGTGTGATAACCTGATTGCTATTGGATTTCCTTTTCATTTTGGGCAAAATCCTGAAGTCCTACTCGTTCAGTTAGATGGACTGAAAACTCAGTATGGACTCATAGATTTTTGACTTAGGAATTTTGCCAGTTTTCATCTGAATACATTTTAATGTTTAGCTGAGTATTACTCTCCTTTTCTTAGTATCTTTTTAAAATATGTGTTTTCTCCCCCAGATTTCTTTCAGAATAGTATTCCAATTCAACGCTTCTTATCTTCTGGAAAATGCTACTGTTCAGGTGTATGTAACAAGGTTAGTTACCAAAATTGCTTTTATATCTCAAACTTTCCTTTTAGTTACTGTATAGCTTGCGCTCCAGCTGGTATGACAGAGATGGGGAGTTTTTTTTGGGGGGGGGGGGGGGTTTGGTTCAAAAGAGAATATTAAATGTCTAGAATGGCCAGCTTTAGAGATGTACAGAACTATTGGTTTGTTTGAGGCTATCAAATGATGTGGATTAAATAAATGGACATTCATTTATAGAGGCCAATGAGACGAGTGACTCAGATTTTCTAGCCTCAACCACAGAAGACATCTGTTCTGATAATAAAATTACCATACATTGTAACACAATTTGCAGTCTCTGCCAAGGAGAGAAGCCTAGGCCTCAAATAGCAATGGTGTTGCAGCAAGTCAAGATTGAGGTGCCTTGCCATAGCTGCATGGGTAAATTGGACTGCACCTGCCTGTAATATATGGTGTCACAGGAAATTACAGGGATTGTGTGATGGAGATTGCCCCTACTTGATATAATGTAGCTATTTTCAATCTACAGCAGTTTGTATTCTCATTTCTACAAGGGTGTAATTTTGACTTTGGCCTAATGCAGTATGTACCTTTTACTTACTGGAAAGAGCCATTTCAATTTATTTTTAAAAGACCATAATTAACTTGAAATGGCCAGTGGGATTTTTTATATCCACAGCTGCAGGTATTTCAGTCTCTCAGAGCCCTTCCCACCGACTATACATACTGTGTACTGAGGAGTATCATAATCTGACCAGAGTGGTATGTGTTGTTCTGTTCTAGTGACAGCGAAGAACCACTTGAGACCCTGACTGACAATGGAGGAGACGTTAGAATCCCAGTAAAATATGAAATGGGATTAATATTTTTAAGGTATTAATGTTTTTCTGTATTTAATTTTCTAGTATGGGATACAGCAGACATTTAAAGAGACTATTGTGTGGTTTTGCTGTTAGCTTGTACTTGGTAGTGTAGACAAAAGACAAACACTGGTCTCGTGAATAAAAAGCAAAGGGTTTATTGAAATGGATCAGTCACTGTCCGCAGCAGGCTGCAGCCACTTTTTATTTATCTACATGTGATTTATAGGATGACTAGTGCAATAGCAGCTTTCGTTGACTCTCATACTTTGTTCTGTTCATTCAGAGGTGTGTCACGTGCGTTAGAAAGCATAGCTTTCCCCTCGTAGTGAAAACTAGCATTTTGTATTGGCCTTCTATTGTTTTTTTTTTTAAGGTTTCATAAATTAGCCTTAATTTCCAGATTCTCAAAAGCCTTTTAACAGTTCACATATACATTTTTAATTCAAGGGTTCTGCCATAATAAAGATATATTCTTTGTTCTCAGGAACAGTTGAAATTCAGTTGAATTCCATCCTTAGAAATATGTGTGCAGGGTATGCCTACATATATCAATATGGGATGTGCTGTGTGTATATTTGTATATGTAAATGATTAGGCTGAATTCATTCCAACTGGGATTTTCAAAGTATCTGAAGGCAGTTAAGTGCCTAACTCCCATTTTTGCTTCTGAAAATTTCCCACTCTTTGTGTTACTTCGTTGACTTAAATCATCCCTAATAAATGGGTGTCAAATCTAGCTTTGAATACAGGTCCTCCCCATATGGAATAGAGTTAAATTTGACCCATCTGTTTTTTTCCACCTTTTCTCTTTTCTGTTTGTTTATTAGGATTCTGCCTATTTCGCATGGCACTAGGGTTGGAGTGAAGTACTGCTCAATGTGAGCAAGGCAGTGTAGAGTCAGGCCTTGAATCCATCTTTCTTTTATGAATGATTTGTTCTGATATAGTTTTAACCAAACAAGGGATTTGTAATGTACATTTGTACTTAAAAAGACACAAGCACTTCTTAGAAAATGTGCATTAATGGAAATAGTAGCACACTGTAATAAAACTAGCCCTGAAGGATTAACTTAAAGTAACAAAAAGTTCTCTATAATTAACTTAGAGTGCATGATTATAAAGGTTTTGTTATTTTTTTAACCCACAGTCATTTGAAAGATCCCAAAGAACCCCATATTATAATTGCCGCAAATGATACAGTTCCTGCTGTTATTAATACAACTGAGAACATTGGGGATGAAGTTAACATAAACTATAAGGTAAGAAACTGTACAATGACACTATAAAGGGACTAGTTCTGTTTTTGAACTTGGTTGAATGCACTTATGTCCTTTGCTAACCTATTACCTAAGTGTCACATTTGCAACATATTAAACCTCCTACAGCAGCATTTTGTGTTTTTTGCTTTCAAAATATTATATATCAGCGGTATTCAAATGTGATCTGTGGGCCATGGAGCCATTCAAGACGGTCAATGGGAAAGCATGTGCCATTGAAACTAGAAGCTTCCCTTAATTCATTACAGTTTGTACTTATTTTTGAAAATTGATATTTCCAGAAACTAGCTAGCTTTGAAGGAAGTACCATGCTCTAAGGACTTTGCATTTCTAATTAAATGAAGATGGCAAAGTAGAATACTTGGGCTGGAAGAGACATTTAGTGGGTTATAAATCCCTCACATTGTAGCAGGACTGATTTTAGTTATCTCTAAAACATCCCTGTTTCCCAGTTTTAAATCTAGCATTGAATATTAGTCCTATCCGTATGAAAAGTCTGAATCAGCAACTTTCTGTGTGTAATAGATGGGCCTTGGGAAAGGACTAACTCTATGCAGTAATTACAAAGGTGAAATTGTTATCCCTCTGTTATATTATATCCCACCTATGTCGTTGTTACCCACCCATACTTTTTAAACATTACAGTTTAGATACAGTATTCTCCAATCTTTGTGTTAATGTTAAAATTAAGAGATTGTTTGAGGTGGGATGATCTGATTTCTAAACCCTACCTGACTGAATAAAGGCAGAAGCTGAGGGGCTGCAAAGCGCGTAGTCAGAAATCTGATAGACAGTGTCCCTGCTACTAGCTTGGGACCCTGCTTGTAAGTGATAGTCCTCCTCCCCACCCCTTCCTGCAGAGTGCCGATTCAGAAGGAGCAGAAATTTGTGTGTGAGAGAGAGAGAGAAGCCACTGTGATCTGAGAAACAAGTCAGACTGAGTTGAGATAGGGAAGGAGGGGAGCTGCAAGAAGACTGTTGCTTTAGAGCTGTTCTAAGAGTCTTTGGGGAAGAACGTTCTTTTGAGCCAGCTAGTGCTGCTGCCAGAAGCCATTTCCTTTTCCCAACAATGGCTCCTCTACTGCTTCCCAAGTTAGAGCATTGTTTTGGACTTGAACACGGAGTTAAAAATAGAAAGAAAAGCCCCTAGGAACTCATGTAATACAAGCCCTAAAGGGAAAACAGATGAGTTGTACAAGGGAGTGGCAAGAAATGTAGAATATGTCAAAATAGAAACGCGGACTGAATCCTGTCTTTCTGTCTGCATCCACCTATTTATTCATCAGATACATAGTAAACTGCATTTGCTAATTCTGGAGTACAATTAATACCTGTCTGCTGCTTGAATAAAATTAATGGAGCTCACATCATGCTCCCTTTCACCACTGGCTGACTGCATAGTTATGAAGGGTTAAATTTAGAGGCAAGAGCAACAAGGGTGATGTTATGGTGGACATGTGCTATAGACCACCGGATCAGAAGGATGAGGTAGACAAGGCTTTCTTCGGACAACTAACTGTAGTTTCCAGATCACAGGCCCTGCTTGTAATGGGGGACTTCAATCACCCTGGACTATAAGGTGGATAGAAAGCTGGCTAGATCATTGGGCTCAATAGGTAGTGATCAATGGCTCCATGTCTAGTTGACAGCCAGTACCAAGCGGAGTGCCCCAAGGGTCGGTCCTGGGGCTGGTTTTGTTCAATATCTTCATTAACGATCTGGAGGATGATGTGGATTGCACCCTTAGCAAGTTTGCAGATGACACTAAACTGGGAGGATTGGTAGATAGGATACAGAGGTCCCTAGACAAATTAGAGGATTGGGCCAAAAGAAATCTGATGAGGTTCAGCAAGGACAAGTGCAGAGTCCTGCACCTAGGAAAGAAGAATTCCATGCTCTGCTACAGGCTGGGGACCTACTGGCTAAGCAGCATTTCTGCAGAAAAAGACCTGGGGATTACAGTGGACGAGAGGCTGGATATTAGTCAGCAGTGTGCCCTTTTTGCCAAGAAGGCCAACGGCAAATTGGGCTGTATTAGTAAGAGCATTGCCAACAGATCGAGGGAAGTGATTATTGCCTTCTATTTGGCACTGGTGAGGCCACACCTGGAGTATTGTGTCCAGTTTTGGTCCCCCTACTACAGAAGGGATGTGGACAAATTGGAGAGAGTCCAGCAGAGGGCAACAAAAATTATTAGGGGGCAGGGCAACATGACTTACGAGGAGAGGCTGAGGGAACTGGGGTTATTTAGTCTGCAGAAGAGAAGAGTGATGAGGGATTTGATAGCAGCCTTCAACTACCTGAAGGGGGGTTCCAAAGAAGATGGAGCTAGGCTGTTCTCAGTGGTGGCAGATGACAGAACAAGAAGCAATGGTCTCAAGTTGCAGTGGGGGAGGTCTAGGTTGGATATTAGGAGACACTTCACTATTTCACTAGGAGGGTGAAATAAACCCAATCACTGGAATGGGTTACCTAGGGAGGTGGTGGAATCTCGATCCTTAGAGGTTTTAAGGCCTGGCTTGACAAAGCCCTGGCTGGGATGATTTAGTTGGTGTTGATCCTGCTTTGAGCAGGGGATTGGACTAGATGACCTCCCGAGGTCTCTTCCAACCCTAATATTCTATGATTCTATGAAGGGGGGGGGGGGGGAACCACAGTCAAACACCAATAAGATAAGGAAGGTCCTAACTAGAAAACAGAAAATACAGAGTTGTTCTTGTTTCTTGTAGATTGAAAAAGGTGAACACTTTCCAGTGCCACAACTCACTCTGCAGATTTCATTCCCCAACTTGACTTTGTCCAAAAACCCCATTCTCTACCTAAGTGGATTGTCATTTTCAGATGTAAGTTATGACTATAAACATGAATGCACCTTCATTTTATTCTAAAGTTTAAATGTTTTTCTTCCATTTTTTTGTGTTTGGTGTCAGAAAATGAAAGACTCAATTTGATTACATATGGGCACTTAAATTTAGCTTTGATTGCAATCTACATGATAACTTGGATTTGGAATAAGATGTAAACCTTCTTGAAGAATTTCTAGAAATGTAGCCGTTCACAAAATAAGGCCTGCCTCGCTTTGGTGTTTGAACAATAATTTGAAGATATCAAGATTAATTTCATTTATTGTCAAGCGCGTGGCTTAGTGGTTAGGGCACTGAAAAGCTTCAGCAGCATCCTGCTTTTCACTGAAGCATATAGCTACATGCACACTACCTACCACTGCCAATGGTGTGCAGATTAGATGTAGCCTAAATTACCTCATAAAAGACTGTCATATTTGTAATGAGAAAGATAATAAAAATAATATGCTTCAATAGGTATGTCACCTTCATTTTGCTCTTCTATGCTCTGGTTATTAACAAATGTATAGAAATGGGTATACTATAAAATGATCTTGTTGTTACAGTTGCTAAATCTTAGGGTACTGACCTATTTCTGGAGCTTTTTCATGTTATTATTTTGGACCTTCGGGCAGTAAGAGAGATGTTGGTATTTTTTCTAACAGAATGCAGTCTGCCAAACCAGTCACCCTATAGATCCATTCAAGATCAATTCTGGGACGCTGTTTGTGGTGGCAAAAAAAAAAGAGCCTACAAAAGATACAAGTATGGTAAGCCTGTCTAAAATGTGTACATTCATTGCAGTATTTATCTGGAATGTTTTGAGTTGAATATTTCTAATAAATACTGTTAAGATATTCCTTCATATAATTTCGTCTTAAATATTTTAATAGCTGAAAGCGTTACCTTTAAAGGTAACATGCTATATTTTTTTATTAGCTCTTGCTGCAAAAACTGCACATGGAGCTGAACTACACATCCTTGGTCCAGATCTTCGACTTGTGTAAATCAGCGTAGCTCCGTTGACTTCAGTGGAACTATGCCTATTTACATCAGTGTAAATCTTTTATCCTTGTCCTTCTTGTCTAATGAAATAAATATTAAGTAATATTTTAAAGACCTGACCTTCCACTTCCTGGCAACTTTGTTTAGTCATTTCCAACTATGCAAAATTGGTACAAAATGCTAGCATTCTGATATGTTACATTTGAATTAAAAAGTAAGCTTGGTTATTTCTGTGTAATTTTTTTGTCTAGCCAAGCCCCGGTAATCAATATTCTTTTAGTGTTAATAACACATACAACTAACCTATAGTAAATTACAAATCACTAGTCTATACATCGGATGTTTTATTCTAGAGAGTCATATTAAAATGTTTAATTACTAATTCCTGTCCATAAACATTTAAACAGGACTGTGATACATACAACTGTGCATCTATTAATTGTACTCTGGCCCCATCTGGTATAACTCAAGTGAACATTTCATTAAGATTATGGAAACCTACCTTTATAAAAGTAAGTAAGCCTTCTCCACATTGAGTATAACTATGGGTTTGAAACAATATTAAGCCAAATATAATGCTTAGACAGTTATATTTCTTTTAATCTTCAGTCTTCTAGTACTTGAAATTGTTTCCTTACTATTTTAAGAATTTCCTTGAAATTAACCTACATATATTCTGTTACTGAGGTACTCAGAACATCAGAATTAAAAATGCATTTTCACCAGAGCTGCATAGAAAAGAATTATTACCTACCTCTGATGTGATACCTCTGTGTATATCACCCAAAATAGCATTCAGATTATAGCTAATATTTCACATTGCAAACTCCTATTTCAGCAATTCAGTTTTTCAAAACTCTATTTCCCTTTAAATATCTAAGCTTTGCCTTGTTTTTTGGAGATGTATTAGGGTCCACTCCTGCAAACACTTATGTATGCACTTAACTTGATGCTCATTAATTATACCTACATGCTTAAGATATTCATGTGTGCAATTTTTGCAGGATCAGGACTTTAAATATGTCAGTCTTAATTTCATATTTTTTGTTTTTTTCCCATAATTTTAACTATACTTGGGGTTCAATCCTACAAGTACTGAGATGTACTACAAGTACTGGCATGTTGCAGGATCAGACCATAGGTCCATGTGCATTATTTCTGTCTTCACTGTTGTTTGAAACTTTCATAGAATCATAGAATATCAGGGTTGGAAGGGACCTCAGGAGGTCATCTAGTCCAACCCCCTGCTCAAAGCAGGACCAATCCCCAATTAAATCATCCCAGCCAGGGCTTTGTCAAGCCTGACCTTAAAAACTTCTAAGGAAGGAGATTCTACCACCTCCCTAGGTAACGCATTCCAGTGTTTCACCACCCTTCTAGTGAAAGTTTTTCCTAATATCCAACCTACACCTCCCTCACTGCAACTTGATGCCATTACTCCTTGCCTTTCATCTTCTACCACTGAGAATAGTCTAGAACCATCCTCTTTGGAACCACATCTCAGGTAGTTGAAAGCAGCTATCAAATCCCCCCTCATTCTTCTCTTCTGCAGACTAAACAATCCCAGTTCCCTCAGCCTCTCCTCATAAATCATGTGTTCCAGACCCCTAATCATTTTTGTTGCCCTTCGCTAGACTCTCTCCAATTTTTCCACATCCTTCTTGTAGTGTGGGGCCCAAAACTGGACACAGTACTCCAGATGAGGCCTCACCAATGTCGAATAGAGGGGAACGATCACGTCCCTCGATCTGCTCGCTATGCCCCTACTTATACATCCCAAAATGCCATTGGCCTTCTTGGCAACAAGGGCACACTGCTGACTCATATCCAGCTTCTCGTCCACTGTCACCCTTAGGTCCTTTTCTGCAGAACTGCTGCCTAGCCATTCGGTCTCTAGTCTATAGCGGTGCATTGGATTCTTCCGTCCTAAGTGCAGGACCCTGCACTTATCCTTGTTGAACCTCATCAGATTTCTTTTGGCCCAATTCTCCAATTTGTCTAGGTCCCTCTGTATCCTATCCCTACCTGCCACCGTATCTACCACTTCTCCTAGTTTAGTATCATCCGCAAATTTGCTGAGAGTGCAATCCACACCATCCTCCAGATCATTTATGAAGATATTGAACAAAACCGGCCTCAGGACTGACCCTTGGGGCACTCCACTTGATACCAGCTGCCATCCAGACATGGAGCCATTGATCACTACCCGTTGAGCCTGACAATCTAGCCAACTTTCTACCCATTTTATAGTGTATTCATCCAGCCCATACTTTAACTTGCTGACAAGAATACTGTGGGAGACCATGTCCAAAGCTTTGCTAAAGTCAAGAAACAATACATCCACTGCTTTCCCTTCATCCACAGAACCAGTAATCTCATCATAGAAGGCGATTAGATTAGTCAGGCATGACCTTCCCTTGGTGAATCCATGCTGACTGTTCCTGATCACTTTCCTCTCGTAAGTGCTTCAGGATTGATTCCTTGAGGACCTGCTCCATGATTTTTCCAGGGACTGAGGTGAGGCTGACTGGCCTGTAGTTCCCAGGATCCTCCTTCTTCCCTTTTTTAAAGATGGGCACGACATTAGCCTTTTTCCAGTCATCCGGGACTTCCCCCGTTCGCCATGAGTTTTCAAAGATAATGGCCAATGGCTCTGCAATCACATCCGCCAGCTCCTTTAGCACTCTCGGATGCAACGCATCCGGCCCCATGGACTTGTGCACGTCCTGCTTTTCTAAATAGTCCCTAACCACTTCTTTCTCCACAGGGGGCTGGCCACCTACTCCCCATGCTGTGCTGCCCAGCGCAGCAGTCTGGGAGCTGACCTTGTTCGTGAAGACAGGCAAAAAAAGCATTGAGTACATTAGGTTTTTCCACATCCTCTGTCACTAGGTTGCCTCCCTCATTCAGTAAGGGGCCCACACTTTCCTTGGCTTTCTTCTTGTTGCCAAAATACCTGAAGAAACCCTTCTTGTTACTCTTAACATCTCTTGCTAGCTGCAGCTCCAGGTGTGAATTGGCCCTCCTGATTTCATTCCTACATGCCCGAGCAACATTTTTATACCCTTCCCTGGTCATTTGTCCAATCTTCCACATCTTGTAAGCTTCTTTTTTATGTTTAAGATCCGCAAGGATTTCACTGTTAAGCCAAGCTGGTCGCCTGCCGTATTTACTATTCTTTCGACACATCGGGATGGTTTGTCCCTGTAACCTCAATAGGGATTCTTTAAAATACAGCCAGCTCTCCTGGACTCCTTTCCCCCTCATGTTGTTCCCCCAGGGGATCCTACCCATCAATTTCCTGAGGGAGTCGAAGTCTGCTTTCCTGAAGTCCAGGGTCCGTATTCTGCTGCTTACCTTTCTTCCCTGTGTCAGGATCCTGAACTCGACCAACTCATGGTCACTGCCTCCCAGATTCCCATCCACTTTTGCTTCCCCTACTAATTCTTCCCGGTTTGTGAGCAGCAGGTCAAGAAAAGCTCTCCCCCTAGTTGGCTCCTCCAGCACTTGCACCAGGAAATTGTCCCCTACATTTTCCAAAAACTTCCTGGATTGTCTGTGCACCGCTATAGTGCCCTCCCAGCAGATATGCATCCGAGAGTGCTGAAGGAACTGGCGGCTGTGATTGCAGAGCCATTGGCCATTATCTTTGAAAACTCTTGGCGAACCGGGGAAGTCCCGGATGACTGGAAAAAGGCTAATGTAGTGCCAATCTTTAAAAAAGGGAAGAAGGAGGATCCTGGGAACTACAGGCCAGTCAGCCTCACTTCAGTCCCTGGAAAAATCCTGGAGCAGGTCCTCAAAGAATCAATCCTGAAGCACTTGCATGAGAGGAAAGTGATCAGGAACAACCAGCATGGATTCACCAAGGGAAGGTCATGCCTGACTAATCTAATCGCCTTTTATGATGAGATTACTGGTTCTGTGGATGAAGGGAAAGCAGTGGATGTATTGTTTCTTGACTTTAGCAAAGCTTTTGACACGGTCTCCCACAGTATTCTTGTCAGCAAGTTAAGGAAGTATGGGCTGGATGAATGCACTACAAGGTGGGTAGAAAGCTGGCTAGATTGTCGGGCTCAACGGGTAGTGATCAATGGCTCCATATCTAGTTGGCAGCCGGTATCAAGTGGAGTACCCCAAGGGTCGGTCCTGGGGCCGGTTTTGTTCAATATCTTCATAAATGATCTGGAGGATGGTGTGGATTGCACTCTCAGCAAATTTGCGGATGATACTAAACTGGGAGGAGTGGTAGATACGCTGGAGGGGAGGGATAGGATACAGAAAGACCTAGACAAATTGGAGGATTGGGCCAAAAGAAATCTGATGAGGTTCAATAAGGATAAGTGCAGGGTCCTGCACTTAGGACGGAAGAACCCAATGCACAGCTACAGACTAGGGACCGAATGGCTAGGCAGCAGTTCTGCGGAAAAGGACCTAGGGGTGACAGTGGACGAGAAGCTGGATATGAGTCAGCAGTGTGCCCTTGTTGCCAAGAAGGCCAATGGCATTTTGGGATGTATAAGTAGGGGCATAGCGAGCAGATCGAGGGACGTGATCGTTCCCCTCTATTCGACATTGGTGAGGCCTCATCTGGAGTACTGTGTCCAGGTTTGGGCCCCACACTTCAAGAAGGATGTGGATAAATTGGAGAGAGTCCAGCAAAGGGCAACAAAAATGATTAGGGGACTGGAACACATGAGTTATGAGGAGAGGCTGAGGGAACTGGGATTGTTTAGCCTGCAGAAGAGAAGAATGAGGGGGGATTTGATAGCTGCTTTCAACTACCTGAAAGGGGGTTCCAAAGAGGATGGCTCTAGACTGTTCTCAATTGTAGCAGATGACAGAACGAGGAGTAATGGTCTCAAGTTGCAGTGGGGGAGGTTTAGATTGGATATTAGGAAAAACTTTTTCACTAAGAGGGTGGTGAAACACTGGAATGCGTTACCTAGGGAGGTGGTAGAATCTCCTTCCTTAGAGGTTTTTAAGGTCAGGCTTGACAAAGCCCTGGCTGGGATGATTTAACTGGGAATTGGTCCTGCTTTGAGCAGGGGGTTGGACTAGATGACCTTCTGGGGTCCCTTCCAACCCTGATATTCTATGATTCTATGATATCAGGGTGATTGAAGTCGCCCATGAGAACCAGGGCGTGCGATCTAGTAGCTTCTGCAAGTTGCCGGAAGAAAGCCTCATCCACCTCATCCCCCTGGTCCGGTGGTCTATAGCAGACTCCCACCACTATATCACTCTTGTTGCTCACACTTCTAAACTTAATCCAGAGACACTCAGGTTTTTCTGCAGTTTCATACTGGAGCTCTGAGCAGTCATACTGCTCCCTTACATACAGTGATGCTCCCCCACCTTTTCTGTCCTTTAGCATCATGTACAGAATTAATGTGCTGTCCCACTATGCCTCTCTGTGATTTTTCTATTTATCATTCCGTTTTGCTCTCCTACCACCTCACAACCTGAACTTAGTTCTATGCTGTTATTCATCTCTGAAATTTCAGTCTTAAAAATATTTAACATAAACAGTGGTGTCTTGCTTTCTTCCAGGCAAGTGTTCACAGTTTACATCTCATTGTAAGAGCATTACTTCAGAGTGAAAACTCATCACTGATTTTGAGAAGAGACAATCAAAAACGAGAGGTATGTGCGACCCTAGTCTCTGACACCCATTGTAGGATTTACCCTGTTAATGACATGTTTGATATGTTACCTGCCGCAGTGAACCACACTTCTCTGAGGAAGAGGTCTATAATTTTCTATCTATTCAGAGTAAAAAAAAAAAATGTCAGAACTAACTTAAAATAATATTGAATGATAGAAAAACTATGCTGTCATAAATATAAAGGGAAGGGTAAACCCCTTTGAAATCCCTCCTGGCCAGGGGAAAGCTCCTCTCACCTGTAAAGGGTTAAGAAGCTAAAGGTAACCTCGCTGGCACCTGACCAAAATGACCAATGAGGAGACAAGATACTTTCAAAAGCTGGGAGGAGGGAGAGAAACAAAGGGGTCAGTGTCTGTCTGTATGCTGCTCTTGCCAGAGACAGAACAGGAATGGAGTCTTAGAACTTTTAGTAAGTAATCTAGCTAGGTATGTGTTAGATTATGATTCCTTTAAATGGCTGAGAAAAGCATTGTGCTGAATAGAATAACTATTTCTGTCTGTGCATCTTTTTTGTAACTTAAGGTTTTGCCTAGAGGGGTTCTCTATGTTTTTGAATCTAATTACCCTGTAAGATATCTACCATCCTGATTTTACAGGGGGGATTTCTTTATTTCTATTTACTTCTATTTTTTATTAAAAGTCTTCTTGTAAAAACTGAATGCTTTTTCATTGTTCTCAGATCCAAGGGTTTGGGTCTGTGGTCACCTATGCAAATTGGTGAGGCTTTTTATCCAACATTTCCCAGGAAAGGGGGGTGCAAGTGTTGGGAGGATTGTTCATTGTTCTTAAGATCCAAGGGTCTGGGTCTGTAGTCACCTAGGCAAATTGGTGAGGCTTTTTACCAAACCTTGTCCAGGAAGTGGGGTGCAAGGTTTTGGGAAGTATTTTGGGGGGAAAGACGCGTCCAAACAGCTCTTCCCCAGTAACCAGTATTAGTTTGGTGGTGGTAGCGGCCATTCCAAGGATAACGGGTGTAATATTTTGTACCTTGGGGAAGTTTTGACCTAAGCTGGTAAAGATAAGCTTAGGGGGTTTTTTCATGCAGGTCCCCACATCTGTACCCTAGAGTTCAGAGTGGGGGAGGAACCTTGACATATGCTATTTATCAATTTACATATGAAGTAGAAAATTATTCACCTAATCTGGAGCTAACCATTGCAGTACATTAGTGCTTCCCCTGTCCATGTGGATATGAGACACACTTAAAATGAATCTTTTAAAAACATTAATAATTTAAAAAGCCGCTGTCCTAGGTAGTCTTGAAAAACAATGTCCTTTAGAAACAATTCTGCTTATATGCAATATTTTCCTCTAATTGTTTCCTCCTCTTCATTACCAAGCGTATTTATATGAAAATAAGATTTTATTTCTTAAAGCTACATCTACCCTGACTGTGCAATCCTCATTTGCAATACCTCTTATGGCCTGATCAACTCCTATTAAAGTTCATTGCCTATTAATGGGAGCCAGTATAATCATCTCTATCCTATTTTTTCGTTTGTAACTTTTATTTAACTCTTTAAAACCTCTTAGAATACATTGCATAAAGCTATACAAAATAAATGTATTGTATTGTTTTCTAGGGTAATTTCTTGTTTGTGTAATATTGTATTAGATAACTACACTTGTAACTCTAGGTAAAAAATCTTACTGTATGTTACTGTGCAGTGCCCCCAAGAATTTCTGAAAGAATGACCTTCAGAATGAATTAGTTCTTGTACATATTACTTTGGGAACTACTAATTACATGCCAGTGATAAGCCATAAGCTTTTTCTTTATTTTACTACATACATTCCTTTTAAAACACAGATTAAAATTTAGATCATAAACTAAAATGAAGTTTGGCTTCTCTTGAGGATAAACTGAGCTACCTCTACATTGTGATATGAATCAGAAATACCTTGTTTTAATTATAAAAAGTCATTGAAATTAAATGTTTAGTTTACAAATTTTAAGGCCTTGCTGCACAAGAGAGTTGCATTGTTTTAACTTAAATTAGATTTTAACACCAATTTAAGATTAAAATGGTGAGAGGCCCTGTATGGACACTCTTATTTCAGGTCATCTTAAACCAATTACAAATAAAACTGAAAAAACAAAATAAGTCTGGTTTAGAATGAGAAGATTTTCTACACAGCCTTTTATATTGATTTAACTAAATTGGTTTAAAATCACAAATGTACTTAAACCACTGCAACTTTTTCATGAAGTTAAGCCCTTAACATGCTCCGCTGAATCATGGAGCAGATACTGTAAACACTCCATAGTGTGCAGTCTTTCCACATGATTTTCTGTACTTCTGAATGAACACACATCTCTTTTTTAGGAGCTTAACACAAACTTAAATAAACATTTCCCAGTAATACTGAAAATCCTTTCTGAGAATCACAACCATATGATAAACAGAGAAATGTTATGCCAGAATTTTTGTGACAACCTTCGCTCAGGGTTGGTTGATAGGAGAGCGCTGCCTAGTGGTTAGGTTAGTTGGGGGGGGGTTGTTGGCAGGCGAGCCCTGGCCCTCCCACTCCACTGGGCTCCAACCCAGGGCCTTTTGAGGGCTATCCATGTTCTGACAGCTGGGGAGGCTTAAGGCAGCCCTTCCTAGGCCACTTCCTGCAATTGTCCCAAGGTCGCCATCTGGGGTAAGGCAGAGTGAGGACAACTGCCTCCTCCTGGGGTATGGCCCAGCCTCCTGGGCCAACTCAGTCCAAGGCTTTCCCCTGTTGGGATAGTTCAAACAAAAATTAAGGGGATCAATCCAGTCCAGAGCTCATATGAGAGGGCAATGCTTCTCTCTGTGTGTCTCTGCAGCAGGCCCTCCCTTCCCCCAGGGAGGGGCCTTTGGGCAGTTGTTTTGGGAGAAATACTGCCTTTCCCTCAGCTCATCTCCCTGGAGCTGCTAGTAGCAGGTCTGCTCTTCTCCCTGGTCTGCCCCCAAATGAGCTACTCTCCTGCCTTTTAGTTCCTTCTCCAGTTGGTACATTTGCTACGGTGTGGCAGGGTGGAGCTGGCTGAGCCCAGAGTAATTTCTTAATGCCTGGTTTCTTAATGTCTGGGGTTTGTGCACCCCATCACACTTCAGAAAATATAGTTCATTAGAATACTACAGTCACTTAGTAGCAGAATTGTGATAAATAAAACAGTGACTCCTAATTAGCAGGTACTTTGCAATGTTCTTGTAGCCATGTTGGTCCTAGGATATGAAAGGGACAAGGTAGGTGAGGTAATGTCTTTAATAGGACCAATTTCTGTTGGTGAAAGGGACATGCTTTCAAGCTTCTCAGAACTCTTCCTCAGGTCTGGAGGAAGAAACGAGTGTCTGAGCTAAATACAAGGTGGGACAGATTGTTAAGCATAAGGGATTCACACATGCTGTAGGAGACCACTTAAAATGAAGTGAGCAATTAAGGGTTAGCAAGCAGTAGGTTGTGTTACAAATTGTTGTAAGGGCCATAAAAAACAGTGTCTCTATTAAGTCTGTTTTTTATTGTCCAGCAGAGTTGCAAATTTAAGTTCCAAGGCTCATTTTTTGATGGTGTTGGGCAGGTTTCCTTTGAGGACGAGGACTGAGAGGTCAGATGCACAATGATCATTTTGAGAAAAGTGTTCCCCCAGAGGTGATAGTGTATTTCTGCCTTTTATCATTTTTCTATGTGAGTTCATTTGAGAATGTAGCAGTTATCTGGTTTCACCTATGTAACTGTTGCTAGGGCATTTGATGCACTCTATGAGGTATATCACATGTTGTGATAGGCATGTGTGGGACCCATGGATCTTGAAAGGTTTATTCTGGGGCTACCAATCATTGTAGCAGTGGAGTTATGTCCGCAGTTTTTGCATCTGTTGTTCTGGCAGGGTCTGGTCGCACTTTGAGTTGGTGTGTCCTGGTCTATGGGGAGCTTGTTGAGGTTGGGTGTTTGAGAAAGATTTTTCAGGATGTAGTCCCCATCAAGTATGGGTTATAATTGTTAGTTGATACCCCATGTGGTGTGATAGGTAACAACTGGAAGTGTGCGGTCAGTGAGTTTTTTTCCCCCTATATTGAAGCAGGTTCTTCTGGGTATTTGGGTGGCCCATTCCATGATACAATCTATTTCTTTGGTAGTATGTCCTTGTTTAGTGACGGCAGATTTAAATGTGTTTAGATGTGTATCCCGGACTTCCTATTTGGAGCAAATTTTGTGGTATCTGAGTGTCTGGCTGCAGATAACCGATTTCTTGGCATGTCTGAGGTGGTTATTGGATCTGTGATGGTAAATGTAGTGATCCGTGGCTTTCTTGTATATAGTTGTCTGTAGGGTTCCATTGTTGAATCCAATCATGGTCTTCAGGAATTTGGTGCTGGTGTGACCGTGTTGTAGAGAGAGTTTGATGGATCAGTGGTGGTGATTGAAGTTGTGGTAAAAAGCTGTGAGGAAGCTTAGGTCATCTGTCCAGAGGATGAAAATATCATTGATGTATCTCAGGTATATCATTGATTTTTGTGGTGCATTTTTCCAGAAATTCCTCCAACAGGTGTCCCATAAAGAGACTGCCATCTTATTAGCCATTGCTGTTCCCATAGTTTGGACAAAGTGTTTGCTGTTAAATATAAAGTAGTTGTGGATGAGGATGAGTTTAGCTATGCATTTGGGGTGGATTTCTGAGTGTTCATTATTTTATAGGTATTTGAGGCAGACAGAGATGCCATCATGGTGAGGGATGTTGGTATATGGGGAGATGATATCCATGGTGGTAGGGATGGTGTTATGAAGGAGGTTGTTGATGTTGAAGAGTTTCGGAGGAAGCTTGTAACGTCTTTGAGGAAACTGGCTCATTGTGTGAACTTTACACATCTTGTGAGACTTTACATAAATATCAATTTTCATACTGAGAGTTAAATTCTCTCTTTCATCCTTTAAATTCTACCCAGAAAATGAAACTATAGGGTTCTTTTGAAAGTCATACTACAGTATCTACAGTAGGTGATACAAGTTATGTTACTTTGTTACTTAGAGAATTTTTTTTTTTTTTTTACCATTTACCTTTCGAATAATTTTCACAGATCACAATTAAAATTTCAAGAGAACTTCACCCTGGCGTCATCCCTTTATGGGTCATTTTACTGAGTGCCTTTGCTGGACTCTTGATTCTTGCACTTCTTATATTTGCATTGTGGAAGGTAAGCTACACATTTGTTTGATTTGTGTTTAGATTTTTACATACTTAGATGTTTAAGGGCTCAGTCCTGTGTTCTTACCATTAGAACTTGACAAACATAATAAATCTCTAAATTAGTAAAATATCATAATAAATACTTAATGAAATTTCATTTTTCCCTAAGTAAAATAGACCATTCTAACCACTTGGGTACAATCAATATGTGCCAGTTTTCTAGCAGTGAGATTTCATTAAAATTAGATTCAGTTAGAGTTCTTGTCGCAAAAAGTGGGTTCTGACACAGGGATGCTTAGAAAAAGTGCTGCTTTGCACTTTTGTCCTACTAACAAGAGATTCTTCCATCTTGTGAAATCATTTCTAAGCCAGTTCAATCTGGTCATGCTTCAGAGATCAAAATAATGAAAGTTTCACTGAAATACCTTAGAGCTACTCTGTGGAACACTAACACTGATTCATCACAGTGAAGTAGTTAAGGTATACAATACAGAATGGTAAATAATTTTAGCTAACCATGCCAGGTTTCTCCTGCTTGAATTTTGGGTTGCTTTAGCTGAAATACAGTCTCAAAATTTTTTAAAAATTTGGGAAGTCAAAGCACCTCTGGGGGTCAGGCCCTAAATAGCTATTCTCAGATATCACGCATTAACTCCAGGTATGTATGGTTTGATCCTGCAAAGTTATGAGTACTTCTTGAAGGTGCTGGGTGCCCTCCACTCTCAGTCAACTCAGTAGGAATTAAGGTTTCTCAGCATCCCACAATAAGCATTTAAAACCTTGCAAGACCTTTAATGATCCAAAGCCATTTCTAATAACTCTAGAAATAGACCATTGTTGTAACCATAAATAGTAAACTAAGATTAGCGTTATTAACTATCCCAAGCAAAATTTCTATACCATGAAAAGGGAGAAGAGTCAAAATCCATAAAGTCCACTAAGGACTTTGCTATTGCCAGTCTGTTTTATACCTTACAGCAGTACCTTAGAGAGATGGTGCTAGTAAAATTTTAGTATTGGTACTGATTCATAACAGTTTTCTCTTTTAAAAATATTACTGTATACTTTACGCTACTTTTTTAAAAAAAGTGGGAGTCTTGAGGTCCATATGCAAGAATCCACATATAATTTCACACATACATACATGCAGATACACTACTGCACATGTACAGCCATTTGAACATATAATTAAACTGATTACATTCTTAGCTAGCCATGTACACACCTACGGTCACTTGATTTGCATGTACAGTCGTGGTAGGCACAACATTGCTCATATTTCTTCAGTTGATCTCAACCCTTTATTTTTATAATATGTGTAAAAAATTAGAATTAGGCAATAAAGTCAAAAGTAAATAGTGATTTTGGGTGCCCGACTTGAGACACATTAAAGGGGCCTGACTATCAGAAAGTGCTATGCATCCACTATCTGACAACCAGGCCCCTTCAAGGTGTCCAGTTTAGCAACCAAAATCACTAGTGAATTTAAAAATGTAGATACTAAGTGTCATTAGTACCTATTAACTGATTCTTAATCATTGCAGAATTAAAATTAAGTAACTATGAAAATACCTCCAGCGCTTACATATTTACAAAATCAGCAGAACTAATAGAAAACTAGCGAATACCTTGATATGTTGGGGCCAATTTTCAAAAGTGGCCACCACTACCTTTGCATCTTCAAAATTACACATCTAAAATTCACAAATAATTTTAGACATGAAATTACCAGATTTTCATGCACAAAAGCAGGTTTTGTCTGTGCCATGTTGCAGGTTAACAAAAACTGGCCTGGTAAGTGGTGATTCTGAGTGGAATAAATATGCTGTATAACTAGCTGTCTGTTGCCCTCATTAACATTGCAAAATATGACATTATATTTGTTGTTAGCTGAAAAATTAAATGAAGAGTGTAGCATTATAAAAATATTTTGTATTGACTTCAGATTTGATATTCTTCAGCAATTCAAATTTCAAATTATAATTTAAAGACAGTAAAAAGAACAAGGAGTACTTGTGGCAGCTTAGAGACTAACAAATTTATTTGGGCATAGGTTTTCGTGGGCTAAACTCACTTCATCAGATGCATGTAGTGGAAAATACAATAGGAAGATAAATAGAGAACATGAAAAAATTGGGGTTGCCATACCAACTCTAACGAGAGTAATCAATTAAGGTAGGCTATAATCAGCAGGAGAAAAAAAACTTTTTTGTAGTGATAACTAGGATGGCCCATTTCAAACAGTTGACAAGAAGGTGTGAGTAACAGTAGGGGGAAAATTAGCATGGGGAAATAGCTTTTAGTTTGTGTAATGACAGATACATTGTTTGTTTGACTGCTGTGCTTAAATCTTTTGCCACAAGTGGGCAGTCTTCTCAAAGCCAAAACTCAGTATGTTAGTAATTAGTATGCATAGCCACTGAAAAATCTGGAATTTAAACAGTAAATTAATATTTGATCAACAGTCCTCTAGTTTGTTTGAAGACTTGACAAACCTTTGACACGTTCCGTCAGCATAACAATGATTCAGCAATCATTGTACATTAACTTTGCTCTCAGTTCGTCTGTTAGTGTGAGATATGTCATTATTGTTCCAATCCATTAAAGCAACATTGTACTTCAGTAATAAGTGAATTTGTATCATCTGTAAGCATTAAAGCAGTAAATAAAAACATTTAAGCTTTGCCAAAATGTCTCATGTTTCTAAAATTCCAGTTTTGAATTGCATTCTCTTTTTTCTGCCATATACAGGCTGGATTTTTCAAAAGGCCACTAAAGAAGAAAATGGAGAAATAAAGAATTCTACCAAAGGAGAGTATGTTGCAATTAAACAACGATCTGTCCTCAGGTCTGCCTCAAATATATGACTGTAAAGCTATAAATATAGTTATAAATTTGATGGTCACAACATTTGCTAAACTCCATCATGGACTAATCAAGGTGTTTTTTAAAAAGAGGAAAAAACAGCAACAAACAAATCAAGTATATAGGTGGATGTTAAAAAGGGAAAACAGCCCTATAGTATTTTGTAATATGTTAGAAAATATCTTAAGCTGTTACTCATTTTTGGAGAGTAATTCAATTTTAAAATTCTGAGTTGTTTTGTATAGGGAAAATAGTCTATTCATGTTTTTTCATCAAATGAAATATTTCTTCAGCCCAAATTATGCAAGAAGCCAAGTTTCAAGCAGTAATCATAATCTCTTTACCACATGTTCCTTATTTTCAAAAGAACAAAGTATTCAAAAGTCATTTCTCATAATGGACTGGCAATTGGCTAAGCCAGACTTTCAAACTTTGAGCATGCACCAGATACAGTTGGGTATATTTTGACAAAAGGATAATCCAGAGGAAAGGGGCAACTGCAGAGCTTGCACAAAACTTGCAATTCCAAGGGCTTTTCTTCCCTCTTAATGTAGTTCATCCAGATGTACAGAGGCCATTCCATGAAATAAATTTCTATTATTAACAAAACTATTCAGGATTGATCCCTTAAGTCATACAAGTGTCTGAACCAGAATCTGACTTTTAGCAGACCTGTAAAATTATGCTCACAAAATTATAATTACAAGCACAGCTGATTGCTCATTGTTTGCAAATAAGCAGAATCACATTTGGACTCTCAAATTGATGTGGGCAGCAAAATTGTAAGTCTTGTGTTTTTTAGAGGCACCCCAAAAATTTGCCCCTCACTGTGTATCTTGGAGTTGCCAGTAGGGTTGCTTCTTGAACTATCCATGAAAAGTTACTGTGTAGCTATTTAATTCAGTAGGTTGAAAGTGCCCAACCAGATAATTATCAAAAGAGCAGTTAGAAAAGCACTGACAAGCTTTTTGTATTACAAACCATTACAAATCATTTTTTACTTACAAGTTTAAGAACTGATGCAAAATTTTGTACAGTGACTAAGCACTTAACAAATGATGTTTATTTTGTATCAAAGATTTAAAATGTTATATAATACACTGAAACATAGATACTAACATTATGTTTCTCTAAACCCATTTTGAACACTAACCATTTTTAATATAAAGCTGCCTCTTTTTTTCACATGGGTCACATTCCTTCTACCGAATGAGCATATGTGGATATGCCTCCATCTTCCAAAAGTAGCCCAGCATTTAGACAATGGAGTTTATTCATCTCCTTGGTACAAATTTCACTGAAATGCAAAAGCCACTGCAGTTTTTCCAAAGAATATAACATGTCAGGCATATTTGTTCTATTCTTTGATAATAGTCTTACCAAGTGTATTGTTACTTTTTAATATGAGTGTATATTTTTCTAAAAAAGTGACCATAGGTTGAATTATATATGTGGGCAAATAAAGCTCTGGAAATTTAGGAGGTGCTTCATATCTGAAAGAGGATATCGGGGTAAATCATGAAGTCCCTCGTATCTACTTTTTGGCTTATATGGTAGTCATTGGGATGGGTTGAGACTTATTAATATAGCAAGTATGAGTTTGTTTGAAAACGTTTGTAAACTTTCTTTCATGTTCAAGAAAAAATTATGATTGCACAACCCTAGCCTGACTGCAATTGCCCATGTCTCGTATTTTAATGGATATAATTCATTAGAAAGTGTGGCAGAGTCACAACATGGACTTGATAAATAACTGTGCCTCCGTTGTCCCGTGGAGTTTGTGAAATTCAGCGTAAATCCACCAAAGTCAGTGGACTTACCCCAAAGGTACACAGGTATAACTGAGAGCAGAAGTTATAGAATTCAAAGAGTGGCGTGTAAACCCCCCCCCCCCCCCCGCCTTCATTCAGTGTGCAAATTGGTCAGCAGTTGAGTGATGCAAAGGTCTGCTCATTGCACAATGGAGATGAAAATAAATATTAAACAGCTGCTTCGTTGTCTGCAGTCCAGTTTGCACACTATAGGAGTACAGGTTTTGTAGATAGACATGGCCATATAGCAATGAAGTTATCTGTCTGAGGTACATAGTATGGTGATGAGGGCCATATATCTGTCTGCGTGCCTCACAATGATTAATGTATTTATCCTCATACCATCCCTGTGAGGTGAGGAAAGGGCTATTATCCCTATTTTTGCAGAGAGATTAAGTGACTCCCCTGTGGTCACACAGGAAGTCTGTGACAGAGCAGGAACTAAACTCCCAGTCTCCTGAATCTTTCTCGTGCTTTAACCACAAGTTCATTCTTCTTCCCCACCTGTGATTAACCGCTGTATATGTTATAATACAATGGGGCAGTGCTAAGACACGTCATTTTAACTTTAGCATGTCCTGACTTTTAAGTGCTTCATGTTGCAACTGCGATGATCTCTTCAGCAGTATTTTTAATGAAATGTTACATTTTAATTTCTGAGCAATGCTGTTATTGACTAATATGCATCAGCAACCATGTTAGTTTTTATATACAGTATATTTCCCTAGAGAAAGTGTACAAAAGTATTCTTCCTAGGTAAAGCACGTTGCCATTCATTTTAGCCACACTTTGGATCATACATGCAATAATAGGTTTTATATAATAGCCTTTCTTCTCTGTTTGTACCATAGCACTTTCTTCCTACTCATTCTTGCTCTCATAGCCCTGGCCTACACTGGGGAAGGTGGGGAGGTTGACCTAAGATATGCAACTTCAGCTACGTGACCAGCGTAGCTGAAGTTGGCGTATCTTAGGTCGACTTACCTGGCCATGAGGACGGCGGCAAGTCAACTGCTGCTGCTCCCCCATCGACTCCACTTCTGCCTCTTGCGAGCTGGAGTTCCGGGGTCGACGGGGAGTGCGTTCTGGGATTGATTATCGCGTCTAGATGAGACGTGATAAATTGATTCCTGATAGATCTATCACTACCTGCCGATCTGGTGGGTAGTGAAGACCTGCCCTTATTAAATTTTCAATTTAAAAAAAGAAACTATTTAAATATAATAATATGTAAAGTAAGTACTGCCATGGAATACTTTCTTATCACATAACCTGCATTAGCAATCCACTATTTCTACTCGAGAGAACCTTTGTACATACCATCACACAAACAATATTACTCTTATCACACAAATCATAGAAAACCCTATTGAAACCAATGGTGCAAATATCAGAAACATTTCACTGGCATTCTGCATCTACTAAAAAGGTTACAAATAAATACTCTGCTTCATATATTAAGCAGCAGCAAGTTGCAGTATGATTCTAATAATTAACAGTTGGTGGGTTGGGACTTTTTTTGTTTAAACAAAAGTTTAAACAGTTGTAAAATGATACAGGTGGCACCAGGGGCTCAAAGCATTTGCAGGTGTCATTGGGGATCCAGTAGCACCCCAAATTGAAAACTTCTTAAATGAAAGAAGGATAGCCAGGACAATCACCCCACTTTCCGTTAACACACTCTCAGTGCTTCCCTTAGGTCTAAGCTAAACTTCTGCCAGCTTGCCTTTATCTCAGGGTATGTCTTCACTACCAACGGTAAAGTGCTGCTACGGCAGCGCTTTAACATGGCTGTGTAGTCGCAGCACCAGCGCTGGGACAGAGCTCTCCCAGCGCTGTAAAAAACCCACCCCCACGAGGGGAGTAGCTCCCAGCTCCGGGAGCATGGCTCCCAGCACTCATGCACTGTCTACACTGCCACTTTCCAATGCTGAAAATTGCATCACTGGTGGAGGGGGTGTGTTTTCACACCACTGAGCGAGAAAGTTTCATTGCTGTAAAGTGGCAGTAAAGACAAGGCCTAAGTATTGCTCTCTGCCAGGCACTAGGAAAGCAAAGATGCTGCGCCACCTGGGTTTGATGGAAAAGAGGCATAGAACTGTGTGTGTCCTGTGCATCTTGATAGAACCACAGCCCAAATTGTTTTATTATTTTCCTCAATAGGACATACAGGCAGGGCAATCAAAACCAGCCTGGCAGAACATGCATGAGAACTGTCTCTGGACAGATAAGCAACTGATCAAAATCACATTCTCTGATCTCTTGGGGCCAAATCCTGTTCCCGTTGAAATCAAAAGAAGTTTTGCTATTGAGTTCAATGGGAACAGGCTTTTACATTTGGAGAGGAAAGAACAAAACTACTCAAGCAAGGGCTATGTGGCTTACACCTCAGGTATCAAAGGCTGCTGACTCATATGAGAAAGTCAGCAGATATCTGATCTTTGTCCATTGCAAGGGAGAAATCGGCAATCAATGAGTCTAGAACAGTCTCTGTACCATATACATCTCATAAGTCCATCTGCAAAGGATCAAGGAAATATGAAGGCTCCAGATTCCATTAAAGTCCTCTGTCCCTTGGTTAGAATGCTCCCATCAGTATATGTTCATAGTCCAGAGTCTGGAGCAGGAATCAAAAACACTGTTTAAACACCTTCCATCTCCCCTCTCCCCCCACTCCCCTCTTGAGAACTCCTGACCAACTTAACAGCAGGATACATATGCTAAGCCTTTGTTTATATTTGGTAGCATATGTATTGTGCTGTTAAACCCATATAAAGAATGAATGCCCTCCCTAGCTGTGTTCTGCTCCTTAAAATACCACTAACAGTAATAACTGTTGGAATTTTGCACAGTTTTTAAGAGAGGGAATCGTAAGAAAACCTGTTGAATTCTGCATGTTTGCTTTTCTTCTGTAAAATTGCTCCATACATTTTATCAATAAATAATAACAATGTTTCCAGCCTGGTTGACTATTTTGTTTGTTTGATATAATGTTGCTCCCTAGGCAATATGAAAGAACCATAATATGGGAGCAAATGTGTTTGCCATGTGAATAGAAAAAGTATTGTAGAAGTGCGCATGGGGCAAAACTATAACAGCAAGGAAATTTCTGCCATTATTAAGTATGAAATTATTGCAGCTAAAATAACTCTATAATATCTGGTTTCAGAGTAGCAGCCGTGTTAGTCTGTATTTGCAAAAAGAAAAGGAGGTTTTTTTTAAACAAATTTAAGTTTTTTCAAGAAGTTGACAGATTTTTATGCTCAAATAAATTTGTTAGTCTCTAAGGTGCCACAAGTCCTCCTTTTCTTTATATAATATCTGACAACCAGAGGCAATTTTTCAAAATAGCCACTGAAGCTGTAGGTACACATTTTGTGTGCACGCACCATTTTGGAAACTTTTAAAATAACAAGCATACACAAAACATTCATACATCTACACAGTATGTCTAAACTCCTAACATGGACAAGATTTCACAACACCATGGAAATTAAAAATGAAAGCATATTGTCTCATGTTATCTGCCCCTCTGGCCACTCCACAATTGTTCCCTGCAGTTTGTTCTTGAATACTGAGCTGTTCTTGTCTAGTCTAAAATGACTCATCACCTCCTCCACAGCCTATCAAAATACTTCACATAGCATTTCCTGGAAGGCAAAGGTTGCAACTTTTATTTCACAACACAATGTTTTTGTAAACAGTTTTGTGTTCAGTTATACTCCTACAATTTTGTTGACTACGTGATCTTATCAGATAGAAACCTGCTTCAACTGTGAATCGCTAAGTATTAATAACGTCCTGTCCCACGTTGAGAAAATGTTTACCAAGACTTCTATGATGTACATGTCTAATAATCAGAGCTGGCTGAAAAATCTCCATTGAAAGAACATTTTGAAAAAAATGGGGTTGTGGGAGGATCACAAAACTTTTTGCTATTTTTTCCCCATTTTCTGGTCCCCTTTAGTGACACTACTCCATATGAATAAAACAGACCAGAATTACATCCTCAAGTAAGCCTTGTATTATATTGTATTAGTGATACAAAACTGGATCTAAATTGATCAAATTAAACAGTCTTAGTCCTGGAACCTGCACACTTTAAAGACACTGGCACTGTCCAGTTCAGTGAGTGAAGTATTAAACCCTGTAAGAGTGAAAGAAAACCAAAAAATGAAGGGGCTATGTCTCCTGCAGCTACACCACTTTAGCGTTTTAAATGTAGACAGTCCATCTCCCCAAGAGGCAGTAGCTAGGTCTGCATCTGGTGGGGTGGGGAGTTAGGTCAGTTTAATTACGTCCCTGTCGGGTGCGAAAAATTCACATCCCTGAGACATGTAGCTGTACTGATGTAATTTTTCAATGTAGACCAGCCCAAAGACTAAGAGACTGCCAAAATCATTGTAAAAGAGTTATATGGGCAATCATCAACACCCAAGAGATATAAATACAGCTACCTAATCATTCTTCTGATAGAAGACAGTCCCTGTTCTCATGGTTAAGACTTACATAGCACTTTGCAGATGTAAAATGCTGTGGCTAGACTGGCCCCTTCCTTAAAATACGAGGAAGAGTGTAGTTGTGCTGCCCCATGAGCAGGCCAGGGAACAAACTGTGACCCAGCGTTACAATTCAGTTCATGCTTCCCCCTTTCTCCCAAGCAGGTGTGAGCCAGGCTTGCCCTTTTCCTGATGTGGCTTACTTCCTCCTTAGGTGCACTGGCTCAAAGCTGCTGATGGGGGCATGAGAGGCTGGGGGCAATAAGGCCCCACCACTTCACGTGTGGAGGAGGAGGAGTTGACTGGCAGCTTCCCCATCTCAACAGGGCAAGATATTTGATTGACCAGAAGGGGAAACACAATCCCGGGATTCTGAAAGGAGAGAAGAAGGGCAGAGGCAGGCATGGCTGGTCTGGGACCTTCATTCCTCTCCTTATCCAGAACATATATGGAGATTGAGTGTGTCGGTGAATGACAGGAGAATTCTCTACTTCTCCCAGGTGTGATTGGTTAGGCTCTGGAGGCAACGGAAGTTTGATGCCTCTTGCACCCTGCCTGGTCTTGTATTTGGAGCTCTCTACTGGAACTTTGCTGTGGCTGCTGCCCCATTCTCCCTGCCCTCTAATGGAGGTGCAGTTGGAACTGTGTTTCCAGAATGCAATGGGTCTGATAGATTGCTAGTTTTGGGGATCAAGAAGGAAATTTTCCCTTGGAACTAGATTGACAAGGTGTCCAGTGGGTTTGCGGCAGAAGGAGGGGTTATTTTAGGTTTTTTGCCTTCCTTGTAGTATCCTGGAGGCCATTGGTTTTCGGTTAATAAAGAGTCAGGATGGATTTAAAAGTTGTAAGTTTAAAATGGAGTTTGTAACCTTGTCACAGCTGGTGGCCCATTTCCTGTGTGGGTGAGAGGCCCAAAGAGATCAGCTCTCCAGAGATCCAGGAGATAACTGATTGACCCCAAAGAGACCAGCTCTCCATGAGATCCAGGAGATAAATGATTGACCCTAGTAACCTTGAGAAAGAAAGGGAGATCTTAAGCCTTCACAGACTCAGGTATCCTTCATCTGTACCACAATATATATTATTATGTGTACCACAGTTATTCTCACAGCAAAATGACTAACCAAGTACTATTATTTTATGAACTACAACTGGTTAATAACATAGTAAAAGCATCCCAATTGGTTGTTAATTAAATCACACAGTGTTTTAATATCATGTGCTGCAAAGAGCCTCAGGAGACAGGTTAAAGAACCACTTGCGGCTCGTGAGCCACAGTCCGAGTATCACTGGTTTAGATTAATCTCCAACAATGAGCACTCACTCCAGGTTCTGGGCACCCTTAACAATCGCTTTTAAATGTACAAACTCTAGTCTTCCTTCCAAATTGCAACACCAGCAGCAGAAAAAATGTAACTAACATTTAATATAACCTCCTGCTCCCAAAGAATCCCCGTCAGAATGTCCCACCTGTAATACCAGCCTCAATTAGGGTTTTATCACATAAGCCAAGGAGAATATATGGGCCTTGCCATCTACCTTGAAGGTCAACAAAGGCAGGTCAATTTCCAGAGTTTAGGGCCTGGTGCAAATTAGATCATCCCTCAGGCTGCTCTAACAGCACAGCAAGTACTAGTACTGTGCACACACAACAGGATCAGGGCAGCGCTTAGGAGAGCTTGACACCACCTTTTCCCACCATCTCTGATTTATGTTTTGGGCATCGTGTCTATGCACTAGGCAGCATCTGATTCATCAGACTCATGCTGGCAGTTTTTCCACCTCTTGTGATATCTGGTATGTTTTCTTAAGCCCCAGCTGATGGAGGGAAGTACTTATATGGCAATCTCAGTGCTCATTTAAAGAAAAAATATATTTGTAGCCCTCATAGTTGTGGGGGAAAGTGATGCTTACACCAAGGCAAACAAAAAGGATGCAAAAATGTATTTGTTGTTTTTTAAAAAATCATTATTTTAAGTCAATCGCATGAAATTTGAATGTCTGATGTTTTAGTCTGGAGTGATTGATGAAGAACTGTGAATTGAGTTGATTCTATTGGAGAAGGGTTTGAAAAGCAGTAAAATAGAAAAAATGGATGAAAATTGTGCAATTGCGAAATCTGCAATTGTGAATAAGCTGAAAACTGTTTTCTCTCTTGAAGTTTCAGTATATCTTTAACCTGACAATATAAAACACTACTGGACAAATCCAGCACGTCTTAGTCACTCAAAAGACCTATTTGCTTCAACGGGAGTTGTAATTTGGTTTGAAGCGTACCTATCAAAGGATTAATAACCTCTTCAGCTCAGACTATCAAAACAGAAGCATGACTAGGTTTTGATTTCACACATCAGAAAGCAGTCCATGTGGTCTCAAAACAAGAATTGTCTAAAAATGGATGAAGAATGTAAATACAAAATATTTTGATTAAAAAAAAAAAAAAAAAAAAGCCAGCCGGCTCACAATGTACTTAAAGCTCTTAACTGGAAACTGTTTGGCAGAAGAGATTGGTTATTGTTAGTTATAAGGATTAAACTCTCATTGGAACTGTACCAAGGTTAATGCTTTAGTAAATGTGCTGAATTTACATAGAATAGATTGGGGAAACACATGCATTGTTTCAGAGGTGGATGGACCCTTACATGAAATTCACTGGAATTATACTGTATTTGTATAAAGAAAAGGAGTACTTGTGGCACCTTAGAGACTAACCAATTTATTTGAGCATGAGCTTTCGTGAGCTACAGCTCACTTCCCATACAGACCACCTTGCCTCCCCTTTGTGATTACATGAACCATGTCTGCTTTCATTGTAGACCAAATAACATCCTTGTGGCAGCTCTCGCATTTGCTTACATGGCAAACAAATAGGAGGAAAGTATTTCATGGTTGTTTTAATGCAATTTAGCAGCTGAAAACAAGGAAGAGACTGCCTCATATAGTCTACACGTGTGCCATGAACCACTGGTGGTCTGTGGACTACAGTATGGGAACCATCTCCACACGGTATCTGAGCACATGGAAATCAGAAGTTTCAGCTCAGAGCAGAGTGGACTGAGGCTCAAACTGCCATTTTAATAGTAACTTTTCAGAGTACAGTCCCACTTGAAATGTTTTCAGAGTTCTCCTACATAGATGTTGTGACCGGGATCCTAGTGGGGAGCCAGCTGTGGTCACTCAGTTAGGGTGAACTGCAAAGAATGGTTTCAGACTAGCAGCCGAAAAAGCTGGTGGATATTCCAATACTTAGATTTACCAAGCCAGCATAAAATGGCTTCTTTATTACCTTACTGGTTACTCAGAAGTCCGAACAACACAGTTCCCTTGAAGCGATCCAGCCGCAGGCCTCCATGCAGCACCCACATCAAATGTGATGAAAATTTCTGTAAATCTTATTTCATCATATAAAAGAACAGGTTCTACCAATCCCAAAGGATCAGACACATTACCTCCCAGGTTAATGAATGTTTCAGATCTTACCCAAATACATGCTACAGTTCTTATTAACTAAACTAAAATTTATTAAAAAACAAAAGATAGAGAGTATGGTTAAAAGATCAATATACATACGGACATGAGTTCAATCCATTGAGGTTCAGATTCATAGCAGAGATGGTAAGCTTTGTATTTGCAAAGAGTTCTTTCAGAAATAGTTCATAGTTCATAGTCCAATGTCCAAATTTCATATTCAGGGCATACCAGCATAACTGGGACCTAAGTCTTGTGACTCAAACTTCCCCGAGGAAGTCTAAGCAGATATGAGGTGAGAGAATCAGGATCCAAGGATCTTTTATACAATTTCATGTCTTTTGACAAGTTGGAATTTCGTCTGGGAACAAAAGGTAATTAGGATTACTTTGAAGGAGGTCCATCACTGGTACTTAGCTATACAAATTAACATAATGCCATTTGCTTGTTCCTCCACCATTCACAGTACATTTCAAAGAGAGATGAATACCGAGATATCCTGTGTTTACAATTCATTTAAATGCTAGGATCTTCTTTTGACCTCTCAATTATCAGAATACAGCATAGACAGGATGGTTGATTACATTAGCCACTCTACTCATACATATGTAAATACACAAAAACACAAACATTATCTCCCCACATGTCTTTTGAGGGTTATTAATTTTGCAGGATGTTTAACACTTTCTAGCCATGCTTTACAGATGTTATTTAGCACAAAACAATTTGATGATTTTCTTTAGCTATAGGACAAAACAAATGTTGGGCTATAGCTTGTGTGCTTTCTCTCCATAAAGGACACATCTAGTTTCTTCAACCCTGTATCCTCCTCCCCAGCTGTTTTGTATCTTCCCCCATTTTCAGAAAGTTAAGTATATGCTGACAATTAAGCTTTATAACATTCCACAATAGCCCATTCCTGATCTATCCATCTTTCTCTATTTGTCAAGTTGCTTCCTCTCCCTTTCAATCCTAACAACTCTTGTAGGAGAGTCAGGTTATTGGTATTAACTCAGACCCTGTATTTATGCTTACTTTCCCTTGAGAAAATTTGCTTCCCAAAGTGAATTTAAATGATCCTCAAAGTGTTAGGAGTGAGAAGATACGTGGCTTGAAGCAAGGAATCAATACAGTTGGAGGTGTGACATGAGAGATGCAAATCAAGGACTTCCAGTAAGAAAATGACCTTTTCAACTGAGAACTACTATTTGGAATAGGCACTAAAATCTTCCAGTCACTGACATCTTGGGGGGAAAAAAAATAACCTGGCCAGATATTGCTAACTGACAGTGCCTGGAGTTTGAAGGTTTCAAAGTAGCAGCCGTGTTAGTCTGTATTGGCAAAAAGAAAAAGAGGGCTTGTGGCACCTTAGAGACTAACAAATTTATTTGAGCATAAGCTTTTGTGAGCTACAGCTCACTTCATCAGATGCATTCAGTGGAGTGTGAAGGTTGCCAATAAATAGTCTAGTTTGTGAACAGTGCAGTGAAATCACAGCCAATGAAATTCATGAAATGGAAAGACAAACTGTGAATTCCATTTTGGCTATGCTGAAGTGTCAAATCTTCATGAGCAAAATATTTCTGCAGGATTAGCCACTATGCTAGTTCTGCCTTCTCCCCCTTCCCCCCACAATCGTTACATATAATTGTACAAACATGGAAGCCAAAAATATAAAAAATAGTTCACTGAACAATTCATATTGCCTGTGTAAATTCAGCTGAGTAACTGAGCTTCCTCATTAGTACAGAGCTACTCACAAAGATGGACTACAAGCCGTCAGGAACAGTATCCCCGATAATGTCATGGCAAACCTGGTGGCTGAACTTTGTGACTTTGTCCTCACCCATAACTATTTCATATTTGGGGACAATGTATACCTTCAAATCAGTGGCACTGCTATGGGTACCCGCATGGCCCCACAGTATGCCAACATTTTTATGGCTGACTTAGAACAACGCTTCCTCAGCTCTCATCCCCTAATGCACCTACTCTACTTGCGCTACATTGATGACATCTTCATCATCTGGACTCATGGAAAAGAAGCCCTTGAGGAATTCCACCATGATTTCAACAATTTCCATCCCACCATCAACCTCAGCCTGGACCAGTCCACACAAGAGATCCACTTCCTGGACACTATGGTGCTAATAAGCGATGGTCACATAAACACCACCCTATACCAGAAACTACTGACCACTATTCCTACCTACATGCCTCCAGCTTTCATCCAGACCACACCACACAATCCATTGTCTACAGCCAAACTCTATAATACAACCGCATTTGCTCCAACCCCTCAGACAGAGACAAACACCTACAAGATTTCTATCAAGCGTTCTTACAACTACAATATCCACCTGCTGAAGTGAAGAAACAGATTGGCAGAGCCAGAAGAGTACCCAGAAGTCACCTACTACAGGACAGGCCCAACAAAGAAAATAACAGAACGCCACTAGCCATCACCTTTAGCCCCCAACTTAAACCTCTCCAACGCATCATCAGGGATCTACAACCTATCCTGAAGGACGACCCCTCACTCTCACAGATCTTGGGCGACAGGCCAGTCCTTGCTGGCAGACAGCCCCCCAACACAAAGCAAATATTCACCAGCAACCACACACCACACAACAGAACCACTAACCCAGGAACCTATCCTTGCAACAAAGTCCGTTGCCAACTGTGTCCACATATCTATTCAGGGGACACCATCATAGGGTCTAATCACATCAGCCACACTATCAGAGGCTCGTTCACCTGCACATCTACCAATGTGATATATGCCATCATGTGCCAACAAGGCCTCTCTGCCATGTACTGGCCAACCCGGACAGTCTCAGTGCAAAAGAATAAATGGACACAAATCAGACGTCAAGAATTATAACATTCAAAAACCAGTCGGAGAACACTTCAATCTCTTTGGTCACTCTATTACAGACCTAAAAGTTGCAATTCTTCAAAAACAGACTCCAATGAGAGACTGCTGAATTGGAATTAATTTGCAAAGTGGATACAATTAACTTAGGCTTGAATAAAGACTGGGAGTGGATGTGTCATTACACAAAGTAAAACTATTTCCCCATGTTTATTCCCCCCCACCCTCCATTGTTCCTCAGACGTTCTTGTCAACTGCTAGAAATGGTCCACCTTGATTATCACTACAAAAGGCTTTTTCCCCCCTGCTCTCCTGTTGGTAATAGCTCACCTTAAGTGATCACTCTCAGTGTGTATGGTAACACCCATTGTTTCATGTTCTCTGTGTATATAAATCTCCCCACTGTATTTTCCACTGAATGCATCCGATGAAGTGAGCTGTAGCTCACGAAAGCTTATGCTCAAATAAATTTGTTCATCTCTAAGGTGCCATAAGTACTCCTTTTCATTATGCTGTGTGTATTAATATATTTTTAATCTCTAGGTATATTCAAAGTATGATTTGACAGAGCCTGAGTAAATTGTACAGACAGAAAACGTATTATTGGCTTCTAAAATTAAAAATATAAAAAGACTCAGATCTCACAGATCCTAGTGAGTACCCCCTGCTGTCCACCCACTAGGAGTGCTGTGAGGGGACTCTGTCTGCTACTATTTCTCACAAGTGGAGTTCTCAGCCCGCCTGCGCTAGGCCCCTAGGCCCCCAGGACCAGTGCTGACCCTTAAAACACCCCACTTACTTAAACACACCACTTTCCTAGAACTAGTTTCCACCCCAAAGTGAAGCCTCTGGGTACCCTGTTTAATGCTGTCAGGGGCGTACAGCAGTTGAGAAGCCCGTCACTGAATGATTGAGTACTTAACAGTCTACTTTCCTCGATTATTTTGACACCAGCCTTTGGAATTCCAAACCAACATGGAGGCAAACAGACCATAGAGAAGGCTAAAGGCTGCATCTTCAAAATGGAGGTTGCACCGTGACATACACATGCAGAATTCATAAATTGTACAGCCATATTCCCAATTCATCATAGATGTCTCCCACAAAAATAGAAAAAGGAAAAATAAGATAATTAAGATAAGGAGGGAGATTCAGACTCTTCAACTTTTGCAGTCTTCTGGATTCTTGTAGAGTAGAAGCTAGATAGAGCCAGACACTAATGTTCAGCTGGCAAGTGCTTCTGGCTATCAGGCCTGCTTTGATTCCAGAGAAGAACCCAAAAGCAAAAGGCTATAAAGGCCCATTTGTTGCTGTCTTGACTTCCTCTCCCCAAATGATCAGTCCTGAAGATTCCTGAACATCAGTTTTCCCTCAGGTGGCCTATTGGCCTGAATGACCAGGCTTCTCAGCCTTGATTGTTATCATTTGCAAACTTCACTTACTCTACCTTGCAGTGCGTCCCTCCAAGGTTTTTTGACAAATTAGGTGTAAGACCTACTTTGGAGCCATGCAACTTGGTCCAATCAGGTTCAAATGAGGTCATCCTTAGCTAGCGTCAGTTTGGAAAAAGTCCCACTTAAAACAGCAATTTAAAAATATTCTCTGTTTTGCAAAGCACAAAGACTGTGAGTACATGCCACTCTCCTGTGCCCCCCAAAATTATCAAAAATCCAGATATATGAGACTATTTCTGAGGAAGTTGGCATGGTCTTATCTGGACAAAGGGTCTTAAAATGATATTATGTCACCTGATTATGGAAAGTTCAGTATAAACATCTGTAAAACTAGTTAATTGGTAAAACCGTAGTAACAAAACTAGTCATGCAACTTTTATTGAGCAGCAAAATTAAAAATAAATTCAACCTTAGGATCAGTTCTATCACTTTCATTTTCTTATTCTTCTGGGAAACAAGGCAATTATAATAAAATAAACTTCTCTATTTCAGAAATGAGTTGTCAGTCAAACAGCTTATCTTCTGGACTCTTCATCTTGATAGAGAAAAGTTACTTTAAAGCTTATCAAGATGAAACACATTTGAAACATAGAGTCTTTAAATGTATATAAGCTTTTGCATAATTTATATAAAATCTATTCTTGCATAAAACAGATTTGATGTCTTGCAAGTTAACATTAATTAAAATTGTTATTTTCCTCTCAGTAGTGATCTAAAATACATTAGTATCAGCCCAGAAAGGGTTAATCAATAACTAGCATGTTTTTGCCTCCATTGTGCTGAGTAAAACATATCTTTTATTATACTCTCCTTAATGGTAATAATCAATATTGTCTCATTGTTTACTT